CAGAGGAAGTAAGGGGAGGCGTTTTCGCAGACTTGCATGCTGGGTGCGGAAAAGGAGGAAGTAACATTAGAGGGAGCAACTGCGCACAAGGGGAAGGAGGCTAATGGAAACGCTGGAGATGTACGTTTGAACTTTGTCAAATAAATCAATTGTTTGGAACTGGCTGGGAGCCCGGAGTCTTATATATGGCCAGCTGGACAGCACTAAGCCTCTGACACCACGAGCACAGTATGTGGCAAACAGCTAGGCCTGGGCAAAGCTGTAAGTTTCAGTTTCTCTCAGCTTCTCATTTTTCCAATCTTAAGTTCAGTTTTCTACATTTCCAGATCACACACACACACACACAGAGACAGAGAGAGAGAGAGAGAGAGAGAGTGGTACCTTGGTTTTTGAACAGCTTAGTTCTCAAACAACTGGGAACCCAAATGCTGCAAACCCAGAAGTGTTACAAACATTTTTTTCGGAAGCAGAACATGCTCTTTTTAAATGTTTCACTTCAGATTAGAGTGTTCCGCTTTGGATTTGAGTGTTGCACTTCCGTTCTGAGTGCCACACTTCTGTTTTGAGTGTTTCGCTTCGGATTTGAGTGTTACGCTTCCGTTCTGAGTGCCACACTTCGAATTTGAGTGTATACGCTTCGGTTCTGAGTGCTAGGCTGAGGTCTGTCGGCTGTTGAGTCCTGAGCACACATGCAACATGGAGGTAATATTTGGAACTCATATTTGGAGCTTTTGTTTTTGCTATTGTTTGCATTTTTCTTTTTGTGGCTTTTTGGTTTATTTCTTTTTGTGACTGTGTGGAACCCAGTTCAGCTACTGATTGATTGATTGTGTGACTGCGGAAATGGATAAAAGCTGCAAAGCCAAGAGGACCATAAACAGAATTACAATAGAGGTAAAGAAGGAAATTATTTCCAAGCATGAAAGTGGGGTCCGTGTAAGTGATCTGGCAATGCAGTTTGGTATGGCCAAATCTACAATTTGTACCATCTTAAGAAATAAGGATGCCATTAAAGGAGCTGGTGTTGCAAAAGGTGTTAAAACACTCACAAAGCAGCGAACACAGACAATTGAAGAAGTGGAAAAAATTCTTTTAATATGGATAACTGAAAAACAGTTGGCAGGTGACAGCATTTCTGAGAGCATAATTTGTGAAAAAGCTTTACATTTGCAAGCCGACCTCATCAGAAACACCCCTGGAGCAAGTGCTGAGGGTGAGAGTTTCAAGGCAAGTAGAGGGTGGTTTGATAATTTTAAGAGGAAAAGTGGCACACACAGTGTGATGAGAAATGGTGAAGCTGCCAGTGCCAACAAATTAGACGCTGACCGATTCGTTTTGGAATTTAAAGATTATGTTGAGTCTCAGAGCTTCGTTCCCCAACAAGTTTTCAACTGTGGTAAGACAGGCCTCTTTTGGAAGAAAATGCCATGGAGGATCTACATAACAAAGGAGGAGAAAGCATTGCCATGAAAGAAAGGCTGACACTTTTATTTTGTGCGAATGCAAGTGGAGATTTTAAGTTGAAGCTTTTGCTAGTCTACCATTCTGAGAATCCCAGGGTATTTAAGAAAAACAATGTCATAAAAAGCAAATTGCATGTGATGTGGAGAACAAACAGCAGAGCTTGGGTAGCAAGGCAATTTTTTATTGAGTGGGTTCATGAAGTGTTTGGGCCAAGTATGAAAAAATACCTCCAAGACAAAAATCTCCCAATGAAGTGCCTGCTTCTTATGACTAATGTTCCAGGTGACCCTCCAGGATTGGAGGACGAGTTGTTGGAAGGGTTTGGCTTCATCATTGTAAAGTTCTTGCCCCCCAACATGACTTCTCTCATCCAGCCCATGGACCAGCAGGTCATATCTAATTTTAAGAAGCTTTACACTAAAGCATTGTTCCAAAGGTGCTTTGAGGTGACCTCAGACACCGAGCTAACCCTCAGAGAGTTCTGGAAGAATCATTTCAATATCCTACATTGCTTACATATCATAGACAAAACATGGAGGGATGTGACTCAGAGAACACTGAAGTCAGCATGGAAGACACTGTGGCCAGAAACTGTCCCAGAACGTGTATGTGAGGTTGTTGAAGAGGATTCACCTATTGTTGGTGAAATTGTGCCTATGGGAAAGTCCATGGGCTTGGGAGTGAGTAGTGATGATGCGGAGTTAGTGGAGGACCACAAAACTGAGCTCACTACAGAAGAACTTCGAAACAATCTGAAGGAGCAGCAACAGGGGGCAACTGAGGAAATATATTTGGAGGAGCAGAGCAGAGAACGTGTATCTACTGCAGTGATCAAAGAAATGTTTGCAAAATGGACTGAAGTGCAAACTTTTGTTGAAAAATATCACCCTGATAAAGCTGCTGTAAGTCATGCCACTAACACTTTCAATGATAATGCTATGTCTTACTTTAGGCAAATTTTAAAACATCGGCAAAAGCAAGTCTCAATTGAAAGTTTTTGGGTGAGGAAAAGAATCAGCGAGTCTGAACCAGGTGTCAGTGGTGTAAAAAAAGCAAGGGAAGGAATGGCAGGAGAGGACTCACCAATTGTGATTCTGGAAGGGAACCCTGACCCCCCTCCCCCATCTAAACAATGACTATCATCAGTGCAGGTAAGAAAAAATTACATTTTCATTTTTATCATCTACAATACTGTTTTATTGATTTTACAGTACAGTACATTGTTTATTGCTTTCATTTTATGGATCAATGGCCTCATTAGATAGTAAAATTCATGTTAAATGTATGTTTTAGCGGTTGTTTTTAAAAGTCTGGAATGGATTAATTCATTTTGCATTACTTTCTATGAGAAAGTGTGCCTTGGTTTTGGAACGCTTTGGTTTTGGAACGTACTTCCGGAAGTTTGAGAACCAAGGTACCACTGTATGATGTCTCCTATTCAGCAAGGATTTTGTAGAATCTTAAGAGTTGGAAGGGACCATGAGGGCCATCTAGTCCAACCGCCTGCTATCTTTTGCCCAACGTGGGGTTTGAACCCAAGACCCTGAGTAAGAGTCTCATGTTCTACTGACTGAGGTATTCCCCTTCTGTACAATATGGGGGGGGGGGGAAATCTTAGTGCAAATTTCTACTAATATACATTTGTTTGTATGTGATTTCCCCTAACATAATCATGTCTGCAGTGTCATTAACCCTAAAATAATGGTATATTCTTTTCACCAATATGTTCATTTTGAAGGACGCTTTAACCAATGTATACTGATCACTTGACTAGAGAAGTGCATTGCACAATTCTTGAATGTGCAAATTTTGAAGCATGGCTGTGTTTTGATTCACAAATTGTTTTGGAAACATAAAATCAGTTAGGTCTGCCATGAAATATGAAGTGAAATGAAATTCTCCCCCATCCCTATGTTTATTCAAAGACAGACTGAATGTACTCAATGGAGCTTATTACCTTGAAAGTGTGTATAGGGTGCAGCCTCGGATTAGTTCCTTCTTTCACCTGGAGTATTGCGTCCAGTTCTGGGCACCACAATGTAAGACAGATATTGTCAAGTTGGAAAATGTTCAGAGGATGACCAGGATGATCAAGGGTCTGGAAACCAAGCCTTATGAGGAATAGTTGAGGGATTTGGGTATGTTTAGCCTGGTACAGAGGAGACTGAGAGGAGGTGTGATTGCCAGCTTCACGTACCTGAAGGGTTGTCACATGGAAAATGGAGCAAGCTTGTTTTCACCTGCTCCAGAGGGTAGGACCTAGACAAATGACTTCAAAAATGGAGATTCCAACTAAACATCAGGAAGAACTTCATAAAAGTAAGAGCTGTTAGACAGTAGAATGGACTCCCTCAGGAGGCTATGGACTCTCCTTCACTGGAGGTTTTTAAGCAGAGGATGGATGACCATTTTTTAATTACATGCCACTGAAGTGAATGGGAAAAGCCTGCATACATAGGAGCTCCACAAATGCACTGAAATAGACACGAAGATTTGAATCAGAATTGAGGATTGATTGTGCCTGATTGTTTCTTACCAACAGTCAGGTTATTTCCCCCACCCTCCTCCAGGAATTATAAAAGTACACAAGCTGTGGCCCATTCTAAATTGCACTCATTCCATGTATAGTGAGCGAGCGTTATAGCTTCTTGCTTCTCCATAATCTTCCTTCATTGACTGGCCATACAAGTATCAGCGCATCAAAAAGCTGGACATTTCAGGCCTCTGCATAGTTTGGAAAGCAATCAAGTTTAAGGGGAGAAATTCTAACTGGCATTAAATTAGCCGCCACCATCGCCATAGCAGCGCTGGTGTTTTATTAAAAAGTTGCGTAAGCACCTTGCTGTGCCATGCACACAGGAAAACAATTTAATTTCCTCTGCCTTATCACAAGCTGCAGAGACAGCACTTCTACACGTAAGGAAGGATTAACGCAAAACTCGGCACTCCAGTGTTGTGATTTATGGGAGGCACGCCTCGAGTGCATTGCATGCCATGACCCCTCCCCAAGACCCAACTGGTCTCATACTCAAAAAGGGCAACTCCATTTCCCAACACATTCAGTTCCAGTTGCTCAATTTTCAAAAGCAACATGCTACATAATTAATTGGTTCCTTCACACTGAAGTACAAGAATACCACTCTGCAAATAGCAGAGTAGAGAATGCTGGGCTGGGTGGGCATTCCTTCATGAGGAAGGGCAGAACACCTTCTTTGCATGCAAAGGGTTCTAGATTCCTGGGCATCTTCAAGTAGGACCTGCCTGAAACCCCAGAGAGATGGTGCCAGTCAATGTAGACAATACTGATGATGGGCCATTGGTCTGCCTAAAAACAAGGCTTCTTTCTATGTTCAGAGGAATGAGCATAGCTCCTTCTTTGCATACAAAAGGATCTCCAAGTACAGCTGGAAAAAACTGCTGTTTCTAAGCCTAGAGAACCAATGTCAGTCAGCATAGACATTGCTGAGCTGCATGCGCCCTTAGCCTGACTCAGAATAAGGCAGCTTCATGTGTTCATCACAATTCCATTAGAAAGGGGACATAGCTCTTTGGTAGAGCATCTGCTTTGCATGCAGAAGATCCGAGGTTCAATCTCTGGCATATCCAAGTAGGGCTGGAAAAGACTTCTTTCTAAAGCCCTATAGTACCACTGTCCATCAGTGCAGACCAGACATAAGGACCTTATGGCCTTCTGGATATGGTTGGATTATAACTCCCCTCATACCTGACCAGTGGCCATGCTGGCTGAGGCTGCTGGAAGTTGGCATCCAGCAACATCTGTTGGACAATGGTGAGCTTGATGGACCACAGTTGAAATTGGGACAATGCTATAGCTCATGCTTTGCATTCAGGAAGTCCCAGGATCAGATCCTGACATCTTCAATTGAGTTTCCCAGGTGGCAGGTAATTGAAAACACCTCTCTCTGGCTGAAACCCTGTGGAGTCACAACCACTCATAGTAGTAGAGAATATTGGACTAAAATCTATCTACCCACTTAGGTGAACAAATAGACTGAGTCAATGTAAGGCAGATCCCTACATCCACACACAGAGGTGGCTTTATTTTAGAGCCTGACCACTCTGGAAGAGATGTGGTTCTGCAGCAAAATACACAACCAGTTCCTGCAGCATTAGCTACTAGATCACTAGACTCCAAGAATACAATAGCTGACCACCTCTTAAGAGTAAGAGGGGGAATCAAAGAACTTAAGAGAGAAACAAAATATCCTTCCTGAACCTACTGGCCTACAAGCATGTTCCAGAATAAAATTAATAACGCTAGAAGCTGTCAACATGTGACAGTGGCCACATACCCTAGCTTTGAGTGGCTAGCTAAACCAGGTGTGGGTAGTCAGTGGGTCTCAAATCCTCAGTGAGTTAGCAACTTCCCCTGCATGCAAAGACAGGCTCTGGTGGATTGAGTGGACAAAACCGATAGTGGGTCCAATGGTTAAGAAGGTGGTTTCTGCACATGCTATGGAGGAGCAGATAGGGCTTGTCAACCTGGGAAGGAAGCCCATCTAGGAGAACTCTGATCCTAAACCTCCTCTGCCTTGCAGCTGTACACATCATGAAAAAGGCTTTGGGAGTAAACCCCAAGGAAAGAATCTGTATCTGCTGCCTCATGGGACATCATCAGGAGAAGAAAAGGCTAAGGAGTAAAGGTAAAGGTAAAGGGACCCCTGACCATTAGGTCCAGTCGTGACCGACTCTGGGGTTGCGGCGCTCATCTCGCTTTACTGGCCGAGGGAGCCGGCGTACAGCTTCCGGGTCATGTGGCCAGCATGACTAAGCCGCTTCTGGTGAACCAGAGCAGCGCACGGAAACGTCGTTTACCTTCCCGCCGGAGCGGTACCTATTTATCTACTTGTACTTTGACGTGCTTTCGGGCTGCTAGGTTGGCAGGAGCAGGGACCGAGCAACAGGAGCTCACCCCATCGCGGGGATTCAAACTGCTGACCTGCTGAGTCCTAGGCTCTGTCCAGACAGCGCCACCCTAAGACTGTTGGGTGGCACCTTGTACGTCTCCTTCTGGCAACTCCTGCAGCCAAGTTGGTGCCAAACATATAGTTCTGCTTTTCTTTGGACCATATTAGTGAGGCCAGGCTGGTGTGTGTGTGTCTTGCTGTCTGGGCAGCCCAGGACTTCCATACATACTCCCTAGGCTTGCAAGCCAGAGAGGTCACTTCGGTGCTGCTAATGGAGCACAAGCAACATGGAGCACAAGCAGCAGTTATGAGTCACCGGTCTCTGCAGCCATAGCTGGTGCTGTGATTCTCCTGCAGTTTGACTTCTCCCCCCAAGACACATTCCATTGTGTCTCAAGACAGACGGATGCCAACAACTAATACTAATAGAACATCTTTTATAAACTCAAAAACTTTGAATCGTTTATTGCTGCTTAATAAAAAAAAAAAAGCAGGCAAACACCATAAATTCACATTTGCAATGCAGCTGTCGCCATCCCCTTCTCAAGTCACAAAATTTAATTGTGAATATAAAAATTACAAGGTAACTTAAAAAGAAAAGGAACTGACTTAGCAGAAAATCCAGGCACATGGCATTCCAATAGCACCCCCTCCTGGCCTCTGAAGTGAAGCTGGAGATAACTGGGAAACAACAAAAAGAAAGCTGCAAAATATGTGTTACATGAAAATGCATGTAACTGTAACCCAATGGCGCTTTTGAAAGAGGAAGAAAGCACATTTTGAGGGGGGTTATGAGGAGCAAAAAGTGGTGGGCAGGGAAGAGGTGCTTAAGCCATTCTGCCATCCTCTGCCTTCCTGTTTTGAATCATCCCAGTGGCTTTTTCTCTTTCTTTCTCATTTGCCCTCAGAAACACGTATTTTGAGCCTTATAGGGAAGGTGTGATTTGGAGTAAGAAAAAGGTAAACGATGTTTCTGTGCGCTGCTCTGGTTCGCCAGAAATGGCTTAGTCATGCTGGCCACATGACCCGGAAGCTGTACGCCAGCTCCCTCGGCCAATAAAGCGAGATGAGCGCCGCAACCCCAGAATTGTCTGCGACTGGACCTAATGGTCAGGGGTCCCTTTACCTATGTACTTTTGTAACCCAAGAAAATCTATAATAAACAGTTTGTTTTTTAAAAAACTTACCACAATTGTCATTTAAAGTGGCAGGGACTTACAAGAAAATCAATAGTTATCTCAGTGCACGTTTTTCACTTATAGAAATTTTTGCACACTTAATTTTGTTGGAAAACTACAGTGCAGAATTTGAAGTGTAAATTTCATGTATTACCTGTACTTCCATCCATGTATTGTTTTCGGAACTGCAAATTTAGGTCAGTATGCAGAATAAAAGTGAACTGGACTAAATTTCGCTCATATCACTAGAGGAAACCAGAGATGCCTCTGCCTGCTCCATCCCTCTTAAGAGTAGAGAAACTCATCCAATTGCTTCTAATGTCTTCACCACTGAAATCCTTTGCACATTCTCAGTATAGACAATTTTTTATCTCATAGCCAACTTTTGACTTACAGCTGGCAATCCAATGAATGGAAAAGGAAGTGAGGGATAACAAAGAAGCAGAGTTCTTTACTATTTATGGAGAAATTCTGAATCTTGAGAAGAGTTGTTGAGGGAGAAGAGGGGATCATTACTGTTCAATAGGTGAGAACAGGAAGTTCTTTTTTAGATCTGAATTCAGTAGAAAGCGCATTTTCTCCAAGATGAGGATGAAATAATAATAATAAATAATAATAAATTTTTATTTGTACCCTGCCCTCCCCGGCCAGAGTCGGGCTCAGGGCTGCTAACATCATAAAACTAACACAGTATACAAGAAAACAGGCAATCAATTAATTAAAATACATCTTAAAATTAGTTCAGAGCAAATTAAAATCTGAACAGATGGCAGTCCACAGGTAAAATAAAAGAGATCCCAGCACCAAAAATCCCCTCCCTGGAATGGCGACTCTTATACTTTTTTGCTCTCTAATTCAACACCAGATTGGTGTGATGATGAGCGCATTGTTTTAATTCTTTAATTTATGAGATGTAATGACACTTGTTGATTTTGGAAAGTGTGAAAACAGGATTTCTTTTTTATTTTGTCTTTTAAAAATCCTTTAAAAAAATATTCCTTTTGTGAATCTATGACTCTGGAAGGAGACAAAGCTTCATTATGTTGGAATGCCCATTATTTTCATATTAGAGAGCCCCAGAAACCTAAGTGAAAGCAGGATATCTTCAGGAGAAAAAGGCTACGGACTAAACCCTGCACAAATCTGGAGTGGAGTCCTTAAGATGGTTGGATGGTATCTCGTATGCCTCCTTCCAGCAACTCCTACAGCCAAGCTGATGCCAGACATATTGTTCTGCTTTCCTTTGGATCACAACAGTGAGGCTGAGAGGGAGGTATTGTCATCTGGGCAGCCCAGGATCTCCATACACACTGCCCAGGCTTGTGCCCCAGAGAGGTCACTTTGGTGCTGTCATTGCAGCAAAAACAACACAGAAGGCAGCAGTTGCGAGTTACTAGTCTCTGTAGCCACAGTGGGTGCTGTGATTCTCCAGCAGTTTGACTTCATCCCCAGAGGTACACTCCATTGTCTCTCAAGACAGACAGATGCCAACAATTCCCTTCACATCAGCTCTCAGGAGGCCCAGTTCACGACCAGCACCATGTACACCATGTCTTGGGCTGATTGCACATACTCATAGGTGCCTGCAGCCAAGGGCACTGAGAGTCAAATCTAAACCAGGGAGATCAGGGAAGGAAATGTGGCTCAGTGGTAGAGCATCTGTTTTGCATGCAGAAGGCTGCAGGTTCAAACCCCAGCATCTCCAGGAAGGTCTGGGAAAAGACTCCCTGCAATCATGATATAAGGGTCAAAAGGAGGAAATATACTTACTATGCTTTGTACCATTGCAAAGACAATAATATCCTCTCGAATGTGTGTGAGTAGTATTGTTCAATTCCCACCCACTCCCTTGGTTTTTGGTGTTGTTGAGTTTTGCTTTTGTTTTTTTAAGAATACTGTAGCTACTTCTCTGACATCTTTATTTTGAGAATCCCATTGATCAGTCCCCTCGTCTATACTGTATGTTCCACATTAAGTCATTATCTCTGCTGTTCACTCCATTAATTCTGCTAGTTTTATTAGCAAAGTTCTGCCGCCTAGTCCTGTAACGGTGACAAGCATTTCGAAAAGCTAATCTGACAGATAATGACTCCATTAAGGGTTGAATACTAATTGGTTTACATCAGGGGCCTGGAATTAATTGATGCAAATAAATTAGCACCTGAGCATGCATCACCCCAGCTTTGGATTTTCCTAAATACCAAGGTGTTTGGGTTTTTTTTAAAAGAAAACTTTGCATCTTCAGAAAAATGTAACTGAATATAAACAAACAGGACAGGTAATTAAAATGTGGCAAGAAAATCTTCCAAGAAAGGTTTAATATTGCCTCCCAACTGATCTGAGGGGGAAAGGGTGCTTTGCTTGCACATTTTTCTTACGTATTTATGGCTTATATTAAAAAATGCTTTTTTCCCTTCACTTCCAAGACCCACAATTATCATTATTTTTGTTATTATGGCAAATTATTGCTGCTAATACCAGCTGTTAATCTAATCTATAAAAATGGCACTTTATTACAATTTTAAATGGAGAGTGCAGTTTGTGAGGTTTGGGGGCTGTGCACATCCACACACGCTGATGCGACCTCAGTTCATCCAGTGGCAAACCATATGCAAAAACTCTATCCTCCAATTTGGGAAAGCCTGTTTGTAACCATCACATCAAATTGGGCAAAGTCTTACCAATGTTATATTTTGATTCAACATCTTAATTCAAAATGGCGTCTGGTGTCCAAAATATAGATGAAGACCATCTTCGGAACGCTAGTGCTGAGCTGGGGAGCAATACCTTAACAGTCACCCAAATCAGTGAGTGCAGTTTGGATCTGTGACACCAAATAAAGCGAAATCACATGAAACTGGAAGATGGTGTCTATACAGATGTATTCACATCAGACCCTCCAGGCGTCCCTATTTTCCAGGGACGTCCCTGATTTAGAGAAGCTGCCCGTTTCTGACTTGATCCCAGAATGTCCCACTTTTCCTTAGGATGTCCCTATTTTCATTGGAGAAATGTTGGAGGGGATGGAGTTATCCCACCCCCGAGCTGTCTGAAGGCAATCCTGAATAATGAAGGGTTTTTTTATGTTTAATGTTTTATTGTGTTTCTATGTATGTTGGAAGCTGCCCAGAGTGCTGGCGCAACCCAATAAGATGTGTGGGGTATAAATAGTAAAATTATCATTATGGAATGGGACATTCCTATTTTCATTAGTGAAATGTTGGAGGGTGTGTCACACCAGTGCAGTTTATTGTTTGTTTGTTTGTTTGTTTGTTTGTTTGTTTGTTTGGTGTGTGTGTGTGTGTGTGTGTGTGTGTCCAAACAATAAAATCATAAAAAGTAAAAAAAAAAAAGAGTTAAAAAGCAAAAAAACAAACTAAAAACAAACCTCCATAGGCCTGGCAGAATAGAAAAGTTTTCCACATGCTTTTAAAAGTTGGCACAGAACGTGGCCACTGAATCTCCATTGGTAGGGTGTTCCACAGGACTGGGCCAATGGCACTGCAGCCTCGAGTTCTTGTTGTCAAACAAGCCCCAGCTACTCAGGGAATGACCAAAAACATTCCTGCAAATGATCTCAGTGAATGAGCTGGAAAAATAAGGGTTCAGGCAATCCTTGGGGTACCCTGGGCCCATGTTCTCCAGGGCTTCAAAATAAACACAAGGAGAAAGCTTGATGGGGGATATCAGGCACAAGCATCTATCACCACCCCATTTTCAATCTGTCGCACCAAAAAATAGGCAAAGTCACACCAATGTCATATTTTAGTCTGCCACCTTGATTCAAAATGGTGCCCAGCATCCAAACATAGGTGTAGTATGCTGCCTGCATCTGATCTGACATGAGGCAGATTCTCATGTACATATCCTCCACTCCTGCAACACTCCAGGTGGGATTGGCCACACACACACACCAGGCCAAAGCTCTGCCAAACCTCCTTCTTTTGAGGAGATGTGTGTGGTGCTTGGAGGAGTTTAATAGCAATGGCTGGCAGACCTCATGCAGGTCCTCATGCATACTGTTGCTACTGTATGGAAAGAGCTCTCCTAGCTTTGGGGAAAGCTGTTGTTCCTTGCAGTGACAATGACACTGCCTCTTCAATGAGGCTGTTTCTTTTCCAAGGTGCTAATCAAGTGAGATCAAGGCATTCTTTGCCACAGCTCTGTTGCTAAGTGATGATCACACTTTTGGGGCTCACCTTGCAAGACTTTGGAATTCATACTATCATATTCTAACAACTGTGTCCAGGAAGAGGTACTCTGCACACAGTGTAAATTACTTTGCGAATTTATCACATATGTTAACATTTCTCTTAATTTTTGCATCCTTGCTTCCTCTTCTTTTTCCTTTCCTTTCTAATGTTTCCACTCTGTGGATTTTGGGGCAGGTGGGGTGGGGATGATTAAGCCACAATGCATTTAAGGGATGGTATAAATTAACTGAGGAGCTATGTTCAGGGTTGGCTCCAGGTTTGAATGGGTCCACTCAGCAAAGTGCCTACTGATAAGGCCCTTACTTCACCATTTCCCCCTCCTCGCACCAGTCTATTTGACACAGTGTTCCACAATGAAGGATGTGGGCAACGCTGTGATCTAAACGACTGAGCCTTTTGGACTTGCCAATCACAAGGTCAACAAATCCGCATGACGGGATGAGCTCCTGTTGCTCTTTCCCAGCTCCTGCCAACCTAGCAGTTAGAAAGCACACCAGCGCGAGTACATAAATACCGCGGCAGCAGGAAGCTAAATGGCTGCGGCAGGAAGCTAAATGGCATTTCTGTGCGCTTTGGTTTCCATCACTGTCCTCCATGTGCCAGAAACGGTTTAGTCATGTTGGCCACATGACCCGGAAAACTGTCTGTGGACAAACTCCGGCTCCCTTGGCTTGAAAGTAGAGATGAGCGCCACACCCCATAGTCGCCTTTGACTAGACATAACCGTCCAGGGGTCCTTTACCTTTACCCACAATGAGGGTTCCTACATCAAGTGAATTGTGGAGAATTCATATAGATTATCCTGACTAATATCATACATATAATTAACTAGTGCATAATCTGACTGTCACAAGTTTATGAGTCTTCAAGGGCAGCCCCACACAGACCACAGTGCAACAATCCAGCCAGGAAATTACCAGAGCATGGAGTACCATGGCCAAGTCATCTCTGTCCCAAAGGGGTCTCCAAACACTTGTCTGTCCAGTTTGAGAGAGATTCAAGTGATAGGCTGAAAAGAAACACTGAAATCATTGCATCATAATGTCCTATCAGCTGATGTGACAATATAATGTACCAGATAAACTGATGACTTGTACTTTGCAACTTCCTGACCAAAACATCCAGCTGAAGCGGGGGGGGGAAATCAATGGAGCATCTAGATTGGCAAGTACTCACCAAGAACTCTTCATACCCAAGTAGCTCCCATAAGCATTCCTAACAAGTGACTATTAGATTTATTTATTTGATTTTTTTACCGCCCTTCACCATAAGATCTCGTGGCAGTTCACAAGATAATAATACATGGTAAAGCAAAATAAATAGTTCAAACAACAAAGCAATAACATACCCCTCCCACAAACACATTTAAAAGACAGTAGAAGATTATTCAGACAGTGGCCTGGATGAAAAGGAATGTTTTTGCATGATGCCTAAAGATATTATTATTTTTATTTGTTTGTTTATTTATTTATTTATTTATTTATTTATACATACCCCACCCATCTGGCTGGGTTTCCCCAGCCACTCTGGGCGGCTTCCAACAAAACACTAAAATACAATAATCTATTAAACATTAAAAGCTTCCCTAAACAGGGCTGCCTTTAGATGTCTTCTAAAAGTTTGGTAGTTCTTTTTCTCTTTGACATCTGATGGGAGGGTGTTTCACAGGGCTCTTATATGCCACTACCAAGAAGGCCCTCTGCCTGGTTCCCTGTAACTTGGCTTCTCTAGCGAGGGAACCGCCAGAAGGCCCTCGGTGCTGGACCTCAGTGTCCGGGCAGAACGATGGAGGTGGAGACGCTTCTTCAGGTATACTGGGCCAAGGCCATTTAGGCTTTAAAGGTCAGCACCAACACTTTGAATTGTGCTCGGAAACGTACTGGGAGCCATATATATCGAAGGTGCCAGATGAACCTCCCTGGGGAGAACATTCCACAAATTGGGAGCCACTGGAGAAAAGGCCCATTCCTGTACTGCCACCCTCCAGACCACTTGTGGAGGAGGCACACGAAGAAGGACCTCAGATTATGAATGCAGAGTCTGAGTCGGTTCATATCCTCTCTCTTGACTTTCACTTATTGATAAGTATCGATTCTCAGAACAATTCAGCTAATCATTCACCACCTCACAACTGATGGCCAGTATAGGATTAAACCTTCTGGAGGCCCCCAGGCAGTCAAAATCTCAGGGACCCCCTCACAGTGATGTAGGTTTCTGAGTCAATAGGGGTTTCTCTTCCAAATTCTTTCAAGATCAAGTCAATATTATTTGGATCCGTTGTCACAAGAACCCTAAAAGGTGTGGGGGCCTATAGGTCAGTGCCTACTCTGCCTATTTGTTAATCTGGCACTGCCTATGGCTTGCCACCTGCTTCCATAGTTTCACATAAAATTTTGGCTTCCGCTCATGCTAGGAAGCAAGTTTCCCCAAAGCGTTTTTAAAGACTACTGAACATAGAGATAGCTGTGCACATGGGACCCAATCCAGCACTTTTCAGTCTCATTGATTCTAATGAAAATATTTAAGCACATGATTAACTCTTCCATTCAAACCCATGCTTTTTAAAAAGTGCTTAACTTTAAAGGCAGAGAAATAATTTTGCTTCCCCATCCATTACAAGCTTCCTCCTGGAGATGCGAGATTGTAGCTCAGTCTCTCTTGCATGTCAAAAGTCCCAGTTTCGATGCATCTCCAGGCCAAATGATCTGGTAGTAAGTGATGGGAAGATCATCTGCCTGAGATACTGGACAACTGCTGCCAGTCAGAGTAGACAATACTGAACCAAAAAAGACAAAATAGCTTGGTTAAAGGTACATTCTAAGAGTATGTCTGTCCTTTTGAGGACAGAATTGTTTGTCTGAAGTAAATAAGCAACTACCCCACATGTGCCTACTCAACTGCTTCAGTGAACAGAACCAGCACTACAGTGGTACCTTGGTTCTTAAACTTAATCCATTCCGGAAGTCCGTTCCAAAACCAAAGCATTCCAAAACCAAGGTGCACTTTGCCATAGAAAGTAATTGAAAATGGATCAATCCGTTCCAGACTTTTATAAACAACCCCTAAAACAGCAATTTAATATGACTTTTACTATATAATGAGGCCATTGAGCCATAAAATGAAAGCAATAATCAATGTACTGTACTATAAAATAAATAAGACAGTATTGTAGATGATAAAAATTAAGATTATTTTTCCCCCCTCACCTGCACTGATGATAGTCATTGTTTGGATAGGCGGCTTTTATCCATTTCCGCAGTCACACAATCAATCAATCAGTAGCTGAACTGGGTTCCACACAGTCACAAAAACAAATTAACCGAAAAAGCCTCAAAAACAAAAGCGCAAAATAAACAGCAAAAACAAAAGCGCAAAATTTAATTCATTCCGGAAGTCTGTTTGACTTCCGAAATGTTTGAAAACCAAGGTGCAGCTTTTGATTGGTGCAGGAGCCCCGGAAACAATAGCTGACAGCTGAATCAGATGTCTGGCTTCTGAAAAACTGCGGAAAGATGTCAAGTCCCACAGGGCCCTAGTATCTTGCAAGAGAGTGTTCCACCAGGCTGGGGCCAGGGCCTTTTGCCAGGACTGAAAAGGCCCTGGCCCTGGTCGAGGCCAGTCTAACCTCCTTGGGGCCTGGGACCTCCAAGGTGTTATTATTTGCGGACCGTAAGGTCCTCCACTGGGGCATACAAGGAGAGGCGGTCCCGTATGTATGTCCTTAGGCTGCATAGGGCTTTAAAGGTTAAAACCAGCACCTTAAACCTGACCCTGTACTCCACTGGGAGCCAGTGCAGATGGTGTAGCACTGGATGAATGTGATTCCATGGCAAGGACCCCGTAAGAAGACATTCTGCACCCATTGAAGTTTCTGGGTCAGCTTCACGGGCAGCCCCACGTTGAGCGAAATACAATAATCGAGCCTGGAGGTGACTGTCACATGGATCACAGTGGCAAGATCAGTGTGGGAGAGGTAAAGGACCAGCTGCTTAGCACGACAAAGGTGGAAAAATGCCACCTTTGCTGTGGCTGCAACCTGCACCTCCATAGAAAGAGAGGCATCGAATGTTATTCCCAGACTCTTGACAGAAGGCGCTGGCACTAATTGCACCCCTGCAAGAGATGGGAGTTGGCCCCCAACCCCATGTCGCCCCAACCCCATGTCGCCCCAACCCAACCAGAGGACCTCTGTCTTTGAAGGATTTAACTTCAACCGGCTCCCACACAGCCATCTAGCCACAGCTTCCAAACATCTGGTCAATGTGTCTGGGGCTGAGTCAGGATGGCCGTCCATCAACAGATAAAGTTGAGTGTCATCAGAGTACTGATGACAGCCCAACCCAAAACTCTGAACAAGCTGGGCAAGAGGGTGCATAAAGATGTTAAATTTAATTTCCCATCCTCCAGTCCTTATGCTTTAAGGGAAGTCCTTACAACTCTGGAGATAAGCAAGCAAGGAAAAGAGAAGTTCCAAATTACTTTGGTGCTTCTGTTTCCTTTTATATATATCCATAAAGCTAGGTGTGTGTTTGGAAATTCAGGTAATATATTCATTGCCAGTCTTGCTTCATTTAGATATTACAGATAAACGGTGCATTAAACTGATTTGTGAAAGTAGAATAAACGTTATCGTGGAGATGAGCTCATGAGGCCTTTGTTCAAATTTCATGATGGTTCAAGGAGGGGAAATGGGGAGAGGGGGCAAAAGAAAAAAGTGTGGCACCCACCCCTGGTTACCCCCAAGAAAGGACAGGAGAGAAATTTTCTCTAATTCATCCTTTTTGAAATAATAACCAACCAAAACTCATCCATCCTTCAAAATCTGCACTACTCCAAATTTTACAATACGGTTCTCCAACTGACTACAGTGGTACCTCAGGATCCATTCTGGAGCCCCGTTCGCATCCTGAACAGAACATAAGAAGTGACTGTGCGTGTCACATTTTGCCGCTTCAGCGCATGCGCGTGACATCATTTTGAGCGTCTGTGCATGCACGAGCGGCGAAACCCAGAAGTAACATGCTCCGTTACTTTCGGGTCTCCATGGAGCGCAACCCGAAAATACTTATCCAGAAGCGTATTTATCCCGAGGTATGACTGTAATGTGTAAAATAAAGAAAAGCATATACTATGGTGAAGGGTGCACAGAGATGTATATATCAGTGATAATGACACAGTGTTGTGTTGAGGAACATTGTTTTGTAAAACGGGATAGAAAAGAATGTGTATATTAGGAGAAATCCACACTAAAATGATCGATTTTCATGAGGACTTTAAAAAAACAACATTGCAAACTTATGAAGAACTGACCTTAAGACTGGGAAAATAAGAAACTGAGAGAAACCAAAACTGACAGATTTGGTCATACCTCCTCCCAAGGCAAAAGCAGAGAAAATAAAACACAGCATTAGTGCTGGCCACATGCAAGAATTTCTAAATAGTGCATATCTCGCATTTCTAGATCTAGATTTCCTTTTTCTGGATCCCATTTTTCTACCAATAATTATCATATTTACATTGAAAAAATATATTCAGCAATATTTTCTTGACTAGAAAAGATGTTGGCTATTCATAGGCAGAAAGGTCATGTTTCCACATTTTGGGATCCCCCCTCTTTCTTCTGTCCCCAGCAATGATGATGAATTCTATGAAACCAAACCAGAAGAGTTTGTGGGTGATGTAGTGGAGACACAAAAGAATGAAGACCCGGAAGGTGGTGAAAAGGAGGAGTATGTTGATGATGAAATGGACTCTGGATCAGAACATCCCAATGGAAATGATGAGGAACAGCCTGCCACTGAAGAATACACATCCAAGGAAGCTGATAGTCCACAACACATGACCCAGAAAGCATGTATGTTCCATAATCCCACCTGTTCATCAATAGACAGACTTGGGGGCCTGCAAGAAGCACTTTGCGTAGTTCCCGTCTCACTTGGTGGTAAAGCTGGGTAGCACAACACCTCCCCTCTCACCAAGTTCATGAGAGGGGAAGCATTCCACAGAGCTGTGCCACCAGTTCCTCTCAGCTCGTAGGGACAGGGGAAACTTGTAGTAAAGCTGGGCAGCAGAACGCTGTGCCGCTCTGCCACCACAGAAGCCTCCCTTACATGGGTTGCTTCTGTGGCAGTGATGGGGCAGGATGCTGGCAGGAGTGCTGCTGCTTTCATTTCTGCCACCTGAGGCAGCTGCTTCACCTCATCTCATGGGTGGGCTGGCTTGGGCCCACCCTGTGCCAAAAGATCCTCAGTCTGCTACATTCATAGCAGGGCACATTTCAGCCATCCCAGAGTCAGAGGTTTCTACACTACCACCCACAGATCTCCCTCTATTCTCCATCCATGGCAAGCAAGGGGCATTATGACAGTTCAGCAAGGCAAAGGAACTCAGTGTGGATCAATGAAGTGTTTGACCAAGGGGATCTCAAGGGCCTGATAGAGAGGCTTGGAGGGGCCTGAGTTTCTCCACCTTTGTTTTAGATGCTCAAGCAAGCCATTTTCATTCAACCTCATTTTCCTCCCGCCCCCAGTCTTCAACATGCTCTAAACCAGTGGTCCCCAATTGCCTAAGTACTGTGGACCCCCTGTTTTTCAAAAGCCAAGCCATGGACCTCTACTTTTGAAAATGTTGATATCTATGTGTTGGTCTTCCAGGCCACGCTGCTGTGCAAATCACATGATCTGTGTGACAGCACAGCACCCAAAATTGTGTGTGGGTTGCATGGACCCCCGGGGTCTATGGACCACCAATTGGGAACCACTGCCTTCAACATTCCATACATCATGTAGGGAAATTTGTGTTCAATCCTGGTTGCATCATTTCAAATAAATATGTTTCTGCAGGCTTGGAAACTCCTCTCCAGGTATTCATTAATCACTGCATTGACTGACCACATCTCTTTGCTCTGCTGATAGGAAGGACCACCAAGATGGCTGTTATACAAAACAGGCGTAAGCTGAAACTAAATGTTGTAGTGTTTTCCAAAAGAAGTGTGTTCCTGTTCAGAGCTTCTGCAAGCCTGAACCAACAGCCTTCTGATGACGTTCAAGCTTCTTTGAAGTGGGAGGGGAGTTTCTCCATCAAGGCACAGCCTCATAGAGCTCACCTATCTGTAAAGACTTATTTCCCTAGTCATGTTCCTATGTTTTCTTAGTCCTAGATTCCATTTTTGGTGAGCTGCCTCCAAAGTCCTTGATCAAGATCAAACTTCTGTTTCCAAAGCCTCCACATCCTCTACAAAGACCACAAACAAAGCCATTGTTTTTCACTGAAGTAAGTGAACAATGATATATGTTCAAGATTTGTGTGGTGAATTTGTGGGATCAGAGATTTGCAAAGGATCAAGGTAAAGGGACCCCTGACCATTAAGTCCAGTTGTGGACAACTCTGAGGTTGCAGCGCTCATCTTGCTTTACTGGCCGAGGGAGCCGGCGTACAGATTCCAGGTCATGTGGCCAGCATGACTAAGCGGCTTCTGGTGAAACCAGAGCAGCACATGGAAACACCGTTTACCTTCCCGCCAGAGAAGGTAACCTATTTATCTACTTGCACTTTGACGTGCTTTCGAACTGCTAGATTGGCAGGAGCTGGGACTGAGCAACAGGAGCTCACCCCGTTGCAGGGATTCAAACCACCAACCTTCTTTTCGGCAAGCCCTAGGCTCTGTGGTTTAACCCACAGTGCTACCCGCAAAAGATATATAAGTACAATTTTCAAACCCTTGGAGTTGCCCCTGTTTCAGAGTTTTAGCCTCCTTGTATGAGATCTGCAGGGGACACAGATAAATGAGAAACCAGAAGCAAGGAAGAAAGCTGTTTTATTTTCAGATGTGAGATGAAATTTTGCATTGGATTACGTACTTGTTTTAAACAAGTTTAAAGAATTATGTTATGTATATGTTATAATTTATTGCAACAGTGGGGCACCCAGGGCCAATTTTGGCCTGCTAGGGGTTCCAGTTTTTGCAAACCACATCTTCTTGTCAATCAGCTGACACCTGATCGGTAATGGCAGCTAACGAGCAGGAAGGTGTGGTTCAATTCTTTGTTGGCTGACAACAATAGTTCCATGTGCTGCATGCAGCCAATACAGCAGATTTAACCCTAACACTCATGAGCTAATGATTGGGCCCAGAGTGGCTTACAAATCAATAAAAATAACATACAGTGGTACCTTTGGTTACAGACGCTTCAGGTTACAGGCTCTGCTAACCCAGAAATAGTACCTCGGGTTAAGAACTTTGCTTCAGGATGAGAACAGAAATCACACAACGATGGCACGGTGCGATTAGCTAAAGTGGTGCCTCCGGTTAAGAACAGTTTCAGGTTAAGAACGGACCTCCAGAACGAATTAAGTTCTTAACCTGAGGTACCACTGTAGTCACAAAAGGAAAAGGAGATGGGGAGGGCAGGAGTAGGAAGGTCAGCTGGCTTTTGTTTTCTGTAAGTAAACCTTGGTGTAAGAATGTATCGCAGCCTCTTTTCTTCTGTTGTTAATTTTAAGGTTTCCATCGCTGTTGATGAAAGAAGACAGGATACCACCTTGGATGCTCTTATAAAGGATGAGAAACAAGAAATTTTGAAAAATCATTATGTCCGCATTGGGGGCATGCTGGTTATGCCTGTATCTGTAGATGGTCCACTCTTCACTGATGAGGAAAAGTGATTGGGAGTCAAGAGACCACCTAGAAAAGAAAGAACTGCACAACTACATCTTAGATAATAAAGTCAAAAAAGACCCAAAATGTTGTCCTCCAGCAAGCAGTATGGCAGCACTCATAATTATTTGCTGGAAAATGTGACCACAAATCAGAAATAGTCCAGCCAACTTCACACGTATTGGGACATCATGGTTTCCTTGTATAGGAACAAGCCATAGTGAACTTTGGTCTCATACACTACATGGCCCCCCCCCCCTTTCTTTCACGTGCCAGAAAAGGGGTTTGAACGCTTCCACTTCTGGTTTTAAGCTAAATGTGATATCTAACCTCAAGGAACTGTGATTTGTTCAAGGAGTGATTTAAGGACAAGACATGATCTATAGTCACAGTGTGAACCTGACTTATTGCCATTAGCCATAGTGCTATACTCTCCCACCTTCCTTGAGCAGTTAGAACTTCCAGCAGCAGTGCTTGCCCATGTTTGGCTTCCTTAGAAAGGAAAGGTCAATGGAGACTTAAGGTGTTTTGTAACATTTAGGTTTGTGTACAAATACACATGTAGAGTATAGATGGAGGCAGATAGCATAGGTGTCATGACCCTGGAGTCCAGAAGTGGCAGTACACTTAGTCAGAAGCCACAGTGTCACCCAGTAAGGAGTCAAGCTGGTCTGGGGCCCACTGAACCTGAGGTTAGCAAGGAGAAGCCCACTGAACCAGATGCTACACCCCCAATAACTAAAGCCAAGACATTCATTGGTACCCTCCCCTGATCTTAGGGAACTGAGTACCACCCACACAACCTTTCCAGGAGGTCATCAAATACTGCTATTTTTAGGCCAATGAGATGGCCTTTTAAGAGGCTCTAGGGGTTCAAAGAGGGATGGAGATGATGAGAGGTGACCTGAAGTTAAAAGCTCAAAAGCCAGCCTCAGGTTCAGTGGTCCACTAATCACCAACATCAGAACCAGAAACCTGGTCTGGCTCTGTAGCCAGTGACACTATAGCCAGTGTTTGCTGGTGTCTGGTAGGGCAGAAGGCAGAGAGGCCAATGGAAGGTGGAGGCAATGGCGGACTGAGCCAGCTAATTCTCATTTTGCCCTCATTCTGCTTCCTACAAAGGTATACAAGGACAACACTGAGATTAAGGAGGCGAAAATGAAAGTCAGGCCCACTCTTTTGACTAGAAGTAAGTCAGGGGGGACACAGGTGGTGCTGTGGGTTAAACCACAGAGCCTAAGGCTTGCTGATCAAAAGGTTAGCGGTTCAAGTCCCTGCAACGGGGTGAGCTCCCATTGCTCAGTCCCAGCTCCTGCCAACCTAGCAGTTCAAAAGCACGCAGTGCAAGTAGATAAATAGGTACCGCTCCAGCAGTAAGTGTTTCCGTATGCTGCTCTGATTTTGCCAGAAGCGGCTTAGTCATGCTGGCCACATGACCTGGAATCTGTACGCCGGCTCTCTTGGCCAGTAAAGCAAGATGAGCGCCACAACCCCAGAGTCAGCCATGACTGGACCTAATGGTCAGGAGTTGCTTTACCTTTACCTTTAAGTCAGGGGGGTAGGAACTCGCTGAAGAAGAATCAAGGTTGGTAAGCCAGCCTCCATAGACTGTAATCTCTGACTCAGGTCCTAACCAATTCAATTTTCTTCCAACCCCCTTCAGAACAAATAGCTCACTAGGAACTCTCCATGGTGCTGTGACCACCAATCTATCTTTTGGCTTGGTTCTATGGGCTCCTCTACAAAAAAGCAGGACAATAGTTGCTTTCACAAATGAAGCTACTACCTCAAATCCAATCCCCAGAAAGGCACTCCAGCACCAGAGCTAGACAGAATCCCTCACTTCTCTTCAAGGGACATTTTATATGGATGAGAGCATGCTGGCAACTTGAGGGCATACACGTGAAAGTCACAGGTGGGACTGGGTGTCCTGCTCTACAGCACAGCACAAGGAAAGGATCAAACTGAGTGTAAGGCTGGGTGGAGTTCAGGCTGGAAACAAGTCAAAGCAAAGTTTAGGCAGGATTCTAGGAACACAGAACTCTTGAGCTGCTCCAGCAATGAACAAGCTGAAACAGTCCTTTTATAACAGTAGGAGCAAACGCAACCTGCACCTGTGATTCAAGCTGCTGCTTGACTGAAAGGGATAATCTTAGGTCTTCCTGGGTATTCTGCAGTAGAGTGAGCAGACTTTGAGAGGCAGCAGTTGCCTTCATTAAGGCATCTGAATGGCCACCATGGGAAACAGGATATTAAACCTGAAGGAACTTTGTCTGATCCATCAGGCCAATTACTTTCCTACAACAGCCAGAGACCATCCACCTATGTAGCACAGCATAACCTTTTGGCAGTAACCCAACCAACTTCCTATTCCAGTCATTCAAGTTAAGACTTGCAGCAAATCACCCAGGTCCAAAACCTATCTGCAGGATCCCATGACTTGCAATTTAATGAAGGCAATGTGCTGTTGTCCTTTGGAGAGCTGCAACAGATGTTCTAGTAAACCACCACACAATATCAAGACCAAGAGTCACAAGGAAAAAGGAGTGTAAGTAAGATTTAACTTGAACTACCTCTTAGCATGGTATCTGGGTTGTACCAAATGGAATCTCAACCTTCCCCTTCATTCATTTTCTCTGTCTCTTTATGACATCAGCAGCAGCATCTCCTGCTCAGGCTTCTTCAGGATGACTTCACAATATGAATCCTCAGCAAAAAGGGAAGGAAATGCCTGAAACAGAAAAATGAATTCTCCCGGTCTGGCTAGAAGGAACAAGCTGGTGAGGTGAAATAATCTTGCACTTCGGGGCATCGTTCTGAAATGTGGATAATCCTCTACATGGAAACACCAATAAAATCTAGACAAGGTGTCAGTCCACATGGAGTTTATTATTCCCATGTATAGTGCCCAGTTCAGTATACAAGTAAGACAGGTGTTCAAAGAGCACAGGTTGATGTAAGGAGCATGGAGAGGTGTGTATCGGCCTGGTCACTATGTCCTTGGAGGTTCCAGCTCCACTCCGAACTTTCAACATGAAAGATTGAAAAAGTATTCTTTGGGTGTTCAATTTAACATGCAGGGACTCCTCCCCACAACTGGAAAGCCCATGCAATTGGGATTCCCAATTGTGGGGAAGATTCTAAGCTCATTCAGATGAACATGCAAACCATCCCCCTCTGAACCTTCTGCCCAATTCATGAAAACCTGTAGCCAATGAGAATGTTATGGGTGGGACTAGCATGCACATCACTAATCTTCTCTCAATGTCTTTTCAGGCAAAAACATGCAAAGAACTGGAAAGCCCGTTCAGAGAGAGCCAGTACCCACCACCTTCCAGCCAAAACTCACCGTCTTCCAGCCAATGCCCAGAATGTTCCAGCCAAGAGTTTAGAGCAGACACCCAAGGCAGACCAGCAGGTCAGGTAAGCCAAGTTATGTTCCAGCCCCAGGCACAGCTGTTAACAGGATGTTTTGCACAGTCTCGCAAAACAACTCCAAGATCATTACCATCTCCACATTTCCGCCTGCAGGAGTAAATGAAAGGAGCGAATATGTGAATGCATTTGAAGGGTTGGATTAACAACAAGAAGAAGAAGAAGAACAACTATGACAATTACAGCAACAGGTCTACAGTGCCTAGGAAGGAGAGTTAACCCTTTCACCCATGTTGCAATCTCAGTGAAAATCCTCTCCACTCCAAAGCTCTAATCACTCTAAGAGAATGCTGCCTTCAATGCCGTTGGCAGCTTCCCTTCTGGATTAAGTAGCAATTACAGGAGGTAAAACTTCAACAGTACCACAGCAGTGGGTGAAGACCCTTCCTGTCTGCAGATCTTAGACCTGAACCTGATCACCTGCCTCTTCTCATGGCTATTCTTTTGCACATGCTTTTAAAAAATAATCATGTTAAATAGATTTGGGTGAATGGGGCTCTGCCTCCACCTGCTTCCTCTTTGTTCAAGGGGTGACTTTGACTGTCACAGACTTTGGTTCCACCTACTGTTAGGCTTTGTGCCTTCTCCCTGTCAGTCTCGATGGGCAGCAATTACCACTAAGGCTGATGGGAATTGTAGTCTAACATCTGGAGGGCACCATGTTTCCAATCCTTGGGTAGGTAATTATGCAAATTGATAGACTTTTCCACCGTATAAAGCCATTGAAGCAGTATATATGATCGAACAGAACAAAACACAAAAATGCAAGCTCTAAAAGCAATAAAATCAATTCAACAAGCTCTCAAAACAACAAAAGCATACCAGCAAACTCCAGGGAAAAAAATCATCAGATGTAAAATTGATATTCCATAAGTGACTGGGTGCACTGCAGATAAAGCCTTCCTAAGCAAAAATTTCTTCAGTAGTTGACTAAACATTATCACGCTATGCACCTGTCTAGACAGACAGATAGAAAGAAAGAGATATTGTTTGCCTGTCTGCTAACACATTCAGGAGCTTGATGCTTTATAATATGTCTCTTCTGTACTATACTGTATATTTAAAGCATTATCATACCACTTTCAGCAATCATGCATTCCCCCAAAGAATCCTAGGAACTGTAATTTGCTAAGGATGCTAAGAGGTGTTAGGAGGCCCCTTTTCCCTTCACACGGCTAAAGTTCTCTGAGTTCTCTGGGATGAGGAATTGACTGGTGAACCACTCAGAACTTCAGTCCCCAAGAGTCTTCAGGGGAAGCTAAGCTGTTTGAAGTGATATGCTACTGTGTTAAATGAAGAGTGCTAATGGGACCAGAGTGGATTATCATTTAAGAGTCAGGATACAGAAAAAATAGAATGAGGTAAGAAGATGCAAATCAGAAAGGTCAGGTACTAGCTCTTTCATACTGTTACAAGTGTGGTTGTTGCTGCAGGCACTTATTGGAGGGGAAGAACCAGATAGTATTTGATCTCAGCCAGGCCAATGAAAGAAACTTTGCTGTCTCACTCTGAAGTACAGTGGTACCTCGGGTTAAGAACTTAATTCGTTCTGGAGGTCCGTTCTTAACCTGAAACTGTTCTTAACCTGAGGTACCACTTTAGCTAATGCGGCCTCCCGCTGCTGCTGCTGCTGCTATTGTTGCTGCGCCGCCGCCGCCCGATTTCTGTTCTCATCCAGAAGCAAAGTTCTTAACCCAAGACAATATTTCTGAGTTAGCAGAGTCTGTAACCTGAAGCATCTGTAACCTGAAGCGTCTGTTACCCGAGTTACCACTGTAGTCAGGAAAAATGGCTCTAATGGAGATAATTAAAAAAAACAAAAACAACCATCCTTTCTTGAGCAATGCTGGTCCTGAATTGTTGTCAAAGTATAATCTGCCCAAGAAATGAAGAGTTGTTATAGATCATGGGTAGGCAAACTAAGGCCAGGGGGCCGGATCCGGCCCAATCGCCTTCTAAATCCGGTCTGCGGGCGATCCGGGAATGAGCGTATTTTTACATGAATAGAATGTGTCCTTTTATTTAAAATGCATCTCAGGGTTATTTGTGGGGCCTGTCTGGTCTTTTTACATGAGTAGAATTTGTGCTTTTATTTAAAATGCATCTCTGGGTTATTTGTGGGGCATAGGAATTCGTTCATTTATTTATTTTTTCAAAATATAGTCCGGCCCCCCACAAGGTCTGAGGGACAGTGGACTGGCCCCCTGATGAAAAAGTTTGCTGACCCCTGTAATAGATCTAGTATAAGGTGCTTCACACATGATATTTTTTCAAAGGGCACCAAAGTTTTTGGGTTGTTGTTGCTTTTTTGGTACAAGGATGAGGGAGCAATGCCCCATTCCCAATGTTTTTGTGCGACGACCCCCCTCATCCAGGATTATCATCCATGCTTTCTGAGAGAGTTGGAATCCAACAACATTTGGAGCCCCCCCCCCATTTGAATGTGTAGAAGTATGTAAGGAGTGCAGCAAGCAAGGACTCCTCCCCATGACTGTAAAGCCCACACAATTGCGAATTATCAGTTGTGGGGTGGATTCTCTTTCAGATGCACATGCAAATCCTCCTCCTCTGGACCTTCTGCCCAATGCTTGAGGCTGGGAATGTTGAGGGGGGTTGGGGCTAGCACGCACATCCCTAATCCTCTCTCAATGTCTTTTCAGTCAAACACCTGCAAACAACCAGAAAGTTCATTCAGAGGGAGCTAATACTCGCCACCTTCCAGCCAAGACTCACCATCTTCCAGCCAATGTCCAGAATGTTCCAGCCAATGCCCAACACCTTCCAGCCAAGAACTTAGAGCAGACATCCGAGGTAGACCAGCGTGTCAGGTAATCCAAGTTATGATCCAACTCCAATTACAGCTGTTAACAGGGCATAAATTCACAAAGCAATTCCAGGATCATTTCCTTCTCCCCCATCACATTCAGTTTGCTGCCCACCCCCCACCCCCCAATCTGCACCTTTACTTACAGAAAGTCATAGGGTGGTTCTGGCTGTCATTGACTCTGGTGCCACCTACTGTTGGCCTCCGTGCCTTCTGTCCTGCCAGTCGCAATAGGCAGCAATGACCACTGCCCCAAAGAATATGAACTCAGCTTCCTCAACTTCCTTGCCTTGAACTGGGAAAGCCATTGTGTTGCACATTTTGATCTATGCACTGGATATAGAAATATTTGTCCTGAGAAAGAAGTGATGCTGGATTGAGACAAGTGGAGTTTCCAGATTTATTTATTTAAAAGGCAATGCATGTGCACTCATGTGCAACCTGCCCCCACCTGCAATCCATTCAGGGTCGGGCAGAAAAACTGATTTTGCAGGAACTACTTCAGGGATTTTTATTTTTATTTTATTTTTGAGCAGACCAGAACTAGAGCCAGGTACAAAATGGTGACTCATAGGGTGGCGTGAATTACCTGCATCACCCCATGGGCCAGATGTTGGAGATGAGCTTCATAAACAGGCACACATTTAAAACAAGGCCTCTATCTGCACATTGCATTTAAAGCAGCATTCATACCACTTGAACCAGTCATGGGTTTCCTCAAAAGCCCCAGGGAACTGTGGTTTGTTTATATTAATATTAAGAATATTAATATTAAAGGGAGTGGGTTGGAAATATTGTTATTGCTGCTTTCATAGTTTTTTATACTTGAAAATCATATCTATCTATCATCTATCTATCTATCTCACAACTGGATCCATAGTTGCACCTGAAATTCTCCACCCTGTTTTTATCCAGTGCTATTGAAATGCGACATTTTCAGTGGGTTAGTAAAAGTGAATCCTGCACAACACTTTCCCCAACCCCCTCCAGGGCCATGTGATTAATCATAATCAATACTCACAAGCATCTGATTGGCCACCATTGAGAACAGCATGCTGGACTAGATGTGCCACTGGCCTGATCCTGCATACTCTTATTGTGGTCTTAGTAATGCAGAATAGGACCATCTGTATGCCAGAGGAAGCTTTGCAACTCAAATAATTGCTCCTACCTCTGTTTCAAGGATCCAGCTCATTACCCTCATCTCCTTGATGCAATATTAAGTTGCCACATTTTGCAGGTCTCCCACTCAAGCTTATTCAAAAGGCTTTCAACCACAGTTGTAATAAATCCTCTAAACAGTCCAGCTTATTCTTCAATTTTGTTTCTTTTCACTGGGCTAGGTCCATAAATTAGATCTTTCTCTTCCATGCCTGTTTTGGATGAATGGTTTAATTAACAAGGGAAGAAACGAAACAAGGCCACAAAAAGAGAGGAAAAAAGACATATGCCTTTTCAAATGTTTTAAAAGCTGTTGAGAAAAATCATTTCAAAGTTTTAGGGGGGGCGCAGGAAGAATTATGAAAGTAACAAAAATCATTCTTCAGCTCTTTCTATCAATTCTGCTGGTCCCACCAGAGTTGTAATCCTCCATCCTAACTTTGCTCCCCCGCCCAAACAAAATATGCTGATGAATGCAGTGGAAATAAGAGAAGCTGACAATGGGAAATATAGTATTTTATTACAGGGGTGGGAAACCTCAGGCCTGGGGGATCAAATGTGGCCCTACAAGCATTTCTATTTGGCCCTTGAGACTCTCCTCAGGCCCTTCTTCATACCCTCCTTGAGCATATTTGCCTGGCTAGAATGCATCCTGGAACTCTGATGTTATCTCATTCTTGCCTGGATGGTACATAGAGAGAGGCGGGTGAGTGTGAAGAAAGCAGCCTATTGTACAGTGGCAAGATTCACATTTGTTGCTCCCTTTGGTCATATGCACAACTAGCATGTGTCACCTGCAGGGTTGATGACAACGAAATGTTTCCTTTGCATTGAAAGAAGTTCCCTGCAGCTGTTCTATAACTATCTGACAATGCAACCTTGCCAGCATATATTATATATTAGCAAACCCTCCAAGTGTCCCTATTTTCCAGGGATGTCCCTGATTTAGAGAAGCCATCTTGGTTTCTGATTTGATCCCGGAATGTCCCACTTTTCCTTAGGATGTCCCATAGGATTTTCATTGGAGAAATGTTGAAGGGTTTGGAGATACAGTATCCAAGCCCTGAGCTGCCTGAAGGCAATTCTGTATAGTGAAGGGTTTTTTTAATGTTTTTATATATGTTGGAAGCTGCCCAGAGTGCTGGGCAACCCAACAAGATGTGTGGGGTATAAATAGTAAAATTATCATTATGGAATGGGACGTCCCTATTTTCATCGGAGAAATGTTGGAGGGTATGTATTAGGCCCCATCACACTGTAACCACTTGAAGTCATCATGGACTTCCCCCAATGAATCCTGGGAACTGTAGTTTGTTAGGGGTCTGAGGCTTGTAGGAGACCCCTGTTCCCCTCATAGAGCTACAGTTTGCCAAGTGGTTTAACAGCCAGTCCCTCTTCCCAGGAAACTCTGGGGATTGTATGTAGCTCAGTGAGGGGAATATGGGTTTCCTAACAACTGTCAGCACAGTTGGGGGTCAGGGGTCAGCTTCTCAGTCTCAGTGCTGCCACTACCAGGGGGGAAGATGGGAGCAAAGTTTCAAGCACCAGATTAATTTCCTCCTGAGGAGAGAGCAAAAGAGACTTATGCTACTTTGTAATATCTATTTACAAATATAAGGTTGAGAGGTGGGGGGGGTGTTGACTATCAGAATAGATGGTGCTTATCTGTATCATAGAGGGATGCGGGTGGCGCTGTGGGTTAAACAACAGAGCCAAGGGCTTGCCGATCAGAAGGTCAGCGGTTCGAATCCCCGCGATGGGGTGAGCTCCTGTTGCTCAGTCCCTGCTCCTGCCTACCTAGCAGTTTGAAACCACGTCAAAGTGCAAGTAGATAAATAGGTACCACTTCGGCGGGAAGGTAAATGGCATTTCCGTGCACTGCTCTGGTTTGCCAGAAGCAGCTTAGTCATGCTGGCCGCATGACCCGGAAGCTGTACGCCGGCTCCAATAAAGCCATATGAGCGCCGCAACCCCAGAGTCGGCCACAACAGGACCTAATGGTCAGGGGTCCCTTTACCTTTACCTATCTGTATCATAGTGTCAGTTCCTCAAAAGCAAACCACATTGAAACTCCTCCTTTCAGCCAGCTGCAAATAAATAAATAAATCTCAGGGTTCCAGGTCCCAACCAATTGAGGCATGCTTGATAGCTAGCAGTAATCAATCATCAATGGCCATTTTAGAAAGCATCTTCTAGCTATCAGTGCTCCTTTAAAAAAAACAACAAAAAACCAGCTTTAGCTATCAGCTGAACAAATGCCTAGAGGGGGGAAAAATCTGTCCTCATTGCATGACCATAACATTATTAAATATTTCTCCAGCTAATAGTATCGCAGTAGTAAATATGAACCAGACCTTGCAGCCTTTAATTGTATTTTCATTTCAAATGGCCAATAGGTGCTTATTTTGTTTTCACTTATCTAAATGACTCATGCCCAGACACACTGATGTTCTGGAATATGTACACCAAATAAGTAATTTCTTCTCTATTCAACTTGCCGCAGGCTCCAAGGCATCCAAAGGGATTTTGCATACAACCAGGTCTTTAGAATAAATCCCACCTGACTTCTGTTTTGGTTACCAGGATGAGTGTTGAAATGGTAGATAATTAGGATGACGGGGGTGGGGGGTCGAGGTGGCGGACAGAATTCATAAACTGCTACTACAGAAAAGAGAAGATCTCACTGAACCTTTGTAGAGATAAGCACTCATTTATTTGACTTTTCATAGACATCTGAAGGCAGCCCTGTTTCAGGAAGCTTTTAATGTTTGACGTTTTCTTGTGTTCTTTTATATTTTGTTGGAAGTCACTCAGATTGGCTGAGGTAACCCAATCAGATGAGTGGAATATAAGAAATAAATTATAACAATAATATTGTTTAAGAATGTAACTCAATCATTCTATATCTATTCAGTTCCCAAATGAAGGTCATTCTAAGGCAGGCTTCCTCAACCTCGGCCCTCCAGATGTTTTTGGCCTACAACTCCCATGATCCCTAGCTAACAGGACCAGTGGTCAGGGATGCTGGGAATTGTAGCCTCAGAACATCTGGAGGGCCGAGGTTGAGGAAGCCTGTTCTAAGGCATACACTTATGGCAGTTCAAAAGCACGCCAGTGCAAGTAGATAAATAGGTACTGCTGTGGCGGGAAGGTAAACGGCTTTTCCATGCGCTCTGGCTTCTGTCACGGTGTTCCATTGTACCAGAAGCAGTTTAGTCATGCTGGCCACATGACCCAGAAAGCTATCTGTGGACAAACGCCGGCTCCCTTGGCCTGAAAGTGAGATGAGCACTACATCCCAAAGTTGAATTCCACTGGACTTAACCATCCAGGGCTCCTTTACCTTAACCTTTTTACCTTGTGCCTGCTAATAATAATAATAATAATAATAATAATAATAATAATAATTTAAAACTGAAAAAAGGATAATGTCTTTAGAATTGGTAAAATAGTCTATATGTCAATGCCTCTCTCTGTTTGTTTTTTTCTCTTGTAGTAAATATAGAGGATCTCCACTTTATGAAAAATACATCCCAGGTATGAAGGTGAACATCAGATCAGAGAGTTTGCTTTGCAGGGCAGGGCACACACTGAAGAAATGTTCTTATTGTGTTATATTGTGGGGTAGAGAGGGAGTGGTAGAGAAATTCTAACTATTTAGATGAGTATTCCCCAATCCAGTGCCCTCCAGATCTTTTGGACTACATCTCCCATCTTCCCTGGAAATTAGCCCACTGATTTGGGCTGCTGCAAGTTGTAGTCCAACAGCATCTAGAGACCAGACTCATTAAGACACACAGCCCACCCTACCAATATCTCCAAATGACTATCAGCACTTGTATTTATTCTCAAGAGCCCAGTGAAGATTTATGGAAATGAGCCGTTTATTCTTTCCCACTTGCAATTTAGGGAAATGAATCTGGCATTTCCTCACAGCATTCAGTGAATATGGGATTTAAAGCAAAGGTGGGAAACTCCTTTCAATCCAGCAGTAGGTGGAGCCAGACTCTCAGAACAATGCATCCAAACACACATATAACCTGAAAGATCATATCTTGCTAGACAGACCCACACAGGTGTATAACCCGCAAGTGTCCCATTTTTCCCCATGAGAGCATGGTGGCCAGAGGGGGTTGTTTTGTTGTTTTCATTACTAATGAATTATTTTTGCCTTTACCTTGCATTCTTATCTTGTGAACCGCCCTGAGATCTTGCGATGAAGGGCAGAATATGTAAGTCTGATAAATAAATAATATTTGGGGAATGGTTCCTGTTCTTATGTTAGCTGCATTGTTTTATGCTTTCTGGGTGTCCCATGATCATATTATAAAGTAGCTGTATTCTGCATTCTAAATCAAAACACTGCTAGGAATTGTTACCTTCTGTTCTCCAATGCATTTCTTAGCAATAAAAAATTCAGTGCGGCATGAGGAAACTCTTATTCAGAAAGTGTGGCCCAGAGAAGAAAGTTTGAGAAACACTGCAATAGAGGATTAGACAATTCAGGGTGAGAAAGCTACCAATGGCACTACTAGCCATTATGACTATGTTGCACCTGCACGGTTGGAGGCAATATGCCTCTGAATGCCAGTTGCTCACAGTGCTAGTTGCTCACAAGTGGGGAGAAGGCTGCTGTGCTCAGGTCCTGCCTTTGGGCTCCACATAAGTTGGCCACTGTGAGAACAAGATGGTGGTCTAGATCACTATTGACCTGATTTAGTAGGGCTATTCTTATGCTGTCCTTTTAAGCATCTGTTAAGGACTGAACTCATAGGTGAATTCATAGAAACCACTCTTTACCATTGTGGTGTTGGGTTCCCCCCTCCCTCAAAGGTCTTTCTTATTTCTATCTGTATTTCAGATATCGAGTGCTATAATGCCATACTAAAGCCACGAGTCAGCCTAAGCTTTCCTCTGGACTTTCCAAAGCCAGTACGACCTGGTACCAAAACAAGATCAAGGCCTTCTGCTTTAAAGGTAAGCAGAATTCCTCCAGGCAATTAATAAGACAAGAATTTTTAATAAAGTGCAATATTAGGAGGGGGAAACGCATTGAAATCAATAAAGACAAAACTCTATTTTAGTTTAGTAGTTTAGTATTCAAGTATTTTAGAAGTTGTCAAAACCATATGGGTATATTAGTTTCAATATAAAAGATGTGTCATATCTGCTACAACATAGTTGAGGAACCTTTGCTCTTATAGATGTTGTTGGACTACAACTCCTGCCATCCATGACCACTGACCATGCTGGCTAAGTCTGATAGGAGCAGGACCTGAAGGGCCAAAGGTCCCCAGCCATTAAGGGGGACCCTGAAAGGTACAAAAGTGCCAACAGAATAGCATGGTGAAATCTGCTTACAGAGCCAGGAAGTTCAATGGAAAATCCACCTGGCCTGTGACATTTCAATGTATATATTTTATATTCTGCAAACTGGATGTTTTAACATGTGCTTTTTTTGTGAGAATGCACTGCATTGTGGGCATTGTAGTCCACAGTAGCTGTATAAAAAATGATTACAATTAGAACTACACTCACATTATATAAGCCCAGATGGGTTGTGTGCATCCTTTCAACCCTTAGCAATGGCCTTCCATGTTGGAGAAACTCAACAAAGATCCAAGCTGGTGAAGAGGACACCAGAAGGGTAACTTGCCACATTTTGAACTAAGTGAAGCAACACATACTGTATTACAATCAAAAATGTATTACAATCAAAAAGTCCAGAGCCAAAGATTGGGCCTCCAATATATGAAAATCTCCCTGCTTCCCTATAGTTCCTCTTGTATGCTGTGATCAGCAGAGGGTAACCTCTTGGTAGTTCCATCACCTTCAGAGGTTTGTGGGGGACCCTAAGAGAAGGCCTTTCTTGTGGCAGCCGCAAAGCTGTGTAAGACCTTCCCTACAAAAGTGCATCTGGCACCTTTATTGTACAACTTCTGGCAAATACTGAAGAAACACCTCTTTAACCCTGGCTTTTGACACATGAGGTGTATAATTTTAAGACCAACTTTATTTTTGTGATTCCAAGTTATTTTAAATTTGTTTTTAATATTGCATTTTAATTTGTAACCCACCCTGGAACCTTAGGGTGAAGGGTGGCATAATGTCACCACCTGCACCACTCTACCCATTTGCCCTTTCACTCTTGTTGGCTCTTGTCCTATCTACAATGGCCTAAAATAAGTTTATGGGTCCAAGTCACATGAGATCACCAACTTTGCTGCCAGATTTATACTGAACACACACACGTCAACTGTGCCAATTCTCTAAGGACAGTTCTCGTTCTCCCCTTCCACTGATATAACACTGGCTTTTGGGGATGCTTTGTTAAAATATTGTTTGTGTGATTTGCTAGATAAAAACAGTGGTTAAATCCCCGTACCCCTGATCTATGGAAGTTAAAGCTCTAAGTTATGGAGATGGGAGCATCTTGCCCCTAATGTACATCCGTACTGATGCACCCCCATAGGCAGTAAGGTGCCATGTTCTGCACTGTCTGCCACTTCTCATGCTGATGAAGCTCATTTTTATAACAGATTGTACAGCAGTTATGAGAGGTTTTTTGAAGCATATATTTAGCCAAAAGAACAAAAGAATGAACATCTTGGTTTTCTTGAAGCCCCAGATGTGCCACTGCAAATTAATGAATGCAGTATAGCTTTGTGCAGCTAGAGTAGAGTTTTCTGCCCTGAGAAATGAAGGAGGTGTGAACATGGCCGCGGAACAAGAGGTATTTGGTATGAGAGAGTTGGAGGGTCTGCAGCTGTCCATGGATTCTCTCCTTATCTCAATCCCACTCTCTCTATGTCACAATTACTAACATGCAATTTGATTGTTGCCTTTCAGCGAGTCAACATACCGCTAGCACCAGCACATGTGCAAGTAGACTTTAAAATCCCCACCACTGAACCACCCAAGCCAATTGCTCCAGGTGAATCTGATGAACCATCTCTAGAACCATCTCTAGAACCAAGCCAGAACCAAGCCTTAGAGAACTCCGAGAAAGCAGATCCAAGCAAGTCAGAGGAGAAAAAGAAATTTTGGCACAAGTTGCCTTGTTGGAAGAAAAAGAAGGCCCCTGTATCAGACACTAAGGAACATGCAGGTGATCATACCAAGGTAGATGCAGCTGGTAATATAACAGTTACACCTGAAAATGAAGAAAAATCACACCATAGCAGTGTATCACCCCAGACCACTGTGGAATCGCCATCACCACCACCACCACCACCAAAATCACCACCACCCATTTCCCCTTCAGCAACTAAACCTAGGAAAAGAATCAAAGATAAAGATACCACACTGATGGTATCTCCATCAGACATAACCCCTCAAACATCTGCTGCACCATCACCAAGTGATGATGGGGAACAGTCAAAATCACCCAAAGGGATTTTGAAATCATCAGTGGAAAAAATGCAGCCTGGAAAATCTGTTTCCATCCATACACCAGAAGAGATAAACAGCACCAAGCCTCCTCCAAAGCATTCAATGACTCATTTTAGAAGTAAGGAAATTTCACCTGTGACTAATGACAGTCCAACCTCTGAGAGAACATCAGCCACTGATGAAACAGAGCTGAGTTCTGCACCTACCACATCGCTCAAATCTCAGAGGCGCACACCTCTGTTTGCCAGAGCTTTTAAGCCACCACTAAATGTTTCCAGGAAACGTTTTGGAAAGGGAAAAGAAGAAGTTTCCACTGTTGCAGCTTCAGAAACACCTTTGCCTGAGTCTACTAATTCTGGAGATCAAGAAATTTCATCCCTGACATCTCAGCCGCCATTGGAGAAAACAGTGCCCACATCACCACCTGGCATGGTGCCTCCTGATTCAGCGCCCAGATCACCACCCAGAAATTTGCCGCCACCACCAGAAGATCAATTGAACACAGAGGCAGCTTCTGCTCTCACTACCTCTCTCAGATCTCAGAAGCGGGCACGTATGTTTGCCAGAGCAAGTACACCATCCCCAAATGTTGCCACTACTCATTTCAGAAGTGAGGAAATGTCACCTACAGCTGACAGCAGCTTGCCTCGCCCAACGCCTGGGAAAACACCACTCAAATCACCCACCACTTCTCCCAAAGATACTGAGAAACACACAGCGGTGCACAAATCTTTCTTCACCACAATTCCAACAGGATCTCTGGAGGAGGTGAAAGCTGCACGCCTAGTAAGTTGTTTCTCTTTTTCTTCAAATCTCATGAAAACGCAAGTCAGAAATGTTGGTGTAATAAGGTCAAATAGTTGGTGTAAGGCAGTCAAATATTATACCATAGGGAAGAGGTAATATTGGGTGCACCGCAATCAGAACTTCAATACAGGTAGTCTAAAGTTTAAAAAGCTGCAACGTTGCTTGTAAAATACAAGTGCTCATTGGCCGAAGCATTAGAAAACAGGAGCAAATGTATTCATACTAAGCAAACTAGTAGAATCCTACCTATCTTGCTCATTCTTACATCTGACATTCTTGTGAAATAGCTTAGTTATATAAAAGTTTCCTCAGAGAGACACTCCAGCATGAAATGGCTGAAACAGGAGTTTGTTTCTATGGATGCAATGAAGGGATTGAGCACCTCAAGCCTGAAATGGCAATGTGTGCACACCCCCTCAGCCTCTCTATCTGGCCCTCAGGATTTTCCCTAAGCCACACTCCGAAACTGTGCTGCTGTGTACCCTCCTTAAGTCATTTTGCCTGGCTAGACTACATCCTTGAACTCTGATGATGCCTTGTCCCAAGCATACACAACTCACAATGAGGACATGTGATCGGACGTTTGGTTCTTTAGTGTCAAAGCACTCAACTACATCAGCTTCTAAGGTGCAAAAAAATATGTGCACTGCTCCTGCTAAATAGCTAGCTAGGCATCTCCTTCATCAGGCTTGTGCTCTGACCCTGATATCTGGAGCAACAATGCAAACATGCCCCTTTCAGCACACGTACCCACACTTGTGATGCCAGCAGCTGGTGACCTCCTGTACTACAGCTCCAGCTGCTCCTGTCCCTTTAAACCCCTCCTTGTCCTTGGAGACAGCAAGGGAAGAAGCAGAGGAGATTCTAATGGCCTAGCTGTCTCTGCCTCTGTCTCTTCCACCTCTGTGCCTTCCTGTAACTCTTCCCTGCCTCCTTTTCTCCCATTTATGACTCTTCTTCTTCCCTCCGCCACATGGGTGGTACAGAACCCCACAAATCACCGGCCTCTTCCCCTTGATCATCCTCCTGCTCCCCTGGCTCCTCTGCCCACCCTTCAGACTCCTGCCTGCACCTGGCATGCTTCTTGCTTATCTGGGTGGAGAACAGAGATGGGTGTGTGAGTATGTGTATATTAGTAGACAAAGGTAACATTTACATATATATTTTTCTCTGCCCACTTTTGTTTCTGGCCCCTTCTGCTACCTGAAAGTGGCCCTCCGAAGGCACTACTCTCAGATAACTGTGTGCAGAAATGCATTCTTGTATGTGTATAAGGTGGCAAAACTTGCATGTTTCTTTCTGCAGAATAATTTGTAATTCTTCTTGTTGTTATTAATTCCATTCTCATGCCTTCTATCTTCCTCATTCCAGCCTGGAGCAAAATGGGTTCAAAAATTCCTTTAATAAAAAGAAAGGAAGAATGATTTTTTTTCAGTTCTACCACAACACTTCTCTGGGGATTCTTTATGTAGCAGCTGGTATCAATGAATAGCTCTTCCTTTTATTAAAAGCTAACAAATAAAACATATCCACCAACAACCTGTGAGTAGTGAGTTTATTGGCATAACTTGGTAATTGCCTTGTTCATGCTCAGTCTGTAGAGCATGAGACTCTTAATTTCAGGGTCATGGATTCAAGCCCTACATTGGGCAAAAGATTGCAATATGCATTGCAAAGCATTGGCCTAGATGACCCTTGGGGTCACTTCCTACTCTAAGATTCTGCATCTGATACCAGAATCCTCAGAGGAAGGCAGCCCAGAAGTTGCAGGACCATGGACAGCTCCAAGTAAACAGCTTGCTCTCACAAAGGTTAAGAGCAGACTGAGTCTTTAAAAAACAACAACAACGTGTTTGGTTCCTTGCCTTTTCCCAGCAGACATAGCATATGAGGTTGGGTGTTGCCACAGCAGCTTGCCAGGGCAGGGCAGGGTGGTGGTAAAGGCAGCCAGCTGCAACTTCAGATATTGGAATGTAGCTTTTGAGGTTTCTGCCCAAATCAGCCACTTCTGCACCATTCCCTGTGTACAGCATGTCTTTGTAGGAACTATGGTGCAAATCACTTCATGCTCCCGAAGTGGATCCTTTGAATCAATGTGTCAGATGGAGAAATGGTTGTGTGAACTGCCTTTCCCCCGGAATGCTGGTGTCACATCATGGGCATATTTTTCTCACTCTGATACAGTCTGCCAACTTAACAACACATTTCTCTGCAAGTTCTGGCTTTTTAGCAAAGACCAGTCATTACAACGTGTACTAGAGCAGTACTCCAATTTGGCCAAGTACACCAACAGAACAGACTGACAGAAATGTGGTGTCAAGATAGGCATATAGGAAATAAATGCAGTGTGTCCATCCTGGCTTTGGGACAAATGTGACAATATAGCTTCAGCAGTTAATGTGATTGAACACATTTTTAGTCTTGGGAGGTGGTGGTGGTTGGTTTCAACAACTCCAGCAATGCAGAAACCTCTTTATAAATCAAACTCAGGATTTCCCTCCATGATGTTTGGAAAGGATACCATCACCTTAAGAAACAGAGGCTAGATCCAGACACATCAAAAAAGCGATTCAGTTAAACACGTTGTAGACTTCTTAAAGGGAAATCCTGTTGGCGAAAGATGGGAATCCACAGCGCCATCTGGTATCACAGTGTTATAACACATATAAAGTGTTTTGGGGTTTTTTCTTTATCAATGTGGCTGTGGCATAGAATCAGTTTGTAATGAGCCCTGCAAGAGAACAAAATGCAGTGGACCAGGAGACAGTGCAAACATTCTTGAAATGCACACTATTTGGAACAGAGGTGGATGGTGCCCCTTGGGACTAGTAGGGCAGAAGGCAAGGGGACTAACAGTGATAGTCAGAGTCAACCCCCTGGTTGGTTTAAGGAGGGAGGCTGGCTGGCTGAGGGCAGACTGAGCTTGCTGGGCCAGTGCCTCATTTACACTAATGGACCAGTCCACACTGGCTGGGGGTGGGGGGGGGGGGAAAGGCAAAGTACATGTGTAAAGTTACGTATGTTGTGAAATAAGTGGATAGGACAAAGTTTTTTCTACTCACCTTCCACACAGTGAATCAATGGAATCTGCTCCCATAATGGTCAGCAACCAGGGCAGCTTTAGTGGGGAGAGGTAGACATTTTCATGGAGGGAAAGGCTGTGGGTTGCTACTAGCCATGATGGCAAGGCCCTTCTACCATTATTGTACTGAAAAGATTTTTAAAAGGGAGGCAGCCATATTGATCAAGGAGTTGGAGCAACTCCCTTATGCACAACAGTTATAACATCTGGAGCTCTTTCATTTAGAAAATGTGAGAGTAGTAGTGTGGTGGGGGGAGAGACATAATAGAGGAATAAAAAAAGTAACCATGATGGGAGAAAGTGTATAGAGGGGGTTTCCCCCCCCCCTCAAAACACTAGATCTCTGTGGCATCCAATGAAGCAGACTTTCAGAAGATTCAGCAGGCTGCCTCATAATACGATCGAAAGTCTGGCAGTGCAAAGCCATCTCTGTCTTTAGTATCTATCAAAATTTTATACTTTATTCTTCACTCCCCCCCCACCAGACAAATCTTGAAATATCTCTTTGCCATTCCCTAAAGCAGCTAGTGCTATTTGTTACTGGTATTGTTTGGAATAAGAACAAAGGTAAGATATTCATCTTTAAGGCTGAAATCCTTCCTAAAAATGATAGTTTCACCTTCCCCCATATTTCCAAATCCTTTTTAACGAGTTTCAGAAGATTCAGGGCAGACCAAAGGAAATACTTCATGCAGTACATAGTTAAAGTATGAAATTCCCTCCTGCAAGATGCAACTAGACACATTCATGGAGAATTAGGCTATAAACGACTAAAGGGAAAAAAGTTAAGGACCCCTGGATGCTTAAGTCCAGTCAAAGGCGATTCGGGGGTTGCGGCGCTCATCTTACTTTCAGGCTGAGGGAGCTGGCGATTGTCCACAGACAGCTTTCTAGGTCATGTGGCCAGCATGACTAAACCGCTTCTGGAGCAACAGAACACCATGACGGAGACCAGAGTGCACGGAAACGCCATTTACCAGTACCTATTTATCTACTTGCACTGGTATGCTTTTGAACTGCTAGGTTGGCAGGAGCTGGGACAGAGCAACGGGAGCTCACCCTGTCCTGGGGATTCAAACCGCTGACCTTCTGATCAGCAAGTCCAAGAGGCTCAGTGGTTTAGACCGCAGCACCACCCACATCCCCTAAATGGCTACTAGCCATAGTGGGTGTGCTCACCTTCCAGTGTTGGGGCCAGCATGTTTCTGAATACTGGTTTCAGGGGATCACAAGCAGGAAGAGTGCTGTTGCACTCATGTCCTCTTTGCAGGTTTCCCAGAGGCATCCATTTGTTTAGGAGGCTGGACTAGTTGAACAGGATAATGGACCAGAAGGGCCATTAGAATGATACAGCAGGGCTTGTATAAATAATGCTTGAACTGACTCTTGGTTAATTTAAATGAAAATCCATGAGCATTTTTTAAAAAATGTGTATTTTTGAAGTAAGTGCAACAAAGGCCATTTAAACATTGATGATGATGATGATGAAGATTTACTGTTATTTAAGCCTCATGGTGCAGTGGGTCTGTGTATCTGGTTGTTAACCAGAAGGCTTGGGTTTCGAGCCACCCAGGGACAGCTGTGGGAAAGATTCCTACATTGCAGGCGGTTGGACAAGATGACCCTCAGGGTCCCTTCCAATTCTACAGTTCTACAATACTATGAAATCTATGAAAAGCCCCTTTTGGGGGCTTTTATGATACCCCCCCCCCCCCCGCTGAAACCCTGCTCCATAATTCATTGAGCTACCTTGAAAGAATTAAATACCCAACTGCCCAAGGCTCAGAATGTGTTTGTGGAAGTGATGCAAAGTAATAAATGACAACAAATTCTTAAATATTAATTTGGCCTCCAGCACTTAACAGAATGATTTGCATGAATTAATCTGAGACAAAACATGCATCAGTTTCGGTAAGGAATTTGCTAGGAACTTCCAGCCACTATGAATCTTTCAAAAGATGCTAGTTTGAAGTTCTATAACAGCATACTTCAGTCATGACCTCCCACTTGACACATTAAAAAAAAAAAATACTTCGAAAGAGAAATTTGGTAATTTCCTGGGAAATCATGAAAATTTAACAAATTACTACAGAGCTTATTCCTAATTTTTGTATATGGTAATTTAGAGAATAAATGATGGATATAAGGCTGCAGTTGAACCTCTGGTTTTTTTCACACAGAAGCACTTTTAAAAGTTATGTCACATCTGTACTATGCATTTAAACCATCAGTTTTGGCTCCTCCAAAGAATCCTTTTAACTTTAAGGGCACTGAGAGTTGTTGCTAGGAGACTCCTAATCCCTCTTCCAAGGGACCTCTTGGGGTTGTAGCTCTGGAGAGCAACAGGGGTCTCCTAACAACTCTTAGCACCTTCATAATTCCCAGGATTATTTCGGGGAAGTCATCACTGTCAAAGTGGTATACAGTGGTACCTCTTGTTGAGAACAGGATCTGTTCCGGAGGCCCGTTCACAACATGAAAAGTCCGCAACCTGAAGCACTGTATCTGCACAGGTGTGCTTGTGCGCATGCGTGAAGCACGATTTAGCACTTCTGCACATGCGCGAGTGGCGAAACCCGGAAGTAACCCTTTCCAGTACTTCCGGGTCGCCGCAGGACACAACCTGAAAAAACGTATCATGAAGCAAACGTAACATGAGATATGACTGTAACAGTACTTTAAAGAAATGATAGGGATATGGCCTTAGACTGTATTGTAGTAAGGAACAGCAAATTTTCTTTTCTTGAGGTGGTTGCCTCTTTCTGCCTTATAGTAAGATCCACCACTGGCAAAGCATGAATCACCTTTACTTGTGTAACACATGAAAGGGAATAATCTCCCTCCTCAAATAGCTAGCCAGAGAAGGAGGCAGGAGCAGGGCTGTGGCCGGATCGTCCATGTTCACTGCCTCTTTGCAGCTTCTGCAGTTAGCAGCAAAGCAGCTTCAGCAGCTGCAATGCTAAGCCTCATTTTCTAACAGGAAAAAGTATCTGAATCTTTCCTCATCCTTCATTTTGGAGGGGTGGGGTCGGGGTAAGTGTCTTTCACCCCTCCCTCAGTGGTGTTTTCCCATTGTTTGAGAACTACTGATTAAAAGGATATAGAAACTCAGGAGTGGGACTTAAAATAAGGTTACCGGAGTGACTTGCAGCAATCAGTAACAGAAAAGTTCCTGCCCTCAAGCATACAGTCCAAAAAGCCAAGGCACAAAAGAAAAAGGGTTTCGAAGGCAGGAAGAACAGTGCAAACTTGGACACTGCTTCTCACTAGCTAAGTTATTGTAAGTGTTCTTTTCAATAGGATTTGGTGGAAACAAGGCCATTGCTGGCGCTCCTTCATGGGCCAATGGATTATTTCCCCCCATGCCATAATGACCTTTCTGGGAGACAGGGGAACAGCTTTCCAGTGGCCCTTGGTCCCCTTGCTGAGACCAGAGCATGCTGTCCTTCAGCTCTGCAGTCCTAGGACAACTGTCCGTTGGACTCTGCTAGTCTGCTAGGGGAAACCAAACTCCCTGTATAGGAACACAGGAATCTGCTTTATCAGTTCATCTAACTCCGTATTATCTACACTGGCAAGTAGTATTTCACCAGAGTTTCAATCAGGGGAGATTCCAAGCACTGCCTGCCTGAGAATGAACCTCGGACCTTTTGTGTGCAAAGCAGATGTTATTCCATTGAGCTATGACACCCCTTTAAGAGAAGCTGCTGGTCCTCTGCCCAATGGATGGGGGCAGGAGAGTCTCCCCTTTGCAACAAAGCTGCTTTTTCCCCCCTTGGAGGAAGTGGGTGCAGCCTCCCAACCACCTTTAGGTACTAGGTTATGACACAGTCCATAGTGGGCTGACCAGAAAATGTAGCTCACATGGCTAAAGTGCGATCCTAAGCATACTTACCTGGGTGTAAATACATTGAACACAGTGGGACTTACTTTTTAGCAAACATTCCTAGGATTGCATTGTGTGCCAACTCTTTCAAACTGATGGAAAGAAGTTACATTTTTAATTGAAAAAGATGGAATTTTATTACATTTTTGAAAACAAAGAAAAGAAAGATGGTTAATACCCAGTAACAGCAGTGTTTTCTCTTATGTAAACTTATTTCAAAGCAGTTATTTCATTTGTATAACCATGTATGTTCAAAAAGGAAAGTGAAAAGGATGTAACACATACACACACACACACCCTGGGGGATTGGTTTATTATTATTATTATTATTATTATTATTAATAATGCTGCAATTAGCCACTGTAAACTGTTCTATTTTTTATTTTCATGGAATCTTTACTTAAAACATTCATTTATTGTTTTTATTATTATTTTAAGTATCTGTTTGGTTTTGGAAAGATGTTGGCTGGCCCAGTTTCAGACTGAAAATAAGAGTGAATAATCAAATGCTACTTTATAATGCCCTAGGGACTAATCCTGCTCTAGTTAAAATAGAGCAAGAATCATATAGAATGGAGAATGGCTCCATCTTCTGACCAAAGAAAAGAGTATGAAGAGGGAAAATAGAGGGAAATTTCAGCATGAGCGAAAATATAGTGGAACAGTTTTCATATTATCTCTCTGGAACGGTTAATCTGATTTGGAGATCCACCTTGACTGGGGAGGGTTAGCCTCCATTACTTCATACTATTGACAAAATGAGCCTACGTGTGCTTACTTGAAAGTAAATCTCAGTAGTTCAATGGGGCTTAGTTGATTGAAGAATTGTATTTCTATGATGCTTTCCATTTAAATGAATGCTAAAGCTGCTTACAAAGAATAAATAACAGTACCAGAACAGAACATCACAAATACATCATAAATAATATAATATAATTAACAAATCAAGAGTTAAACAATTACAATCTATAAAATACTATTAAAAAACCAACAACTAAAGATAAAACAAAAAACACCATTACAGTATTAAAAAATCAGTGTAACACTGCTTGTAATGCTGTTTTACATCATTTCCCTTCTCTGGTTATCAGTCTCTTGTAAGTAAGGATTGCTGCCTAAGGGGTGGGGGGTTGGGAAACAGAGCCCCACTTTTTGGGAAGCTGCATTGTGTTGGGAAACTGGTCAGAACTGGGTAATCAAGAGCAAGAAAGAAAACAGATCCAGATCTCCTGGTAGACATCTGGTTGATTTGTAGTCAATCATCAAGAGTTTCTGATTTCCCTGATTGATTGGCATCTTGTCCCTCTGAACCTCTGCATCCCCCGCCTGCAAATTAGGACAAGTAGTGAATATTGCTGACACAGCTTTAAGAGAGAGTTAAGAGAGAGAAAATGCTTGCATCACTGCTGTGCCTATTTTAATAAATGTTTTAACCTTCCACCTTCTTCTGGCCAATGGAACTCAATGGAAGGCAGATTATACAGCAAACATTTAGAATAAAAATTAAAAGACAGTAAAAACACAATACAGTGCGGGGGGGGGGAGCTTTGTACGTCCAAGGATCACATTTCCCTTTGGGGACAGTATACCAGTGGTGGGTGGAGCTGGAGACAAAAGTAGGCAGGGCTCGACCAATTACACACACACATAGGCACATACTCTCTTCTTTGTGCAGACACAAACATCCATGCATATTTCCTTCCATCCATTTCATACTCTTCCCCATCTTTCTCACACCTCCCCTCTTCCATCCCTAGCTGCCTCCCATCCTCACTGCACACAGCAGTTGAGCTTTTCACAAAGGCTTTTTAAAAGCCTAACTATTGCATTGGGGGGGGGGAATCTGTGTTATGGGGCAACATATAAATGACGTATCAATCAATCAATGTTTATTGTGCTAGTCAAAGGCCATGACACAAGCAAAAGCACGAACAGTTTTAGACTCAAAATATAAATCAAGGCATTGGCTGAAACAAACAGAATCATCAGCTTCTGGTGAGACTATAACCAGGGGGTCTCCACTGCTATATACAAAATGTATTTCGGATTTAGACCTCTGAATACCCATTACAGTTCACAGCTATTTTGTCCAAATCCTTCTACCTAATCTCCTTAGCCACCAACGCGAAAAGGGTCACTCTATGTGTCACTAATGTGTTGGAATCACTCAGTAACCACCGAACGTGCTCAATTGTGGGATGATTGCTTCCTTGAACAAACAAAGGTTTAAAAAAGCTTGGGGGTGTGTATAAGGGGCAGTATAACAAATAATGAATAATATCTTCCACCTCCAATTACCTGCATATACAACATCTATCTGCGTATGGAATCTTTTTGTAACAACCAACCAGCACTGCCGAGGGCATTGCTTGAAAGCGCAACTCAATAAAGGCAGATATTAATGATACAGGCAGGGCTTTTGACAAGTAACTGGCTCTAAAATGCTCCATTTTCAGTATAGAGGAACATGGGGAGCATTAAGATGATTTAATTGCTTCTATGTTCCCTGGTACGCAGGCTGAGACCCTACCCGCCCGAGGACTGTCTCGCCAGAGTGGTGCATGCTTTAGTTATCTCCCGCTTGGACTACTGCAATGCGCTCTACGTGGGGGTACCCTTGAAGGTGACCCAGAAACTTCAATTAATCCAGGAAGCAGCAGCTAGACTGGTGACTGGGATTGGCTGCCGGGACCATATAACACCTGTCCTGAGAGATCTGCATTGGCTCCCAGTACGTTTCTGAGCACAATTCAAAGTGTTGGTGATGACCTTTAAAGCCCTAAATGGCCTCGGTTCTGTATACCTGAAGGAGCGTCTCCACCCCCATCGTTCAGACTGGCACTGAGATCCAGCGCCAAGGGCCTTCTGGTGGTTCCCTCATTGTGAGAAGTCAGGTTACAGGGAACCAGACAGAGGGCCTTCTCGGTAGTGGCGCCCACCCTGTGGAAACCCTCCCATCAGATGTGAAGGAAATAAGCAGCTATTTTATCTTTAAAAGACATCTGAAGGCTGCCCTGTTTAGGGAAGTTTTTAATATTTAATGCTGTATTGTTTTTAACACTCAATTGGGAGCCGCCCAGAGTGGCTGGGGAAACTCGGCCAGATGATGATGATGATAATGATGATGATGATGATGATTATTCAGGAGTTTAACCGGTGACGCCAATCCCTGGTTAGTGCTTATCCATCTTCAGAACCTCCTTCAGGTCTTGCAGGGAACAGTAACTAAGACTGCTTTGAATGTTTACCGTATTTTTCGCCCTATAAGACGCACTTTTCCCCCTCCAAAAATGAAGGAGAAATGTGTGTGCATCCTATGGGGCAAATGCAGGCTCCTTGGCTTCAGCGATAGCAACGCGAAGCCTCCGAAGCCTGCGCTCCAGAGGCTTCGCGTTGCTTCCACTGAAGCCAGGAGAGTCTGTTCTTTGAGGCTGGCGGTGGGGGAAAGCAGCGCTTCCCCCATCGCCAGCCCCAGAGGATGGGGGGCAGCGGGAAGGCGTGCGAAGCCTTCCCACTACTCTCCAACCCAGCTTTGAGGCTGGCGGTGGAGGAAAGTAGCGCTTCCCCCATCGCCAGCCCCAGAGGATCGGGGGGCACAATCTGGGTCGAAAAGCCCGCAGGAGCCGCGCGCTCTTTAAAGAGCGCACTGCTCTTGGGGCTTTTCCCCAAGGAGGGAGAAGGGACTGACTGGCGGAGTCAGTCCCTTCTCACTCCTGTGGGCTTTTGCGGGAGATGGGGGAATTCCCCCACCTCCCGCAAAAGCACGCAGAAGCCGCGCACTCTTTAAAGGCTGCGCGACTTCTGCTGGCTTTTCTAGGAGGTGAGGAAATTCCCGCACCTCCCACAGAATCCGTGCACTCTTTAAAGGGGCTGCGCGGCTTCTGCTGGCTTTTCTACAAGGTGGGGGAATTCCCCCACCTCGTAGAAAAGCCCGCAGGAGCCGCGCACCCTTTAAAGAGTGCGCCGCTCTTGGGGGCTTTTCCCCGAGGAGGGAGAAGGGACTGACTGGCCGTTTCAGTCCCTTCTCCCTCCGGGTCAAAAAGCCCGCAGGAGTCGCACCGGCTCCTGTGGGCTTTTGCGGGAGGTGGGGGAATTGCGCCACCTCCCGCAAAAGCAGAGAGAAGGTCTTGGAGTAGCGCACAGGCTGCGTGCAGCCTGTCCGCTGCTCTGAGAGCTGCGGGGGGGGGAATCATTTCCCCCCCTTGATTTCCCCCCCTGAAAACTAGGTGCGTCCTATGGGCAGGTGCGTCCTATAGGGCGAAAAATACGGTAGTTTCCCCCAATGTATGTTTAAATTAATGAAATCATTTCATTAATTTAGGCCTCCTTCCATAATCTGCTTTCTTGTTCTAGAGCAGTTTCTTATAATCTGCTCTAGCATTACTCCGTTTTTCCATGGATTTTGCTACAGATTTCTTCTAGAAAGCCCTGTTAAACTTTGCCAGAACTTTCATAACATCTTTACATTGTGCATCAAGCCAGCTGTATTGCACCATCTGAGTATATTGTTTGAAGCTTTTGAATTTAATAACCTGGGTCTGCTGCAATTTGTGGGAAGGTGTCCACCAGAACTGACAATTCACTTTCAAAGCTCTTGCACAGAATCATCATACGATCACTAGATAATATCTTTTGAGCGTTATTGCTTAGATTGAGTGACCATTTCAATCTTTTCACACCCAAAAGCTCTCCAGAATCACCTCCTGCCTGAGGAAGACATTTTATTAGGGGACCTAATAAAGGCAAGTGATCACTTTCTGTTTTTTCTTGCACTTCAAATATTTTCACATAAGAAAATAATGAGGGTGGTACTGTAAATATAATCAACAACACTTCCACTGTTTAAATAGCTAGAATAGATCAGTTGGTAGAGCATGAGTCTCTTAATCTCAGGATTATGGGTTCCAGCTTCACCTTTAACAAAATATTCCTGCATTGCAGGGAGTTGGACTAGATGGCCCTTGGGGTCCCTTTTAACGCTACAATTATATGATTCTAACAAGATGAAGAATGGGACGTGGGTGGCACTGTGGATTAAACCACTGAGCCTAGGACTTGCTGATCAGAAGGTTGGCAGTTCGAATCCCCGCGATGGGGTGAGCTCCCATTGTTCGGTCCCTGCTCCTGCCAACCTAGCAGTTCGAAAGCACACCAAAGTGCAAGTAGATAAATAGGTACCGCTCTGGTGGGAAGGTAAACGGCGTTTCCGTGCGCTGCTCTGGTTCACCAGAAGTGGCTTAGTCATGCTGGCCACATGACCCGGAAGCTGTACGCCAGCTCCCTCGGCCAATAAAGCGAGATGAGCGCCGCAACCCCAGAGTCGGTCACGACTGGACCTAATGGTCAGGGGTCCCTATACCTTTAACTATATGAAAGAATGTAAACTGACCCTCTGAGGGCTCCATGAAGCATGTTCAAATCATGAATAAAAACCCTATCCAGCAGTTTCATACCCTGCGGATTGTATTTCTTGTCCAGGAAGTAGCATGGTAAAAGAAAAATGCCCCCCAGCTCTAAACATAAGGGGAGTACGACTCCTTCTGAAGCACCTCCTGCAAACAAAGTAAGTAGAGGCAGCTAAAACCATGAGAACATAAACACAGCCCTTCTGGATCAGATCAAAGACCCACCAAGTCCAGTAGCCAACTAGATGCCTTTGAGAAGCCCACAAGCAAGACCTGTGAGCAACAGCATTCTCCCCACTTGTTTTCCCCAGCAACTGGCATTCAGAGGCATATTTCCTCCAACAGTGGAGGCAGAGCACAGCCATTGACAGCCTAATCCACCATTTGCCTAACCCCCTTTTAAAGCAATCCAAGTTGGGGGTCATTGCTACATCTCATGGTATTGTCAGAGAACTTATTGAAATTATAGCATGAAAATTGAAACGTGTGTTGGAAGGGTTTAGCAAGCGAAGGTTGGAATGTGAAGGTTGTTTTTGCAAGAGAACCATGAGAGAAGAACAAAGCAGCACGTAAGCAAGAGGAAGGAGATAAGGATGAAGGCCATTGCTATTTCAGAAGGCGGTTGAGCTATGCTGTGTGACTTAGCTGGCCAGAACAGTTGTTGTGTAGGAATGCTTAAAGTTTAACTATTGCTATGCTTTTTACATGAGGTGGCACTTTCTGCTCTAGGCGGTTAAATGGTGTCCATTGTAATGCTAAATAAACACCTTGCTTTGCTAACCTCTGGAGTCTGGATTTTCTTGGCCATTCTGGCCCGAACCTGCAAGGTACTGGCTACTGAAACCCAATATTTCCCCATTAGTAGAACATTCCATAGTTTAATTACATGCTGTGTGAGGAACTATTTATTTTTGTCTGTCCTGAACCTTCCAACAATCAGCTTCATTAGATGACCCCAGACACGAAAACTAGTGATCTTTCTCTTTTTAAAAACATTATGTGAGTCTTATTGCATATTTATAATGGTTCTGCACTTATCTGATTTTTAAAAAATGAAATTGCCATATACAAGTAACTTTATAAAGAAAGAAGAGCCCTTGCAAAAGGGTCTGTTTTTCATCTTGCATACTGTCATTGCAAGCAGGTTGGAGGTGCTTGACAAACAAGGAGTGGCACATTTTCCTGGTTCTGGTGTGCTCTGATCTGCTTGCAGTTATGATTAAGATGATGAAGAAGATGCACCATTTGGAAGACCAGGAAGAAGTGCCATTGGAAGGAATTGATTTGGCATGGCAAGCAAGATAGGGCCCATGAGCTATAGGTGGACCGTACACAATAGCTTTCATTTCTTTTCATTAACATAGCTGTGAAAATTGGCTTGGAATCTCTTTTACCTCCAATCCTTTAATATGGAGATATGGCATGGTTAGAGTGTTGTACTAGGACCCGAGAAGCCAGGGTTCAAATCCCCATTCGGCCATGAAGCTCACTGGGTAACCTAGGGCCAGACACTGTGTTTTGAGGATAAAATGGTGAGTAGAACCACAGCGGGTGGCGCTGTGGGTTAAACAATAGAGCCTAGGGCTTGCCAATCAGAAGGCTGGCGGTTCGAATCCCCACGACAGGGTGAGCTCCCGTTGCTCATCCCTGCTCCTGCCAACCTAGCAGTTCAAAAGCACGTCAAAGTGCAAGTAGATAAATAGGTACCACTCCGGCGGGAAGGTAAACGGCGTTTCTGCACGCTGCTCTGGTTCGCCAGAAGCGGCTTAGTCATGCTGGCCACATGACCCGGAAGCTGTACGCCGGCTCCCTCGGCCAATAAAGCGAGATGAGGGCCGCAACCCCAGAGTCGGCCACGACAGGACCTAATGGTCAGGGGTCCCATTACCTTTAGAACCATGTATGCCACCGTTCCTTGCAGGAAGGGGGGCATCTAAATGTAATTTTAAAAATTGCTTTTTAAAGAAAAAAGCATGGCAATACCTGTGCAAAGTGAAAAGCTGCTTAGTACATATTTTTATAAACAGAACCAATGTATGTTGTGAGTTGGTGGCAGAATGACATCTGGAGGTTGTGATGTTACTTTTTTGAAAATCTTCATGGTTTTGAAATATTATTTTGACTTATTATTTGCCGTGAAGCATAACTGTTACTGGCACTGCTCTTGAACAATAAACGAATCAAGGGCATTCTAGAGCATTCACTTGGGGCAATGGTTCGCATTTTGGTTTAAAAATACCAATTGCTGCCAATGTATCTTTACTTCCCCCTTTCTGCTTATTCAGGTGTTGCTCTCCCCCTTCCCTCCATCCCCTTCTATGTATGTCAAAGGGACTATTAATAGGCTTCAGAACTGCCAGAACAAGGACATCCAAATTTGATTATCAGGGGAGAGGAAATAACTGCTCCAGCTTGATGCAGATGGTGAGGTTTATTCCAATGCCACACATTGGGTTTTTGCAAAGTGTTGCAAAAGTGACTTTAAACACACACACAGAAAGAGAGCAGTGTTCTAGGTATAAACCAATGTGCACGTAATTCTGCAAGTCAAGGCTGGTCCAAGACATTTTTCTATCTGAAAGGACAAGACAACCCACCCCCACTTCTATATAGGAATTCACAAGGCCAGTAATTGAATATTACTTCAAAACTGGCAATAATATGCTTTCCTCTGCCATATCCAAGAGCAGCAGACTAAGGTGTGCAGAACACGTTGTGTGACAAATAAATTCTTATCTTCCAGCCATGCACATCTGCAGGAACCCCCACACCCATCCCACGAACCATGGAACTTAAGAACATAAGAAGAGCCCTGCTGGATCAGGCCAGTGGCCCGTCTAATCCAGCATCCTGATCTCACAGTGGTCAACCAGGTGTCCATGGGAAACCCTCAAGCAGGACCTGAGGACAAGTGATTATGTGCATGGCATCCAAGACACGCATTAAATTTCCAAGAGGACTTATGCTAGTGCAATGGAACTCCCCCCCTCCATGTGTGCCCTGCACTCCCCCAAGATCTGTTCTGCAGGGAAGGGGGAACCCCATTACAAATTTAGAGGAACATGGGTGAGAGAGGAGAGGGAGGAGTTCCATTGTGCAAGGGGATGTCACTATGCTAACATAACTAGTTACCTAGAGCTGCACTAGATGCAACCACTCCTTCCTTCCTTCCTTCCTTCCTTCCTTCCTTCCTTCCTTCCTTCTTTTTCAAGCAGGTTTCTAGCATTTGTGGAACCCAAGATACGAGACAAAATGTAGACAGTATTCTTCTCATTTTTTGTGAGGTTAGCCTGCTCCCCACTTACAGTATTTTACTTTTTGTCCCCCCCACTCCTTCCCCAGGGAGAAAAATCCTATGCACACTTGTGTCCAACACCTTGCAGCTGCTCCCTGCTTCCCAGCACCCACCATCTCAGGCAGCTACTTCACTCTTCCTTATAGTAGGGCTGACCCTGCAGAAGATTTCATTGACCTTCACATGATCCCCAACACCTGTGGAGGAAGGGCCAGAAGGCTGAGTGCATTCCTTAAAAAATAAATGAAAAAAATAAAGGAGCCCCATTTAATTGTTATAGAAAGAAGTGGGAATTCAAACAAATGAGTTCTAAATGGAAAGTTTTATTTCATTTCAATTGAAGCCCTCCTAGAACAGCCCATACAAGTCACAGAAGGGTTACAAGAGGATTGAAGAGAGCAAGAACACAGTGTCATTTTTAGATTACTTATAAAATGGTGACCCCTTGCTATGCCTTATTATTATTATTATTATTATTATTATTGAAATCGGATGACTTGGGAGATAGTATTAAAATGCATAACCATTTCATGCCATCCAATAGGATGGAAAACATAGAACTTACAAGCAGAAGAAGAACTGGATCTCCTATGGAAAGCAATAAGAAACATAAAGGATATGCCTCTTTTAAAACTCCTTCTAAAGCAGGAAATCTTTTTCTAATATATCTGCAGTATTGACTTTTTGATGCTTTCAAGGAATAGGGGGAACTCTGGATGTATCTTCAATACCAAAGGTACAGGCAGCAGAATACTGGCTAGCCCCCCCCCCCCCCCCCGAAAATAATAGCAAATACAAACGGCACTAATGGAAACAAAATGAAATAGTTCCAAAGTTATGAAAAAGAACAAAAAGGAAACAAATAAAACATTCAATACTGAAAATAAACTGAGTAACCCCCCGCCCCGCAAAAAAATACCATTGTACATCCCTATGTGAAAGTGAGCAGTAAGCCAATGCACATATGCAGATGTCAGAGTACTCAGATCTCACAGGCATGTTCCAGATTCACATCTATCACTCACTCAGCATTTGCTGCGTTTGTCACAGGTGTTCTCCAAAAATTGGATCAGGGTCAAGTAGCCCATCCTACTGCTACTGACACATGCAGGTGTGAACATGTACATGCAGCAGGTCTTCACACCTGTTCTTGTACGCAAAAATGCTTCCACGTGCTCCAGATCAAGAGGATAAATCTTTGCACAATACATGAAGGCCCTGTCCTTGCAGATGTTTGTACCGTACATATAGAAAACAGTTGGGGGGGGACTATTTAGTGGGCATGTAGGGGAAGAGCTATTTATTCTGGCCCAGTTCCCCTCTCATGTGTTGGGAGCATGCATGTGGAATTCTTCTGAAGAGGGTCAAACATGGACTTGTTCCTCTTTATGTCAAGCATCCACACCTGTTAACATGAAGTTACACTTGTTGCAGTCACCCTGTTTTTGTAGCACTCAAACCCAGCGTTCTGTGCCTGGGGGGGGGGGAAGGAAACACTTTACATAGACAGACATTCACTGTGATTTGAGGTGCGTAAAGTAGGAGCCTGCTTCATGACGTTTCTCAGCCTCTGAGGCCCTTCCCAATGTTGCCAGAGTGATATTGGATGGTGGGGAACGAGAGGATGGACTTTTTCCAGTGTGTATTTTGTTTACAGCATTTATACCCTGATCTTTAGCCAAGAAGGCTGTCAGTGGGCTTCCAAAAATGTGTCCTAATAGGGTTTGTACCCATATCGCTATACTATACACATCTGCTGTTTTTACTTGTATTTTATATTGCTGATTTTATACTTTGGCACCATCTTGAGTTGGAATGTGTCTTGAAAGACAGGGTATAAGTTTTATTATAAATATGTGTTGTCACAGGAAACTTATCAAATACTGCTGTACCTTAGTGAGGAACCACCACTACCTGATGAGCTTAAAGGGTTTGCTTTTTTAAAACTTATAAGTCCTTTGAAACTGTATAATTCCAACACTGGTGCATCCAGCTAACTATGGGGGGGGGGGGATTAAATGACATCTCTCTCTCTCTCCCTTCTCCTCTCAGAAGCACATATGAAGCCAATAGTGTGAATGACACTCTTCTTATGAAAAGGCTTACGGTCCCAAGAGGACCAGTACAGGTATATGCTATGATTAAGCCCTATAAGAATAAGTTAGGGCAGGGGTTGCCAACAATTTTTGCGTCACTGAGCACATGTGAAATTTTGAGAACATGCTCTGGACAGCAGTGACACCAGTTGCACAATGGTGCCACAGGGGTGTGGCATAAGGCAAAATGGCTGGTGTAGAGGCATGTCCTAACACAAAACATCTACCACATCTAAAAGAGGGGGAAATAGACCTTTGAAATCTGCTCCAGGGTTGTGGGACTTTATGGAGCACATTAGAAGGGGTGGGCATGGGAAGAGGAGGAAAGGGAAGTATTGTGTGAGTGGAACTCTGATTGTGTAGAATTGGATTCAACTTTATGTTAGGAAGAACTGGTGCTGGCAACATGCTCCCAGAATACGGCACCTATTCCTGTGTGACAAAAATTTAAGAGGGCTGAAGAGAAGACGTAAATGTCAGCAATGCGGGCTTTGGCACAATCTTTACCTTACTTTTACCTCTGAAGACACACACACACACACACACACACACACACACACACACACACTATTCCACAGCATGTGCACAATCTTAGTGGGGCCTCTTGCAATTGAGAGGAATTTAAGTTCAAGTAACTGTAGGAGCTTTGATGAAAAACTAAGAAGATTCAAAACTAAAAATGATCAAAATTGTTTCACTTGGCAAACCTTCTGAGTGAGTGTGTGCATTATAAAATATATCTTGTACCCATGGACCCTTAAATTTAAAGATGCTCCTCACAAAATTTCAACGAAAGCAATAACAAAAACACAGATTTCTATGCTGTCTTTGGCATATGTCATGATTCAGAGAGAGAAAGCATACACTGTCTTTAGCAGCATGGATGCAAAGAACAACATACTATGTAATACAATACCGGCTACATCCTTAAGTAGAATGTAATACAACACAAACTTTAATGTCAATATATACAGAGCCTTAAAAGAAAACTTTTTTTAAAAAAAGGAAGACAACCTGAACAAAATAAATACAATATGATACAAATCCACAATGTTTTGAGAAATGAATGTTATAACGTTAACAACAGGGTTGAAGTGGGTAGGACTTTTTTGTGACTTTAAATCTGTACGAAAATGCTGTACCCTCAAATAGCATGTATTTAAACACTGCGTAATTTGCTGTCACATGATGCTTTTTCCAGGTTTTGAAATTCACAGCCAGGCACATGCCCAAACAGGTTCAAAAATGTAAACTAGGCAATGGTCTGGTTCCGACATAACATTGAAGACTACCTAGGTTAATTAACCATAGGTTCCCATTATGTCTGAAAGGGGGAAGCTATAGTTACAAAGTTCAGGACAAGCCAAGAGCTTCAAACCTTGTTCCAATTTTAGGACCTATAGTTTACCACTTTAGATGTAAGAGGAAACTATGACTAACTCAAGTATGAAGAGGAAGGAAGCAAAGAAAGGGCAGTGAGGACAAGGCCCATGCATATCTTGGCTTTATACACAGAGTTGTGTTATGTCTGAATCAAACCATTCAGTGCAAGAATGCCAAAGTGCTTGGGACGGTGGAAGAATGCAGCATAAGTAAAAGTCAATTGCAACCACAGTTTTCCCACACCCCTTTTAATATGAACATTTCCATCCTAGAAAAGGGATACCGCTTCTGCTCATTTCTTCAGCAACTTAACTCAACACAAATTTTCAGTTTAATAAAACTTTTCTGAAGAGGGTATTCAGGAACTATATCTGGAAGAACTGCCCATTTGTAATTTAAAACTGCATTTACTTACATGAACCCCTCCCCCCCAAAAAAGATGGCTTTTGACTTACCTAAATTTGTTTTTTAAAATTCACCTATTAGTTTCAGCTACTCAGTATATCTACTTCCACTGCAAGTCTATATTAACACAGATAACTAATTTTATAATTATCCTCTAGCAATACTGCAGAGTGGGAGCAACATCCCTCAATCCTCATAGGAGACAAGGAGCTAAAAACCACTGAGACCTTTCCCTGTTTAAGTTGTGCTAAAATGAAGGCAACTCTGCAAGGACTCTAATGCATCTGCACAACAACTGCTATTAAGTTCAAAGGGTGTGCATAGTAGAGTTTTCTAGCGGGTTGATAAACTTAGCCACTGTGTAATTGGAAGACCCTTCCCTTGTTGTCTAACACAGATTGGGATCATACTGCCAAGTGCAGAATGAATACATATCTGTACAGGCACAACCACCACTTTCCACCAACAGAACTATTCAAAATATGGGTAAAATTGGTTTGCCAAAAAATATAGCTCCTATTGGATCACATACTAAAAGTAATCCTTGTACAGTGGTGCCTCGCAAGACGAAATTAATTCGTTCTGCGAGTTTTTTCGTCTTGCAAATTTTTCGTCTTGCGAAGCACGGTTTCCCAAAGTCTTCAAAATCACCAAAGTATTCAAAAACTTCAAAAAAGGCTACCACACCGCGTGCTATGAGTTGCTCCTCAAAGTCACCCTGGGTATTAACGGTTTTAAGAAAAGGAAACAAACTTGCAAGACGTTTTTGTCTTGCAAAGCAAGCCCATAGGGAAATTCGTCTTGCGAAGCAACTCAAAAAACGAAAAACTCTTTCGTCTTGCGAGTTTTTCGTCTTGCGAGGCATTCGTCTTGCGAGGTACCACTGTATTTAATGCTGATGTATTTAAATGACGTATTTACAACAAAATTAACTAGTGGCTTTTAAAAAATGACAGTGCCCATTTTTAATAGGGCAGATTCAACAAGTGCTATAATATAAAATCTGGGCTTTGAAACACACATAATTTGGTTTACTGAAGCCGTCTTGAAGTCACACAGGTTATTTCTCTTTATATAATGCATCTGAATACAAGTGTGTGGATCCTTTGCTGCCCCATCAATTGACACAGCTGTGCCTGTAGACTTTTCATGCTACACTACTGTGTACATGCCAGGAAACTGTTTCTGGCTTCCTACTTTTTCAGGGCTTCCTCCCTGCCCCAAAGGCAAGGTAGAAAATCAAAGAGGCCATGTGCTGCAAGTTGCACCAGCATTACCCAATCTTTCAGGGTACCACTGCCCTAAAAGAAGATTGTCCTAAGCAAGCAGCTTTGCCATAAAGATGTCAGTCACTGTTTTTTTCATGCAGTTTACCAAAGCAAGAGGCAAGAAAAGTGGGCCACAGCTTGGAGAAAGACAAATGTGATTAAACAATACACTGATTTTCCAACAGGTATTTGGGCATGGAGAGCCTCACAGAACCCAAACAATGGGCTGTGATATCATGATAATTTTGTCACATGTCTATGATTTCTTCAGGTGATTGAATTAAAGCAGCCTATGCGCATGCACCCCAAAGGTAATTTTTTGAATTTGTATTGCATTTTAGCAATGTGCAATAATATTTCAAGATTCCACCTATATAATCAAATTGGAGGAGACAGTATGTTAATCACTCAGCAGTGGTGCTCTGAATGCAGTAGTCCTCGCATTGGGAGCTCCAATTAAGCACAGGTAGATTTTTAAAGAAGAAATATTTCTAAAGCAACACTTTAGATGACAACCAGGACACAGTTGGTGATAGAAAACTCTATGGGGAGGGTGGGAATCTAATCACACAGGCACAATGGAGTCTCAGAGCACATAATCAAAACCATCCAACTGGGATTAGTTGACTCATAGAATGGTTATATTTACCCTCACAACAGCCAGTTCACACTAGCCAGTGGTCCTCATGAATGCTTGCAAATATACTGGGCCACTTTTGAGCTTTTGGTTAGGAGACGTCATTTATATGAACAGACAGCTCCACACAGGGGGCTGTGTTGCAATTTCTACAATGACAGCAGCTCTAGAAGTGGGGGTGCTGCAAGTGTGGATGTCGAAACATCCTCACTTTGTTTGCCACACAAAGGTGGCAGTTCATTCACATTTCATCTCCGCATAGAGGTCCTTGTAAAGGTGCCACTACCTAGTGCAAACCAGCTCTTAGTGCAGTAAAATTCATTCTGAGAGGTAAAAGTCAGGATGCTAATCCACTTTAGTGTATGGCAACCTATGGTATGATCATTCAGTGTAGGGCTATCACTGTGGATGTTCTGTATGTGCTGATGGCACACACACAGAAATAATTTAGTATCTTTCAAATTGCCTGTCATGAGTCTCTGAATAAGGCACTTCACTCTTTCGGCATAAAAACAAAAAATGAAAACAGAACAGCTTTGCTTGAATCAAAGAAGTGGTCCATTTAGCATGGAACCCTATTCTGGTTTTATAAGGAAGTGCACACTAAATCCTATACTCCATTCCCTGGTATCTACTCTTCTGCCTTTTGGTGGTGAGGATGAAGGGCAACAATACATTTGGCTGGATGCCCTGATCCCCAGTCCTAATTGACAGCGATGTTTCTAACTTCCATTACTGCTTTCCCTAGAGAGAATTATCCATGTTCTAGCCATCTTGCAGGAAAACAAACAAAAGTCTGGTGGCACCATAAAAAGAAACGCATTGTGGCAACTTGCATGGATCACAGTCCATAAAATAAGATGTAACATCACTTTTCAAATCTGCTCCACATTACTTTTGAAGGGGCGGGGAGGTTTAAGAGGGAGAATGCCAGTAACCAGGGCTTTTTTTTAGCCGGAACTCACTGCAACTCAGTTCTGGCACCTCTCAGGTGCGCTCCATTGCCATTAGAAGTGAACAAAGGAGGCATTCATGGTGAATTCTGGCATCTCTTTTTCTAGAAAAACAGCACTGTCAATGTCTAGTTTTCCATTGCACAGAAGGCACTCTTGTCTTCTCCTACTCTATTATATTCTGTGCTTTATGCTATGTAAGCATTATTACAAACGTGAATAATTTTGTCCTAACAAACAATTCCATCTGCCACCCTCTTCTTTCAACATAGCTGGATGCTTCTATTACCTTACAGTCTCCCACAGATTTAGCTAATTTGGAATTACCAACAAACCAGCATTTGTTCATAGTAGCTAGCACAGAACAAGGAAGTTCTGAGCTCAAATCCCCATTCAACCATGGACCATGAGCGAGTCACTATTTCTCAGCTGGTTAATCTCACATGGTTTTTATGTTTCAACTCTAGTTCAAAGGATCTGTTGTGAAAGGTCCCTGCCCAGGACCCAGGAGAGAGTCATCCAGTCAGAATAGACAACACTGGGCTATGTTTGCTGACAAGGTGTAAGGCAGTTATATAGATTTGGGGAAAGGGAAGGACACACCAAACACACTATCCAAAATTCTTTGGAAGAGTGGGACTTTAAACTGTAAAATGTTAAGTCACACTTTTACTGATGAAATAAATGAGGGATCTATAATCTTCTTTACTCATATAATTTTATGCTCATAAACTAGGGTAGATTATTGTAATGATTTATTGAATTTAGAATGCATTCTATTTCAGGTGTTCAGCTCCAGCTGCTCTGTTATTCCCAACGGAAGCATCAACAAAAATGATATGATCTCCCAGCATATTTAACAATATGTAAATAGTTAAAACTAGTTAAGTTCTTCATATTTAGTCACATGGAATGGAGTTTCTTTTCCCTGACTGCATTAGTGGTTATTTCAAGAACTCACAATAAAAAAGGTGATCATATATTATCAACATGAGGGTTTTTATTGGGGGAAGGTTCCATCTGATCTCATCTTCCAACATCTCAGAAGCATATTCTGTGGCCAAATATTGTGAGATCATTATAAAGTCTAGGCTAAGGCTTACTGAAATGTGCTTCTTTTAAAATTCACATCTTTGGGGTAACATACACCAGTTTGTAAATCCAATGTGGGCTAAGATGTTCAGCTACTGACCTTATGCTTAAGATTGTTTATGGCCACAACAGCAAGAAACTGCAGACTTTTCTCTACTTTTTCCATTGAGACAAATTCTCCAGAACAGATTAAAAAAAAATATTTAGAACACATTTCAAAGTTTAGATCTGATCCAGGACTTCGAAGGGCTTAAAATGGATATTCATCTTTGAAATGTTTATAAAGGGTCTGGAAAAAAACGATGTACTAATTTCCTACAGAAAGTATGAATAAATTTAAAAACATTATGAAATGTGAATATGTGTGTTTTTTTAATAAAAAAAATCAGTATTGTCAGGGAACTGCCATCGGTAGGAAGGGAGGTGAAAGGACTCAGACAGGTTGGAAGAGACTTAGCAGCTGAAGAGGAAACCAGCAGGGGGAGAGAAGCTGAACTGAGGGAGGTGAAAGGGCTCAGACAGGTTGGAAGAGACTTAGCAGCTGAAGAGGAAACCAGCAGGGAGAGAAGCTGAACTGAGGGAAAGGGAGCTGGGGGATGGCTCAGAGATACTTCCAGCGAAAACAGTGGTGAGGTTTCCGGACCTCCTGTAGCGACACCCACTCCTCGCCGGAAACTGTCACGCAGAGAGTCCAGAAGACGTGTTTCCGTTAAGGAGCTTTTATGTTGGAAGCGATTACGAAAGCAACCACTGTCGGAATCTTCTAGTGACTAAGAGGAGCCATGTCAGAGGGGCTCAGTCACAGACAGAGGTTTGTGGACTTGAACAAACTCTGAGGGAATACGATTTTACGCACAAGCAGCTCATAATCCCATCACAGCATTCCGACAGTCTTTGAACGCAGCTTGTGCAGGAGAAGGCATAATGAGCAACCCAGCAGGAACCGGAGAAGCAGGGGCTGGAGCGGGTCCAAGCCTGGAAGAAAGGTACCGAGTGTTGGAGGTCCAGCTGGCGCTGCAGACGGCGAGGCTGGAGGAGAGGAGGGCTCAAGATGCAGACAAAGGGGAGAAAGCCACCCAGCTCGCCAGAAAGGTACCAGGATTGGTGCAAAAATTTGGGGGGGAGCCCAAAGACTATCATAGCTTTCGGACAGAAATGCAATATGCCCTCAATCTGCAGTTTGATGATTTCCCTGATGAGGAATCACGAGTGGCTTTTGTGATTGGGCATCTTGAAAAGGGGCGAGAGACTGGGTTAGACCCCTGATGGCAGCTAATAGTGACGTCTTAAAGGACACGATGAAGTTCTTTCGCGCCATGGATCTGATGTTTTCCAGCGATATTGAAAAGGGAGTGGTGCGCAGACAGTTAATGGCTTGCAAACAGGGAGCCGATCTGTACGTGAGTACTGGACTGAGTTCACCATGCTGATACACAGATTGGGGTGGGACTTATCGGCGGAACCCATTCAAATGCTCTTTGAAGAAGGGCTTTCTTCGGCTGTGAAAGATGAACTTTCCCGGGCGCCCAGGGCGGAGTCTATGGACCAGCTGACCAAATCAGCGCTGGCCATAGGAGGCGCGCCAGGAGGCGAGAGCATTGGAGAGGCGGGAAGGGAAGGGGAACGTTGGAAGGAGTTCCGCATTCCAGAAATTCCAGAGCCAACTGTCCCGCCGGCAGAGCCGATGGAAATCGGAACAGCGCGCGCGCGCAGTTTCAAAGCCCAGTGAGGGGGAAAGAAGGATGGAAAAGGCGCCCGGAAATGCTATCTCTGCCAACAGCCAGGGCACTTTGCCAGAGTCTGCCCCCAGAGGAAGGAATGGCAAGGGATGGTGGGAGCTGTGGAGGGAAGAGAGGAAAAATACCGGAGCAACTAAAAGCCAACGCCTGGCTGCCATTGTCGGGGCACAGCAGCCAGGCCAAAGAGCAGTGAAAGTGCCCACTCCAGAACCTCCTAAACCCGCCCTAGTGATAGAAGTGACACTAGAGCTCCCAAACGGACACCCTCTAAAGATAAAGGCGCTGTTGGACTCAGGCAGCTCCTGCAATTTCATGAGCAAAGAGTTTGCAGCTGAACACCAGATACAGACGCTCCCTTTAAGCAACCCCCTGCAGGTAACCACGATCGATGGCAGGGAGCTGTTGGGAGGAGAAGTCAGCTTGCAGACCGTCCCAATGATAATGAAGGTGGCAAGGCACACTGAACTGATAGCTTTTAATGTGGCCACCTTGGGAGGAGCTCCCATTATATTGGGGATGAGCTGGCTAGCGTTACATGATCCGCTGGTGGGCTGGCATCAGAGAGTGGTTTCTTTTGGGTCAGCACATTGCTTAGAACATTGCAAAGAGGGAAAGGTTTTGGCAGGGGCCCAAGCCACCCTAGCAGGGACTGAAGTGAAGGAGAACGTGAAGGTACCACGACAATACGCAGATCTCCGCGACGTCTTCAGCGAAAGGGAAGCTGACCAACTACCACCGCATAGAGCCTTTGACTGTCAAATCAATTTGCTCCCTGGGGCACAGCTCCCTGTGGGCAAGCTGTACGCCATGTCAGACAGAGAGATGCAGGAGCTAAGAGAGTTCATTGACAAGAACCTGAAGAGAGGGTTCATCAGAGAGTCCAGGGCGGTGGGGGCAGCCCAGTGTTTTTGTGGACAAAAAAACACGAACAAGCCGAGACTGGTGTGTGACTTCAGGGCCTTAAATGCAGTGTCAGAACCAGTGGCCTCCCGATGCCCAGGATTGACGACATTTTGACAAGGGTGCGAAAGGGAAAGATTTTCACCAAGCTGGATCTAAGGGGGCGTACAACCTGATACGAATAAGGAAGGGGGATGAATGGAAAACCACCATGTTCACCCCTTTAGGGGCATTTGAATACTTAGTTATGCCCTTCGGTCTACAAGCAGGCTCCGCAACATTTCAATCGTTTATGAACCACGTCCTGGGGCCGTTGCTTTACAAGAATTGTGTGGCCTTCTTAGACGACGTGTTGGTGTATTCTGAGAATGAGGAGCAGCATGTGAGAGACGTCAGAGAAGTGTTGAGCAGGCTGCAAGCCAACCAGCTGTGGGTGAAACTGGAGAAGTGTCAGTTTCATACCAAGGAGGTGGAATTCCTGGGGTATCGCCTGTCTGACAAGGGGTTGGCCATGGATCCCGGCAAGGTCCAGGCGGTACTGGAATGGAAAACACCCAAAACAAGGAAGGATGTGCAGAGGTTTTTAGGGTTTGGGAACTTCTATCGTAAGTTCATCCCAAACTTTGCCCACCTGACGGCGCCCATTACGGACTGTCTCAGCAGTAAGAAGAAGTTCGTTTGGACGGAGGAGGCGGAGCAAGCATTTGAGGAACTAAAAGGGCCTTCGCCTCGGAACAACAGCTCCTGCATGTGGATTTACAAAAACCGATGAGAGTGGAAACTGATGCATCAGACAGAGCGGTTGGGGCGGTGCTTCTCCAGCCAGGGAAGGAGGAGTCAGAGTGGAGACCGTGTGCTTTTTTTCGCGAAAGCTGAACAAATCCGAGAGGAACTACACGGTGTATGACCGAGAACTACTAGCCATTCATGAGGCGTTCCGGAGATGGAGGCACCTGCTAATTGGCGCACAACATAAGGTGCAAGTGTGCACTGACCACAAGAACCTAGAGTATTGGAGGACGGCACGAGTGCTCAACCAACGGCAAGTGAGATGGGCTCAGGAATTCTCCAAATTTAACTTTGAGATTTGTTACGTGCCAGGCCCAGAGAATATTAGGGCGGACGCTCTCTCACGCAAACCTGAATATTTGGAGGGGAGGGAGCACCCGAAGAGAGACATGTCATTCCAGAGGACCGCTGGGTGTGTGGGGCGGCATTGGTGGGACAAAGAGAACTGGTAGAAGAAACAGAGAATGATGAATACGCCCAGAATAAGCTTAGAGGTCTTAGGGATGAGGGAGAGGAATCAAGGGGTTTCGAGGAAAGAAATGGAGCTTTGTATTACAAAGGGGCACTGTATATCCCTGAAGGAGACTTAAGGGGAGGGTACTCAAGCAGTTGCATGACAGCCCCACGGCGGGGCATTTTGGGCAACACAAAACCATGTGGTTGGTCACCAGGGAATTTTGGTGGCCTAAGGTGAGGGAGGATGTACGTGAGTATGTAAGAGGGTGCGAGCAGTGCCAGCGAGCCAAAGGGGAAAGGCGGGCGCCGGCGGGGCTATGAGAACCCTTACCAACACCAGAACGACCTTGGGAGGCAGTGTCGATAGATTTTATGACTGATCTGCCGAAGTCCAAAGGGAAAACAGCCATCATGGTGGTGGTAGACCTACTAACAAAGATGTGCCACTTTGTAGCTTGCTCGCATGCAGTCACGGCGGAAGAGACAGCAAAGTTATTTGTAGAACACATTTTAGGTTGCACGGGGTGCCATTGAGGGTGGTCTCAGACCGAGGAAAACAATTTACTTCCAGGTTCTGGAGGAAGCTCATGAGCTTACTGCAGGTGGAGGTCAACTTTTCGACTGCCCGGCACCCTGAAACCAACGGGCAGGCGGAAAGAGCAAACGGTGTCCTCCAGCAATACCTGAGGTGTTATGTCAATGACAGAGAGATGACTGGGTAGAAAAGTTGGCGCTGGCGGAATTTGCCTACAACAATGCCGAGAATGTGTCCACAGGGATGAGCCCCTTCTTGGCTAATTATGGGTGTCATCCCAGGGCTTTCCCAGGGGGAAGGGGAGAGATGGAGCGTACCGGCAGCCGAGCATTTTGTAGAAGAAATGGAAGCAATCCACCGTCAGCTCCAACTCAACTTAGAAAGGGCGAAGGAAGAATACAAGAGGCAGGCAGACAAGAACCGAAGGGAAGGTGAAACCATAAGGGTTGGAGAGAGGGTGTGGCTGTCAACCCGAGGGTTGCCGTTCAAAGGAGGTTGTAAGAAATTAAGACCCAGGAGGTTGGGTCCCTTTGAGGTCATTCAACAGGTCAACCCAGTGGCTTTCAGGCTCCGGTTACCCAACCACATGAAACTGCACCCAGTATTTCACAGGTCGTTACTGTCACCGTACGAGGGGACGAGAAGGGATGGCCACTCGGGGACCGGTCATAGAAGAAAGAGAATGCAGCAGTCATGTGGCAGAAATCCTTGATGCCAGGTGGAAGGGGAATCAGGTGGAGTATTTGGTAGCGTGGGAAGGAGAACCGGAGTCAGAAAACACGTGGGTAATGGCCAAAGATATCAATGACGAGGTATTGATAGAAATGTTCCATCAAAGGTTCCCGCGGAAACCTCAGCCTGTGGAGAGGTTCCGGAGGGAATACTTTGGGACCACTGAGGAGGAGGAGGAGTTGGAAGGATTCCCAGAATCGGAAGGGGAAGGGGAGATGGACTCGGAGGAGGAGGAGTGCTTCGAGACCAGGAACCGCAACAGGTGGAGAGAAGTGTTCGAGACATCGGAAGATGAAGGAAGTTCATTCCGGGGTTTGCCTCCTCACCGCCCGTAGAGGAGGGGCGAGAGGGGGTGAAGGGGGCCCTGGAGGGAGGTGGATGTCAGGGAACTGCCATCGGTAGGAAGGGAGGTGAAAGGACTCAGACAGGTTGGAAGAGACTTAGCAGCTGAAGAGGAAACCAGCATGGGGAGAGAAGCTGAACTGAGGGAGGTGAAAGGGCTCAGACAGGTTGGAAGAGACTTAGCAGCTGAAGAGGAAACCTGCAGGGGTAGAGAAGCTTAACTGTGGGAAAGGGAGCTGGGGGATGGCTCAGAGATACTTCCAGCGAAAACAGTGGTGAGGTTTCCGGACCTCCTGTAGCGACACCCACTCCTCGCCGGAAACTGTCACGCAGAGAGTCCAGAAGACGTGTTTCCGTTAAGGAGCTTTTATGTTGGAAGCGATTACGAAAGCAACCACTGTCGGAATCTTCTAGTGACTAAGAGGAGCCATGTCAGAGGGGCTCAGTCACAGACAGAGGTTTGTGGACTTGAACAAACTCTGAGGGAATACGATTTTACGCACAAGCAGCTCATAATCCCATCACAAGTATCTTATAATTCATGGTGAAATAACATCTAACGGTGGAAAGGGAAGGAAACAAGAAGAGAACACAGTGGACTATCAAGGTAGCTTCAATTGCCTGTCAAGAGTAATAATGATAATTCTATAGGTTCTTGCTCTAGAGGGCTTGTATTTAAAACCTCAGTGCAGAAACAATTATCAGCCCTTCTACAGTAAATGAAAGGGCACAGCCCATGTTTTGCAAATGTATACAGTACTGACAATGGAACACACCTAATCCCTTATCACAGAATGATAATATTGTTGGAGGGGGGCTCATCTAGATCACCTCACAGTCCTAGATATTCTATACCTAATTGTCTTATTCTATACCTAAAGCATACCCAAAATGCCTACTCACCCTTTTCTTCAAAGCCTCCGAGGATGGAGATGTCACATGTATGTTAAAAATATAGTAGGCTTTATCATTCTAACCACCAACACCTCACAGCAGTCTTACACAAAAGCACTCCCAGGCTGACCAATCCTACAGTTCTAGCGATGGCTTTCACACTACGATGAAGTGCAGGTTCATGGCTGATTCCCTTTGTACATTTTCTTCAGTTGCCTGTTACCAGGCATACTTGGGGCTTCCATTTTAGCGTACATGAGTTTTGCACTGGCACATCCTTTTCAGTTATCCTTATCTTGCTGTACCAATGAGTTAAGTGAATGGAGTCCATTGGTAAAGTGACCAATTTACAAAACTAGAGCACATAAGTTTGATTTTGTTTCGTTATTTTACAATAGGGCCAGATAGCAAAAATACTAAAACACTGACTATTTTCTTTCAATTTTAAATTTACAACTTGAGCAGTGTTGATGGTCCCCTAAACCATTTATTTATAAACTGGGAAAAACTATACAGTATTTAAAAGTATTAACATAATGCAACAGATCTTTGAAAAGGACCGTGTACAGAAAACTCTTCATGATCATTATGATGTACCCTGATGCTTTGTTTCAATGAATCACTGACACTTCCTGCAAAATGTGTGATGAATCCCACTGAACCTGTGGATATCTTCTCTTTCTTCAACAGAATTCAAGTAGTGTAGGAGGAACTTGTATATGCCTTTTAAATCACAGGCCAGGCAGATACAGAGCCACTTATTGAATTTTTTCTCTTGCTCCACTTTGGTTAAGTGCCCCGGTGGAACTATAAGTCGGTTGATGTTAGCTTTTTCATGCTCCGTCGTTGAGCTAAGCTTGAAGCTGCAACAGGCTCCAACACAGGCTGAAATGTCTTGTTATTCAGTGCAGAATAGGTGGCAGCCATGGCACCCTAAAAGATAATGAAATTAAAATAGATCATGATACCCTCATGAAGAATAACAAAACCAAAACCCCAATCTCCCACAGGTAACAACAGATTAATTAGTTCCAGTTTTACCTTTACTAGATGAGGTGCATCTTGCCTGTTTAGCTGGTAATGTGGCAACTGGTCCCTACATGCTATCCAAGAATGCTTAAGAACTTGCTCTGCAGTATATCGCTGATGTGGATCTACATGCAGCATATGAGATAGCAAATCCTAAAGCAAATTGGACAGATACAACTGTTACAACCAAATCTAAGCAGTGAGAGATTGGACCCTTTTGGTCTTATCAATCATATAATGACATTCAAGTGATCTTTCTTTTGAAGCAGTTAACACTCATACAAAGAGAGAAGCCCAAATGAAAAAGAGCACCATGTGTGCATCAGAGCCCACATGAGTCTCTGAATTTTCCTCAGAGATTTAAACATACAGTAATTCCAAAAAAGCAATAGAGCATGTTCTAAATTTTAATTTTGTATAAAACAGTCTCATGTTGCTTTATGTTGCTTTTGGCCAACACTCATAACCCACTTAGGCATGCTGCAGATGTAATATTTCCATCTCTTTCAGAGAACATTCTATGTGAACGATTAAAAGTCTCAATTGCATTTCGTAAATTCGGTAGAATAGTTTCAGAAGTAGTAAATTATACATGTTATCGACTTTTAAATAATTATTGATCAAAGGTGCTATATGTGATGAATATAGATACTGTTTGCATTTATTCTATCCTATGGGTGACATCAAATGTTAGTCATACACTGAGTGGAACCACTGATGTCAATTGACTTACGTCCATTTATTTTAATAGGTCTATTCAAAGTTTGATTTAGTTTAATGTCATCCTATGCTTTTAAATGTGACCTTTCATACAGTTTTAAAATTCCACTGCTTACCTATAAATCTAAGCTAAACAAGAACTTCTGATTTCGGAGATGAGGTACAGTAAAAGTCTCAGACATCAAATGTCATAGGAAAACAGGATAATTGAATGTCAAAATAAATGGGCTTATAATTTACATACCATCTATTCATATATATAGAAATTTAATGAGTTTTTAAATAATTAAAGCTCATGCAACACAAATTCTACAACAGCAGCTTGGGCATAAGTTTCGTAAATAACAAAACAGGTTGCTTTTTCTACCTCCGATAAATACCTTAGGAGCCAAAAGTGAGAGACCAAAGTGATGCTTTCAGTTCTGCTTCAATACAAAATTACCTTTCAAATGTTTACAGAGAAAGGCCTTAAAGGTAAAAGTTTGCTGTTGATGTCATAGTTTGAATTACTGATCCTACCCAAAAATGTTATTCTGATGTTTCACACAGTTACCTGTATTTTATAAATTATAAGATAAAATACATTTACACCTTTGCTGCGTCTGAAACAGTGTCCCAGTTGCCTCCACTTAAAGAAAAATTCCCACTGCCTATTCGCAACAGGATTTCCTCAGGGGTATCATTGGGACCATTGGCAAAAGGAGTATACCTGGGTTCCAATACAAAAGAACAAGATTAGAATAATACAATAATTTTAACAGACATCACTGAAGCCTATTGACTATGAGGTGTCAAATTTCATGTAGGGTGGCACTTACTTCACCTGTGCTAGACTATAGAGAAACAGCTACAGCCACATAAACAAACCAGTGTGGTACAGTGGTTAGTGTGCTGGACTAGGACCAGGGAGACCACTCAGAGAAAAAACTCACTGCATGATCTTGGGCCAGTCACTATCTCTCAACCTAACCTACCTCACAGGCTTGTTGTGATTGTAAAACAGAGAGAGGGAGAAGTGTGTAGGTTTCAAGGCGGGAGTTGGGAGCAAGTCCGCAAAAACTTACAAGGTGTCTGTGAAGTTAACTCTTTATTCAAAGAAACAAAACAGTGCAGGCCTAGCAATCATAGCAACTCTTCCCAATAGGTCTTGCCCCAATTAGGCCGTTGCGAGGACTGAAGGTCTCCACCTTCCACTGCTCTCTAAAGGTTCCTCCTCCCTTGGATCCTTCCCCAGGAACCTGAAGCTCCTTCATTTTGTCTCTCTTTGCTCTGCCCTATTCATCCCTCTTCATGTTCTGAGAGACCAGGGAGGAGGGGAGCTGGTCACAGCAGCAGGAGGAGACATATTGGCTTCTTCAGCAGCCTGTTTCCACTCTGCCTCTTGGTCCCCCTCCTCACCAGCCTACGCTTCTGCTTCTGGACTGCTCTCTGCCACAGCCTCTTCCTGCTCACTAAACCCTATTAGCTCTTCAGCTTCTGAAACCTCATCTTCCCAGTCTCCTCCCTCTTCTACTACTTATCATTGTCCCGCCACCCATCCCATGGCTCTGAGCCTTCTTCCCCTGGGGGACCCCCAGCTTGTGACTCCCACCACTCTTCCTGCATCCAGCCAGTCCGTGACAGTACAACACCTTGAGCTCCTAGGAGAAAAGGTGGGATATAAATGTAATAAAATAATAATAATAAAACATTCAGTGCAATGATTAAATGAAAAACACTTCTTACCCAGCCAACATTGTATAAAGAAGGACACCCAAGCTCCAGATATCACAAGCAGCATCATATCCCTGTCTCATGAGAACCTAATGAAATAGAGAAGAATAAACAGTTCAATTTTTCTGTCATGAAAAGACTATAATTTGAAAGTCCCAAGTAACAGCTTAAAAGAAAATCTCAAAAATATGCTAGTTACAGTAGCTATGATTTCAGATATGTTCTGGTTAAAGATGACAACAGTTAATATTGAAAATTGGTTTCTATGCATCTGCTTTAGCACTGTTAAAAGAACAAAACGTATTCTTAACATATTTATTTTGCAAAGCTTTGTTAACTGCCTTGAGCTATGAGAACAGCTCTCTATAAATGTAATAAGTAAACAATTTGATAAAAAAGTAACAAAACAATTAACCTTTTGCAATTAGAAGATACAAGGCAAATAGATAATATAATGTAACTACTTTCTTGAGATGTCACAAGAGCATGTGCAAATAATATACAAGAAATTCAGCATACCTCTGGCGCTACAAAGTTGGCAGTGTAGCAGGGGGTTAAGAGAAGCCCATTCTCCCCCCGAAGTTGTTTTGCAAAACCAAAATCACAGATCCTGATGGAGTCAGCATTATTTGAGTCATCCATATATAAAATGTTACTGGGTTTAAGGTCTCGATGCACCACCTTAAAAATACACAAATGTTAAACTGAAAACTGAAAAAAGCAGGAAATGATCATTTGGAGCTTTTTCAATTTTTTTTAAAGAATGCAGAATCAATACAACACGCATGTGGGCCCAATATGGGTGATCTAATTAGATACTATTCATAGCACAAATGCAACTTAACCAGGCTGCTGATTTAGACTGCAATCTTAAGAACATGGGATAAGGAATAAACCCTATTGAGATTGATGAAATTTATTTTTGAGTAAGCATGCTTTCATTAATTTTTTAAGAACTGATGCTTGCTTTTCCATCATGAAAGCAGATCCAGATTTTAGTCACTAGTGAAAAAAGAAAAACTACAAATTTTTCTTTTGTCTACAGATTTCAGAATAAATTACTATTGTAAATTTACCTTTACATTATTGCTTACCTAATCAAACTCTTGAACACAATATCCTACAGTCCTGTTTACTATGTAGAGTACTGCCTAAAGTTACTGCACAATATTAACAACATATTAGAATGTATACGAATGTAATTACTATACAATAATCAAAATGGACATAACTTACTCCTTGACAATGAAGGTAGTCAACTGTTTTAGTGATCGTAAACAAAACAGCACTTGCTTCCCGTTCTGAGAAATACTTTTGTCTGAGTATACGATCCAGTAGTTCACCTCCCTTCATTAATTCTGTGACAAGGTAGATATATTTACCATCATCATACACCTGTGGAAATTAAATGCATATGAGTAATGTAAATATTCCCAGGCACCTGATTACTTGAGAAAAGTGTGAATCAGAGTCATTTAATATATTCAACTAAGTTTAACTCAGCATAGACCTACTAAAGTTCATATCCCCAACAGAGTCATGCTTATTAATTTCAATGTATCTACTCTGAGTAAAATCACCCCAAAAATCTGAATTACAAAGTCAAATTCCAGTATAGGAAGGGCATCCCTTCCCTAGCAGGAAACAGGATCATGCAGCCCAAGCAGCAGGATTTAATCTCCACTCAGCACCAGATGAGCAGAGATAAAAGATCAGCCCAAGACTAGAGGATTTAAAAGGGAAAGGGGAGACTTGTAAAGGCTTTTGCAAGGCTACTCTGCTTCCAAATACCAAATCATGTGCCAAACTTTCAGGCAGCATTTTGCATGCAAAGGCAGGGTGCAAGAGAACTCATCTGCATTGCATTTGCATGCAAAATGCACCTTTTTTTCTCCCCTCCCAGTTTATTGATGGGAAAGAGAAAAAGAAAGGCACATAGACAGTGGATCATGTCTTAAAGTACCTGTCTTAAAACACACTTTGGAGCACCAGCCCATCCTTTAAAGGGGGTGGTAACTACTTCAAAGGGTGCTTTGTAGCTTTAGGATAGAATGCTAGAGTGTTTACCTTTGCAAGTCTTTGTGCATTTCTCTTTTAAAACTTCAACAGTGGCTTGAAGGAGACGTGAAAGAGAACGTGCAAAGCTGCACGAGAGATTTTGACAGGTGGGTATTTCTGTCCACCTTTCATTATTATTATTTATCCAATTTATATACCACCCATCATCTGAAGATCAGAAGGTGGTTTACAAAAACCACAAAAACAATGAACTCCTCATACCCTGTTTAAAAGGCCATAGGTGGTTTAATTAGGAAAAGGCATAGGAGCAGAGAAATATTTTTGCCTGGCACCTAAAGATATGCAACGAAGGCACCAGGAAAGCCTCCCTGGGGAGAGCACTCCAGAAGCAGGAAGCCACCGCACAAAAGGCCCCCTTCTCATGTTGCTGCCCTCCGGACCTCTTTCAGAGGCAGCACAGGAAGTAGGGTCTGGAAGATGATTGCAGGGTCTGGGTTGGTTCCTATGTGGAGAAGTGGTCTTTGAGTTATTGCAGTCCTGAGGCTTTATAGGTCAAAACCAGCACTTAGAATTGGGCCTGGAAACTAACTGATAGCCAGTTTAGTTGGTCCAAGATGGATGTTATATGCTCAAACTGCCTTGCCAAGTGAGCATATTGCTGACAATGTACTCCAAAATTCTGAATTACCCTACTCAGCAGTTTCATGTGGATGTTAAAAAGCATTGAGGGGGATTGAACCCTGAGGAAGCCCACATTCCAGGCTCCAGAGGAGTGAAGAGCACTCCCCAAGCATCTCCTCTGGAAATGACCATCCAAGTAGGACCAAAACCACTGCAAAGTGGTGCTACCCAGCCGTAATTTCGACAGCAGCTCCAAAAGGGTATGATGGTCGATGATAATCTAAAGCCACTAAGAGGCTGAGAAGAATTAACAAGGACAAATTTCCCCTGTCTCTCTCCTGAAAGATGTCATCATGCAAGGCGACCCAAGCAATTTCTGTGCCACAATTCCGACTGAAATGGATCTAGAAAATCAGATTTTCTAAGACACCAGGTGATTGGCAGGTGCTCACCTGTCAAATAAGGCCCTGAGCGGCCTGGTAAGAATCTGTCTTCTAGAACCAAAAATATTATCCACCCCTAGTTCTAGCAGATTCAAATGCACATTTACTAAGGCCACATTGGTGTTTCATTTCACTATCTGTGTGAGTCCATAAACCAAATGAAACCACGTGCAAATGAATTCCAGGCAATGCTAACATACTACCAATTCCCACAGAGATTACATCATTTCTTATGCAGGAAGGTGCACAGACCTCTATGTATGCCTGTGGGGTTTAGCAAAAAGGCACAGTCTCCCCTACAGCAATAGTCACATGGACAACTGAACACATGGCATAGCATTACAGTGGAACCTCCACTTAGAGACATAATCCATCCCGGAGGTCCGTCCACTGGTCAAAATGGGATGCTAGAAGAGGCGTCTTGTGCATGTGCGCATTTGGCAGCAGTGCGCTTCTGTGCGTGCGCAGACGGCGGCGGCCGCTTCTGCACATGCGCAGATGGCAGAAGCCACATCCACACATGCGCGAATTGCGGCAAACCCGGTGTTTACTTCCGGGTTTGCCGCAGACGCAACTTGGAACGTCCATGAGACAAGGCATATGTAAGTCTAGGTTCCACTGTACATTCAATTATGGTAATGGGCTTTTAATGAGGCACAGTGAAATATTTTCCTGAAAATTATTAAAGAGGTTGAACTTTCTATATTCTAGTGAAGAATAGCAAGGACATGTTTTACTAAATCCATGTTTACAGACAGTATGCTTTTTCAGAAACCAAGAAGAATACATACATCTTTTAAAGTAATAATGTTAGGATGCTGTCCATAGCGCATCAGAATCTCGATTTCTTCAGAGGGATCTCTTTTACTTTTGTCAATTATCTGGAAATATTAAATGGCATGCAAAAGTTACACATTAGTTTTTTAAAATGAAAACAGTTTTATAGTAACAATAAAATGTAAACAACTTTAAAAACCTGTAAACCACAATAAACATAGTGTTTGTAGGCATACATCTGAGCAAGTGCTTTACCTCTAAGAGAGGTCATTTCAAGGAGTGCAGTCCAGTTAAGACCATGTAAATAGTATGCTTTTTCAAATAAAATGATATTGAGTTGGAATACAAATGACCGTCTTGTTTATATGACAAAATGAGTTCTTGCTACACTAAAAGAGAAGGAATCCAGGTTGGATGTTCTCTGTACTAGTCTCTGCTCATGTAACAGCTACTAAGATCAGTAACATCTTTCCAGTTTTTAGAGCTCTGCAACCAGCATAAAATAATCCCAATTTTAGAGGGTTTCAGAATAATACCACATAATACCACAGAGGAAAGGATTCCTCTCAATTTTTTTGTTCAGTGATAATGTTATTTATTTAAAGACTATGTTGCATAATGTTTTCACTGCTGGGCGGTTACATATGAGGTGCCAATATGGGAATCTTCCATGACAATTCCTCCAGCACACACTGTATCTCCCCACCCCAGTTTTATTGTGAAGCAATTTCACAGGTGACCTGTGAGCTAGCTTGAGAGTCGTCCCCCCCCCCCCCCGCACCATGCCGACTGAAACATATATTAAAAGCCTGGATGCCCATATTTTATTCAATTGGTTTGTTTTTAATTTCTCTGCAAGGTCTTTTCCCCACACAACTTTCAATCCCAAGAAGGAAAGATAAGTAGTATTTTTAAAAATTGCATAAATCTTTGACAGCAGGTCTTTCAAAGATGTTCAAAAAATGTGAGAGGATGAATCACCTGTTTTAAAATAAAGGATCTGGAGATAAAGTAATTAACTTGCTGGAGAATTAACAAACCCATCAGGGCACCTCGCAGTTGGTTTTTTAGTTGCTTTTCTGACAATGGGCTACCATTAATACAAGAACATATGAATCTAATAATAATAATAATAATAAATTTTATTTATATCCCGCCCTCCCCAGCCGAAGCCGGGCTCAGGGCGGCTAACAACAATAAAACAGTACAAAAGTACAGCATAAATAACACTCTAAAATCATTCATTATAAAATTAATTAATTCAAGCCACTGGCAACCATTGGGCCAGAGCTCCGCGAAGATTGCCGAGGGAGGGAGTCAGGCTGTGCCCTGGCCAAAGGCCTGGTGGAACAGCTCTGTCTTGCAGGCCCTGCGGAAAGATGTCAAGTCCTGCAGGGCCCTGGTCTCTTGTGACAGAGTGTTCCACCAGATCAGAGCCATGGCCGAAAAAGCCCTGGCTCTAGTTGAGGCCAGCCTAATTTCTCTGTGGCCTGGGACCTTCAAGATGTTTTTATTTGAAGACCGTAAGTTTCTCTGTGGGGCATACCAGGAGAGGCGGTCCCGTAGGTACGAGGGTCCTAGGCCTTTTTTATAAAAGCCTATAAAGAATCTATAAAGGCCTTTTCTTTGAAATGCCTTGAAGGAAGTTATTTTTTATTGACAGAGCAATTGTGTTAAATGGGAAGGACACAGTGACAACTTCTGCTATTTACAGTGGTACCTCGGGCTATAGACGCTTCAGGTTACAAACTCCGCTAACCCAGAAATAGTACCTCGGGTTAAGAATTTTACTTCAGGATGAGAAAAAAATCGTGCGGTGGCGGTGCGGCAGCAGTGGGAGGCCCCATTTGCTAAAGTGGTACCTCAGGTTAAGAACAGTTTCAGGATAAGAACGGACCTCCAGAACGAATTAAGTTTTTAACCTGAGGTACCACTGTATACCAAAATTCAATCAAAGAGGATAGGAAGAGATTATTCATGTCTTGTCATTTCTTAAAAGAAGAGGGTGATATGTTCACTTTCTAGCCTCTTAGGAATTATAAGCATGGGGAGGCGTGTAGCACTGCACACTACCACCTTATCTACTATTGACCATCAACCGAATACAGTGGTACCTCGGGTTAAGTACTTAATTCATTCCGGAGGTCAGTTCTTAACCTGAAACTGTACTTAACCTGAAGCACCACTTTAGCTAATGGGGCCTCCCGCTGCCGCCGCGCCACCAGAGCACGATTTCTGTTCTCATCCTGAAGCAAAGTTCTTAACCTGAAGCACTATTTCTGCGTTAGCGGAGTCTGTAACCTGAAGCGTCTGTAACCTGAAACTTATGTAACCCGAGGTACCACTGCACATCAGTTGGTGTTCACAACTCATGCACTCAAGGTTTCTCTTTAGCCTACATGTTATGATGCTCTGAGAAACAAGGACAGCAATAGAAGTAAGGATCTGATCACCATTTCGCCAATGTAGGTCTTCTGACTGGAGGACCACTAATGACTGAAATATTTACTTGTTTCAGTTTATTATCAGCTTTATCCCCAAGTGCTCTGTTGATTATCAGTTTCAAAAATATTTTTATTTTACTTCTGCTTTATTTTGAAATATGTATAGAATGCTTAATCATAAAAATCTAAGCAGTGTACATTGTTATTTTAGTATTAATAAGCACAGATGAGATCAGCAAAGCATAAAAACAGAATGTACAACACTAAATTATATGTCTGGGTTGGCATGCTGAAAGAAAAAGATTTTCAGCAGGTGTCTAAAACAATACAGTAAGGCCACTTGCCTAGCATCAATAGGCAAGGTGTTTCAAAACACAGATGTGACCGCACTAGAAGATTGACACATAGCTACTGTGGAACATTATATAGCACTTGTAAATAGCGCAAGTTCTGCAGACAGAAGCTGTCCAGAAAGTACATATGGAGGAAGGCAATCCTCCAAGGAAACTGGTCACAAGCCGTTAAGGGCTGTATAGACCATTTATTTATAGAAGATAAAGAGTACTGTGGCATCAAAGAGACTAAATCTATTTAAGTGTCCTAAGCAACTGCAACAGGACATTACAAAGATATTCCTAAATTGCAGGATACTCCCTTGGGTACATGAAGGTAACTATATGTAAGCAAGAATACTGAGTATTTATTGTAAAGCTTACAGTTGAATAATGTTTTAATAACAGGCTGCTTTATAAACATTAGAGTGAAAGGTCTCTGTTTTAAAAACGTACATTTTTGTATTCAGCAGAAATAGTTAAGTATGGTTAGAGGAAAGAGATCTAAGATCTATTAATAGATTTGCCAGTACCAACTATGGAGAAAGGAACTCCATATATACCTTCACAGCAAACTCCATGCTTGAAGCCATATGGATGCAGCGCTTACACACTGAATATGAGCCAACACCAATGTCCTCCTTAAGTTCATAAGCATCTGTGAATAGTGCACTGTTCCCATGAAGTTGCTAAAAGCAAACAAACTGTTGTTTAAAGCTATACACAATTCTTAACAATCATTTCATAAACTTCAGTAAACGATTCAGTTCCCAAACATATGGCAAATATACTTTTATTAGATGCTTCTGCAGTGCGCCCAGAGTGGTACAGTAGGGCATCAATGAGAACCATAAGGGCACAGAGCTGCAAAACAAGATCACAATTTATTGACCTAACTTAACTACTGATAGTTTTGTCTGCCTCAAGTAGGACCCCAAGGACAAGAAAATATAGCCATGAACTGTAAGGGAGATGCAGAGATCTAAATAGAGACCATTATTTGTGGTGTGACACCCCTTTTGTTTATATTTATTTTTGATTCAGATTTGTCATGGCCAGTAGCTAGTACAATAAAGATATTTGGATTGGATTGGGCATTGGAAGCCTGATGATCTGCACCTAAATGTTAATTGCCTTATGTAAGATGTGAATAAGATATCCTACATAAGACATGCTCCCCGCCCCCTGAACCTCCAGAAAAAACAATCCTCAGCTGGGAAAATAATAATAATAATAATAATAATTTATTATTTGTTCCCCAGCCACTCTGGGCGGCTTCCATAGAAACAAAAAATACAGTAAAATATCACAGATTAAAAGCTTCCCTGAACAGGGCTGCCTTAAGATGCCTTCTAAATGTCAGATAGTTATTTATCGCTTTGACATCTGATGGGAGGGTGTTCCACAGGGCGGGCGCCACTACCAAGAAGGCCCTCTGCCTGGTTCCCTGTAGCTTTGCTTCTCGCAATGAGGGAACCGCCAGAAGGCCCTCGGCGCTGGACCTCAGCGTCCGGGCAGAACGATGGGGGTGGAGACGCTCCTTCAGGTATACTGGGCCGAGGCTGTTTAGGGCTTTAAAGGTCAACACCAACACTTTGAATTGTGCTCGGAAACGTACTGGGAGCCAATGTAGGTCTTTCAAGACCGGTGTTATGTGGTCTCGGCGGCCGCCCCCAGTCACCAGTCTAGCTGCTGCATTCCGGATTAATTGTAGTTTCCGGGTCACCTTCAAAGGTAGCCCCACGTAGAGCGCATTGCAGTAGTCCAAGCGGGAGATAACTAGAGCATGCACCACTCTGGCGAGACAGTCCGCGGGCAGGTAGGGTCTCAGCCTGCGTACCAGGTGGAGTTGGTAGACAGCTGCCCTGGATACAGAATTGACCTGCGCCTCCATGGACAGCTGTGAGTCCATGGAGTGTACTAGCTAGAATTTTGAGACAAGTTTCATCCTCTATGTTTATTTGTGAACCTGCTACAATAAGGGTGGGCAACCAGATCCAGTTGGCAGGCTGGATTCTAAAATCCCTCCACCTTCCCTGTGGGCCAACTTTGGAAGACGGGTGGAGCTGCCCACTTGTCAATCACCTGACATCAGATGATGACTTCAAGTGAGTTCTCTCTCAGTGCTAAATTAGGAAACACCTTTAAAGTCTGTTTGCAAGTTTGGTATGGATTCAAACCATGCCAGCAGGTGGACGTTTTTCCTCTGCTGCTCTTCACATAAAAAAAATGATGTTTTTGCTCTGCAGATTGGCAGAGGCAAAAACACTGTTTTCAGGCAGAATTTGAATTCCTACTATGCTTGTAAATGGACCTCAGAGGAGTTCCCTTTCAGCACCCATCGGCTGATAAAATTGAGAAGAAGTTCTTTTAAAAGCTTGCACTCAGCACAACTTCAAAAGGCACTAGATTTCAGCACACATTAGCTGATTGGCTCAGAGAAAAGCCCTACCAGCTTACTAGCAAGTTCCCAGTGCAGCTGATTCCAGTCATGTATTCCAGCCCTGTATTTGCCTGCCCCACATCTGATGTTACATATCCATAGCTGTCAACTTTTCCCTTTTCTTGCGAGGAATCCTATTCAGAATAAGGGAATTTCCCTTAAAAAAAGGGAAACGACAGCTATGCATATGACATCTCATACGATGCTACATATGATGTTCGGTGCAATACAGATGGGTGTGGCTTGGATAAAACTGCCTCGCGGGCCAATTAGATCTGTGAGACAGAGGTCTTCCACGGCTGTGCTGGAGGATTAATATTCAGAAAATATGCATCTTGTATAAGCAATATTTGCTTAATAAGCAATTACTGCAAATCTTATCACCACTGGAAGTAGCTATTTCAATAGTTATATGTGTATACGGGACCGAGGGTGAGAAAACGAAACCTTTTACCTGTACTATTGGCAATATGTTGTTGAGAGGGGAGATTTTGTGGTCTTCTATGGCCGTAGTTGCGACAAAGCTAAAGCCTTTGAAGAGCTGGTGTGCATTAGCACTAGGTGGAACTCCTGGAGAATCTAATGATTAAATTTACAATACGTTAGACAGCCCATAATACATTTTTTCCACTGCAGTTATGGATTTTTATTTCACTTTTTGAAAAATAAAGACAAGTATAAATAGTAAGCTCATTTATAAGAATTTAACGGATCTATAAGAGGAAGAAACTGACAAAGGCAGAAGGAATAAAGAGCTACTTCGTCTTCTTTCTGAGATTTGTTTTTGAAACAATTAACTTGACGATTTAATTTCCAAAGAGATCAAAAAGCATATTTTATTTTATTGTTTTTAAGCAGATTAGATCCGTTCCAACACTGCTTGGATTTTAAGTGAAATTTACACTGTAAATGGGCATGGTAGAGAAAAGAGTTTATATTGTTTTTTGTTTGTTTGTTTTACCGTATTACCTTTTGGTGTTTTTGCTGTGAATTCTGGATCAAAACAAAATGTGTCTTCTGGCCTCCCGGAAGCAGGTTTAAATGGAGGCAGAATCTCTCTCCTGTATAGTTTCTGAAAATGGAATTGCAATATATTATTTCCTCAGGAACGCAAACACATCACATGCAAAATTGAAGCATCAAAATGTAAAGTAGGTACTTCTCTTTAAGTTGTAAAGAGTGTGAATCTGAAGAACTTCCAAAAGGCTACAAAAAACAATTCTCTGCATGCTTGAGTGGGGGGAAAAGACAAGAAAAATATCTTTCTCCCGACTCACTTCTTGCACATAATGGCTGAAGTTGCACATTAACGCTAAGCCATGGCTTAACAGTACATGCATGAGTTGTAGTGAGCCCCAGTGAAACATTGGTTTTCTACTCTCACTTCCTCTTCTCTTCCTGTAAATTTGGAAAAAGGACTTCCACAGAGAATGGTTTTATTCTAATAAGATATAAGGCTATGAAGATCTTAAGATGGAGACAGGAAATGTAATGATACTGAATTGTTAATAAGATCAAAAATATTCAGTACGGCAAGTATATTTTGGACATTCCACTGACTGTTGGCATCCATCAGCACATGTTTGGTAAGCAAATAAAATTTATTAGATCAAAGGTTGATCTAATGGTAAATGAAAGCAAGCCAGAGACAAATGAAATGAAAAGTGGAATCAAAGATGATACAGAGACTTTGGAGAAGAATATGGGTAAAGGATTGGCAGAACCAGAGGGTGAAATGGTAGAGTTGGAGGGAACAGATAGTGAAATAGAAAAGCCCTTCACAAGGGTGTTTGGAGGAAAGAAACAGCCAAATGGTGGAGTTCGATTCTGCAGGAATGGAGTGAAGTCATGGATGGAGAGAGATGGGATCTGTAATCAACAGAGCTGAGAAAGAAATGCTCTCTCAGTGTACAATTTTGAGTGAACTCAGAAGAAAAAGATATCAAACCTCTGGCCCTTTTCTTGGAAATGTTTTTTAGATAAGGATGCAAAACCACATCAAACCCAACAGGAAATTGGAACTGAAGACACTGAACTGGGTATGAATTAATGGTTACATAACAAAAAAAGAACTATGGATAATATCTCAATATAACAGCAGAGAGACTTATGTGGACAATGACAGAATTTTTATTGTTATTGTTAAATATGGAGGCATGATTGTTGAACTTATTGGGGCAAAGTTGATATGTTGGATCAAAGAAAAGCCATTGCTGTCTTTTATTAATAATAACAATTACATAAAAATTAGAGCATGAAACGGGAAAATGAACAAATTTTAGACATTTAGGACTGAAGGTTGGAAATGGCCGCTTACCTGGTGCCAGGGTGGGTGGCAGTTGTGGTGTGTCGCAGCTGCCCCTCTACTCCCCATGGGACAAGACACCACCTCATAGTGGCTGATTGTTTGGGGATCCACAGGAGAGCACGTCATCCTCCAAATTGCCAAATCAAGGGCATGCTGGAGGCTGGGATTGGGCAGTGACCAGAGTGGATGTCTTCACTCTGGTCTGACACCTGAATATTTAGACTGGTTGTGCCTGAGTTCAGGACCACTATGGTTTAATAATTGCTGTATCTGGAGCCAGGAAGGAATTTTCCTGCAAACAGATTGGGCCCTACTGGAGGCTTTGGCTTCCTCATAGCAAAAAGGCATTGAGTTGAGATGAAGTGGTGCATCACCTCTACCTCAATCAGGTGTGATCTAAGGATATCCCATTAACAGGGACTAAATGGGTCTCTGTCCAGTTTAAAAGGCCATAGATTGTTTAATCAGCCAAAGGCCTGTGAGAAGAGGAGTGTTTTTGCCTGGTGCCTAAAGATACAGAAGAAAGGCTCCTCAAGCATTCCACAACTGGGGAGTTCCCACAGAAAACACTCACTTTCCTGGAGGAGATACATGAAGAAGGGCCTCAGATGATGACTGTAGGGTCTGGGTTGGTTCATATGTGATTTCATCTCAGTCTCCCTTAATGGTTTTTTTCTTCTTTTCTTTTTAGAAAATAGGTTTTCTAAATAGATGCTAGAAGTACACAATGTTTGGCTGCTTGAACAATTTGATATATCCCACATATATTTATTTTTTGAAAGGCAACATTACAAAAATGGAGTGTTAGATTTCAGCCTTCTTTTATGTACTCACATTCCAATCAATGGTTGAAAAGAAAGGATGTCTCTTGATTTCTTCAACCCCATCAGGACCAGCTCCTGTCATTGCAGGAAATGAAAGGTACTAAATCAAACAGCGTAAAGAAAAATATTGTGGGGCATCCAAAGAGGCTTTGACTTTTAGTTTCTCAAATAGCACCTCTCTACCTTACCTAAAATATATTGGAATATCGTTTCAAAACTAAGGGTTTTGAGTGATAGTTTTGAATAGCAGACTGTTGTCTCTTAGTTGACATGCCTCAAACCTTGGGCACTCTTTGAATCCCAGCCTATATTTAGTAACCAGATTTAAGAGAAAGTCTGAGGATATGGAACGCATCTACTTATAGCATTTGAAGTGAAATAAAAATTCCAGGATTGATCACATGCAGTTTTTTCACCTTCAGGTGTACCATGAAAATGAAAAAAGAAACAAGATTGTTTATATCAGGTACTGTACCCACACATACATCACTACCCAAAACAAACAAGCCCCTGTCACAGTTATTAGCCGACTACTATAATTTTATCTTTGGGAACACAGTATTTTATTAGTGCATTATACAACAAGTTCACAACAGAATACACCCCAAAGGAGCTGCATAAACTACATCAAGGTGAGGAACCTCTATCCCTCTGTAAGTTATTGCAGACCAACTCCCTTCAGCCAGAGCCTGCAAGTTCAGTGGTCAAAGATGAGGCATTTTAGTTCAGCAACATCTCCGGGGCCACAGGTTCGCCACCCAAACTACATTATTTTGAATGACGGCTCATTTTGATGAAGCAGAGTATGATTCATTATAACTTGAACACAAGCAGAAATTATAGTCAGGCTGTATCAGAAGACAGAAAAGAAGGGATGTGAGGCCACCATCTGTCCTGTCATCTGGCAGCAGTCATTACATCAGGCTGCAGCAAAGAAAGAACAAGAAGAAATGCAGAGGACACACCATTGACTCCACTGAAAGACCAGCAATGCTACTGAAGTTTTCCACTCAAACAGTTCATTACAACAACTTGAACCCAATTTTCTTATTTCCTCCTTTTTCCAAATCTATTTTCCAGGGGAAATAGTATAACCTTTGCATAAACCAGGACAGACCATAAATGCAAAGCTACTGAGACAACTGAATAGGAACTTAATATTTAACACTCAAGGAAATGCTTGGTTCGAAAGCATCTTTAAGACATATCCTTCTGTGGTTTTGCTAAGATTCAACAGAATGAATCTTTGATAAACAACTAAATAAGCAAGCCTTAGTTGCTTACAATATAGGCCAGTGATGGTGAATCATTTAGAGACTGAGTGCCCAAACTGCAACCCAAAACCCACTTATTTATCACAGAGTACCAACGCGGCAATTTAACCTGAATACTGAGGTTTTAGTTTAGAAGGGGAGGTTGGTGCATCCACGTGGCGAGAGAATGGAGCAATACAGTGGTACCTCAGTTTTCGAACAGCTTAGTTCTCGAACTGCTTGGAACCCAAACACTTCAAACCCGGAAATTAAGTGTTCTGGTTTTCAAACTCTTTTCGCAAGTGGAACGTGCTCTGTTCTGAGTATAACTTCTATTTTGAGTGCCACACTTCCATTTTCAGAGTGAGGGAAGGCAGGCTGGGTGGCAAGTGAGCAGGCACCTGCCGTCCTCTAGCGCTGGGTCCCTCTGCCGCCGCAGCCACAACAGCAACCACCCCCTCCTCCAGCTCTGGAGGCACTGAGTGAGGGAAGGCTCGGCTGGGGCGGCAAGCGAGCAGGCAAGGGATATCATCGCCACCCACACCCCCCAGCCTGCTCCAGCTTGCAGGCAAGTAGGAGTGCAATCGGACTGCTTTGCTAGGCAGCGTTGCTGCTTGCACGGGAACAGGAGCTGGATTGGGGCTGCTCAGCTGGGGAGGTGCAGGCTCCATCACACTTTCCATTGAGAGGTTTGCAGCTGCACTCCCCTCAAGGGAGAAGTTTAAAGGATCCCCCAGCTCCGCATCAGATCCCCTGCAACCCCATGGAGGCAGCCAGGCTGAATAGTTGCTGAGGTTGGGGGAGGTGGAGGCAGCCCAGAAGCTGCATCTGAGAGCCCCTGTACCACCTGAAGGCAGCCAGGTGCTCCTCAGCTGAACTGCCCAATCCCACTTCTATTTGCTTGCAAGCAGGAGTGGAGGTAGGGATCTCTCAGAAGTGGAGTGGGGTGGAGGCTTCACGCTCCCCAGCTGAGCTGCCCGATCCTGCTCCTGCTTGCTCGCAAGTAGGAGTGGGATTGGGCAGCTCAGCTGGGGAGCGTGAAGCCTCTACTCCACTTCTGACTCCGTTCCCATTGGCCCTGGCCGGAGGGTGTGTGAAGCCTCAACCTCGCAGCATCAGGAGGAAGGTGGCTGCTTGGAACTCTTCGTGGCCCACCAACGCAGCAGCGCACTTTTGAGCATGTGCATTGCGCTGTGCCCTCCCCACCCACAGCAGAGGTTCCCCAAGGGAAAATGTGCTCCCTGGAGATTGTGGCTACGTTTTGCGCGCGCATACACACACCCCAATGCCCCATCTGAGGCGCTTGTACTCGGACACAAGTTGAGCTGAGGACTCGACACGCTGCCCTTTCCTTCTGCCAGCTCTGTGCTGGGGCGACAGCGCGCGTGCCCACAGAGAGGGCTCTGAGTGACCCCTCTGGCATGCATGCCATAGGTTCACCAACACTAATCTAGGCGATACAAACTTACCTAACCTATTTGAAGGATTCCTTTTAAACAACATCCGGAGAAGACTTTGAGCTTCAGTACTAAGAAACTGTGGCATGCCTAGTTTTGCTCTAGAAAAAGAGAGAATTCATATTCAAAGTATACTCACTAATTAAATAAAACATAGAGTATGATCTGTGCAATACACTTCAATGCAACAAGGAAGTATGCAGTTCAATTCAATTACCCTAAAAGAGCACATTTAAAAGGGGTATAACTATTCATGTCATCCACTTTCTATATTGCATCTTACACAGAATTGCATATTCTTGTTCATCTATTCCAGATAAACAAACAATTTTCTGGGAATACAATACTCCATTATGCTTTCATGAGCTGACTATTTAATCAGAGTTCTTTGCAAAGCTTTTCTCCCCATTCCATAGTCCAAACTCACTGAGCAAGTCACCAGAACAGATGCTCATTCCCTATGTAGAATCAAGTCCCAAAAGCACTCACTGTGGCTGGAGAGGGGCAAGAATCTAGTATACAATCTGGCAAGTAAAAGTGTTCATCACTTTTCCAAGAAATATACCTGATACTATACAGAAGCTTTTTAAAAAAAAGGGGGGGGATGAACACAGTGCTCTTAACCTTTGCACAAAAACCTGCCAGCATCGCCAGAGCAAGTTTCTTGCAACACTAACCAAAAGCTAGGGTTTGCAACATTGTGTCTCTGCTGCTGGCAAGCCCCAAACTAACCCAATTCTAAAGATTAAACCGTTTGACTGTAAGTTTAATAAGCAAAGACCCTCTTAAGCAGGGGTAGTCAACCTTTTTATACCTACTGCCCACTAATGCATCTTTCTTGATGGTAAAATTTTCTTCCCACCCACCCGTGCTCGATGGAAGGTGGATTCAGTTTGTGCCGTAGAACCCCCTACCGCCCACCTAGAATCCTGAAACGCCACCTAGTGGGCCGTAGGGACCAGGTTGACAACCCCTGCTCTAAAGCATAGAAGACATTAAAATTTAAAGAAAATGCCATCTCCAAAATGTAATTTGTTCATTTGTAGAATACATTTTCTAATCATTTAGGTCATAAAGAAAACTGTATTTTTACTCTATATTTTCTTTCATTCAAGTTAAAGATTGTTATATGGTATTAGTCAAATATAATTTGTATTATACTTTCTAAGTTGGAAATACTTAGAAATAGAAATATTTTGAGATAGAGAACAGAAAAATACTTACTTGAGTATCATATTCATAGTTTCATTTCGATCTTTACCTTGAAATGGTAGTGTACCAGTAAGCATTTCAAACTGGGAAAGAAACAAGCCCAGATCAAACTTTTAGAAAATCTAATTTTAATTTGGAGGAATTTTGAACTGGGGGTAGGAAAGCAGCAAGAAAATAATAAAATAACTAGACATGGAATTTATGATATATTGCCCCATGAAGTTTGGAGGGCCATTAGTTAAAATGCAGCAATACTATTGGTAATTGATAGTTTGTTCAGCCATAGCACATACAGACAACAACAAACAAAATGCCCTTGGCTAAAATTCAGTCCATGAGTTTGTTGTAGTAGTTCATTGCCACAATAAAAAAGCACAAAGGAATATAAGATTCTTCAATCAAATGGTTATGCTAAAATGTATTAAGGTTTTCATTGTCAAAATATTGTGTGGTGAAATGTTTTCAGTTGCCATACTTCAGTTATTCAACACAGAAAATAACTACAAATTTCACACAGAAGTTAAGTATATTTTAAAACAAAAACTTTCTCAGATTTTAAACATGTGGACAATGGCAACAACATGCAGCACATCTGATTGTCATGTAAAATTAGGTAATGAAATATACAGTACCATAAGAACACCAAATGACCACCAGTCAGCACTCTGGTTGTGGCCTCGTCTGTTTACAACTTCAGGAGCCATGTACTCTACAGTACCACAGAAAGAATAGGCTTTCTTTTCTTGATCCACAGATTCTTTGCTAAGGCCGAAGTCTAAAATAGTATTATAAAATAGTTCACATAAAGAAACTTTGTGCCATAGGGGTTGCAAAACATTACAAGCTTGAACTGCGTATTTTTTAGGAGTGCATATAGTATCCTATAGCCCATAGGACATAAAAAAATGGGATGCAAAACAGCTGATCAAGGAACTCTCAAATTAAACAGAAAAATGACTGAAACATTTGCAAACTGCATGATAACACGGTATTCTTTTACTGTGTTATTTCCTGTACTATAATGGCTTCATGTGCTCAGGGGTAATTAATATGAAATTATTAGCCTAAAGGCAAAATGATGGAAGATACAAACAAAGTGGTTGCCATACTGTTCCACCAATATATGAGCTTCAGTGACTCATGTGAATATTAATAAGTCACCCTTGGCTTATTATACTTCAAACAAAATTAAATAAGTTTTTTTTTTTTTAAGTGGATCTAAAAAAAAAGCACTATGCTGGAAGACTGAACATAATCTGTACATACAATATAACATTTATTTTCAGGTATGCTTTCAGTGCTGCTCAACAGTGAATACAAGGACAGCACAGTTTATTAAATAAGTTGGCCTCCTAACAAGCAATTCTATATACACGCAGGTCCCACTATCTGCCCACTTGTTACCCGCAAATTCACTTATCTGAACACAAGGAGTTATACCCAAATCTTGTTATTACACAGCTGACTCAGAAATCCCAACAGCCAGAGTTTGCTCATTTACTTATTTGTTTGTGCTTTGCTCATCAGCGGCAGCCATTTTGGGGCAGAAATCATGGACAGAGGGAGGGGAGAGTGAGATCAGACAAATCAGAGAGCAGGAGAAGTTGGACAAATCAATTTTTCCTTTGTAATTCTTTTGCTGGTTGGTTGCAGCCATTTTAGGAAGAAACCATGGTGGGACGGGGCAGAAAAAGATCATGGATTATAAATGTTCTCATAGGAAAAAAATGGAAAACATTAGCTCGTTGTGTGAATGCTCACCCAACATATGATTCCCTGGGAACTGTAAGTGGGATCTACATGTACAAACCTCTTGCCAAATTCTTGCCGTACAATATAACATGAAAATGTTCATCAATGGCAAAACTATTACTGAAAAGTCTCATTTTTATCTAACATAAGGAATTATAGCTGTATTTTTAAAGCCATGTAGAAACATGCCAGTAGCAGCTCATATTAACAAAGCTGCTGCTTGGTTTAAAATCAGTTTGCTTCCAGCTGCTGTGATTGAAGTTTCAAGGAAAGAACAGGTTACAAGAATCGATCATGTCCAGTTTTCTGTAAAGCTTTTTCAGACCATTTTTTAAATCTTTACATGGCTTCCGCCAGTGTCCAGAAGCACAGTCTGCAAGTTAATCCAATGGTACAAAGGCAAATCCAGCCAAGAAAAAGTAAGGGGAGTGTGTTTGTTTGTGTATGTGCATGCATGTTTAACTGTCATCTGTAATACTGTCTCACTCCCCCTCAGGATTTAGTTTAAAGCTCTCCTGACCAGATTCACAAGACTCTTAGCAAACATATTCTTGCCAGCTGCTATGAGGTGCAGCAAATGCCCGTTTATAAGTTCACATCATAAGAGCATTCAAACATAATATCATACAATCATATTATTAAATCAATCAGCCATCTCATTCAATCATAGAATCATTCATAATTATAATAACATTGCAATACAATACAATGCAATACAATTATAATATCACAAGTACATAATCATAAACATACAACACAATACAACCACACAATCAGATCAATATCACATAATCATAATATTTCCCAATCACAATATCATAACAATGCCATCACCAAATATCATAGCCCTCACCTCCCCAGCCCACATACCCCACCCTGGCTGGCCAATGCAAAATGAATTTCAAGAAGGAGAGGGAAATTAAGCCTCTCCCTTTTTACACTGGTCAACAGCAACATGTGTTGGAGGAGCTGGATATAGGTTAATTTCCTTCATTAATGATCATATGATATGATTTGATGATTGTACAATATGATAGTGTGACATTGTGATGGTATGATATTGTTATATTGATTGTATAGTTGTGTGACCATATGATATTATGACTATATGATTTTGCTATTACGATAGTATGATATCATGATTGTATATTATTATATGATATGATTGTTTGATATTATGATTACAGGGTATTATATTATGATTGTATAATTTGTTTTAGCTCCTTGTGCCCCTTTAGAACAATACATTTCACAACTTAATATTGTCTTCTACAAAGATTCATTGACTTTGCTAACAATGCCACACCAAAAGCTGAGTAAGCTTGACCAAATAACATGTTTTCTCATTTCTTTTGCTGTGGCTATGTGAAATACTGCCAAAATTCACTCATAAATGCCTACTTTGCTTTTTTGTCCCTTATAATAAAGCTGAAGAGAATTTAAAGTGTGCTCACTAACAAGCAATTTTCAACTATATTTTAGCATTTTTCTTTCTATTAAAATTGAGGCCTGCAAAATAATGCAATATTCCCCTCCATGACAGAAAGAACATTCTGTTCTAAATTCCAGTTCCCCTACGATTGCAGAAGCAAGGCAAAGGGACATTCCAGACCTATCCAAAGAACAAGACCCACCAACTGCTATTCAAGAAAGAATGCCAGCAAGTGAAGATCAACCAAGCCCAAACCGGATGTAAAGACATGCTTAGAGACCGGTACTTTGTTCAACTGACCAGAGGTACTGATCTTTCACCTCCCCTTGTCCCCTTTCTCCTAAAGCCATTCTCTTGCTTTTTTTTCTTATTTTCTTTTTAACTGAGGTGAGACACTTTGGGAGAAAACCATTTTCTACAAAACGTGACTAAAATAAGGTAAATGTAAACCATTCACATGGATTTTACTAATCCTCACTCATCCTAAATTTGGGGTGAACCAGCTCCTCCCTGCATACTATTTTTCCTGTTTTATCAAGAGTAAAAATTGAAAATTTTGAAGGACTCAGATGAATTTTCTCTCTTTTGGAATGACTGAAAGACTAAACTCAGATTGTTTAGTATGAAGATACTTAAGGCAATCTACAATGATAATACCTCTACCTCTACTTATGCAGGGGCTATGTTCTGGGGGTCACATGTAAAGCCAAAAGCGTGTATAGCCAAAACTCATTGGGTTCAATGACAGGTGGGATTGCCAAAGTATTTCTTCCTGAAACCCTGCTCCCTTTTCGATTTTTTTAGTCCCTCCCACAAGTGTGTAAAGCTGAATCTGCGTAAATAGTACTTCTATAGACATATACAACATTTAAATCCAAGGTGCATTTCTGCACTTATACAACATTCCATCTACATGAGAGAAGTGTACTAGGTCTTCTTCCTGCTTGTCTTTGATGACCTTTTATATACTTTGGAGATACTAGAAGCAAATATTCTGTGCCTGCTATCATTCTGACATAATCCTTCATCTCTCTCATCAAACAACTGTGACACACAGATCCTGATACAAAACTAAGACATTAATACTTTTGAGGCTACAATCCTTTGTGTGCTTACTTGGGGAAAAACACCACTAAACAGAGTCTTACTTCTGAGTACACATGCAGTGGATTATTCTGTAAATTTCAGAAAGATGTCAGAAGGTATCCACCAATGAGTTCTTAAATAACTAAATGGTCAAACTGCTGAGCTTCTATTTGAAATATTTCCACCTGATTTATAAATTTCACCTGAACTTTACAGTTACTATGTTTAACTACTTGGGTTTTTTGTTATTTTTACTTTATGTGTCTTTTTTTATTAAACCACTGTGAAGAAAAGTGTCTAATACATTTATAAGCTGAATAAATATATATGAGGGCAATCTCAATAGCAAATGAGCTACAACAAATGAGCTACCATGCCTGACAAACTGGGCCATCAAACTGGAACATAATATCTGCTTCCATCATAATTTTGGACCAAGAAATGGATCTAACAGCTGACATCCTCTGCAGAAAAGCAGAAGTAGATTAAAAGAATCACGAGGATATTAAATTATACTTTGGGGTTCTAACCCACTCAAAAAAATGCAGACAAGAACTGCTTCCACTTCACTGTTGAAAATCCTTTCAACTAGGATCCAAGGGTACTATTGCAAAAATAGAAGGCATTTCCTTTGGGCAGCTGAGGTCTCAGATTCAAAGACCCATCTTCTTGATGCAGCCTCCGAGCTCAAATGCCGTTCTTCCTCTTTTCCCTGATTTAATTAAAAATCTCCAAGAAGTGCTTAACAGTCAACAGGATGGTGCATGAGAATATGTGAGCTTGCTGGCTAGGACACTGGAGAAAGTCACAACAGCTTACAACCTGGCTAGAAGAAAGTCATTTCTGGTTATATGCACAAGATCCTGGCATACAATAACCTCTAATACTCTAAGTCTAAAATGATTGAAAATGCACAAGAAAAAATGCACATAACAACAGCTGTGAAAAACTCAATGCAGTACAGTGGTGCCCCGCAAGACGAATGCCTCGCAAGACGGAAAAACCGCTAGACGAAAGGGTTTTCCGTTTTGAAGTTGCTTCGCAGGACGAATTCCCCTATGGGCTTGCTTCGCAAGACGAAAATATCTTGCGAGTCTTGAGATTTTTTTCGCTTTCCCCCTTTATCTAATCTGCTAAGCCTTTAATAGCCTTTAATAGCCTTTTAGCAGCTAATCCCTAAGCCTTTAAGCCTTTAATAGCCGCTAAACCGCTAATAGCGCTAATAGCGCTAATCCGTCAATGGGCTTGCTTCGCAAGACGAAAAAACCGCTAGACGAAGACTCTCGTGGAACGGATTAATTTCGTCTTGCGAGGCACCACTGTATCTCCTGCTACAACTTTTCAAGAAACTTATATAAATATTTTTTAAAAGTTATGTTGGTAAGTTCCACCTACCTGTTAACTTGATATGTCCTGCTTCATCAAGCAAAATGCTGAAAATTAAAATCCACATTCACCAATACACATAACAGGAGAATTTATAATACATTTAATTTAGCAAATGAAATAATAATTAAACCAATAGTTTTTATATACAGGCATTCCCCCCCCCCAACCTTATGTGGAGGTTATGTTCCCAGACTCCACCCATATGTGAAAAATGGGGGGGGGCGCTATTGAGAGAGGCTGGGAAACAGCTCTCTCTCAGCAGATCCCATCCATCCCATCAGTCTTCCCCGGGCAGCTATGTACCCTTGGACATGCATGCCCTGCCTGCCTCCAGTGACCAGAAAGTTGAGATGTGGGTTGGTAGCTGGGTGGCTCCAGGTGCCCAACACTGCTGCTGGGCTTCTCAGCACTCTCTCTAGTAGTCTTGGAAGTTGCTGGAGACCGTTTATTTTTTATCTAATTTCTCCCCCACCCCTCAAGAAATAATGTTGCTGCCTATTTGTTGGGCAGCAAGGGATAGGGCGATCAGAGGGCAGAGGGACTCTCAGATCCTGTCCAATAAACAAAACTGACACAAGCGAGTGAGCGAGGGACGGGCAGGTGGGCAGAGGCATGGAGCACCCCCACCCCACAATGGCTCTGCTGCCGAGGAAAAAGAAGGACAAGGAGGGTGCGTTAGTGGAGGCGGCAGGACAATCAGAGCGGCCGTGCAAGCTGTTTCCCCCCACTCTCCAGGTCTCTCTTGCTCTTTTCGCAGTGTTTTGGCACCATTTCCTGGTTTAAATCATTTATTTATTTCACGGTGATGCGTCTAAACATGGTCGCACGTGAATGGAATGCGCATAAGTGGGGGGGTGCCTGTATTATATTAACAAATATGCAATACTCTATTTTCAATATATATTAGAAGAATAAAATATCTAAACTTTCATGTGATTCTATATTTTGATTACAAAAAAGGCAAATAAATCTTCGAACAAGAGTACTGTAGTAACGGATAAAATACATTTTACTTTACTTTTCTGGCTTCAGGTCCCTGTACACAATTCCCAAGCTGTGCAGATGATCCAAAGCAAGGGCCAGTTCTGCGAGGTAGAATTTCACATCTTCCTCTGTAAACATAACCTAATAAGAACTATATAGATTTACATTCTGATCTTGTTAAATTTCTGCATATCTAAGATGACTATAAACTCCCGTAAGATTTAAAAAGCTGTGATGCATGTATCCCCCATAATCCAGGATGATGGGAGCTCAGGCTGTATATAGGCCATCAGAAAAGACAAGCTAGAGAGGGCTAGCATAAATCCTGCTAGCTCCCAACGGAACAGATATTCAGATCATTCCTCCTTCTTCCCCGCACCCCTGCTAAAAGATGACTGGGATGGACAGAAGGGAAGTAGAATGATGCTAAACTCCCTAACAGATCATTATGTGCTCTACTTGCACACCCACTCCCTCCACATGAAATAAAGATCTGAATGCAGTCCAGATACTCCTTGGTATAAAAATGCTGATAACTGATTTCAGAAAACAGCCATTTTATAAAAATATTCTGCAACTTGGAATGAAGTAGGTAGAAATGTAAATGCCAAAGTAGTATATATGAAGTATAAAAATATTTATAGAAGAATATTTATAACAGGTGGAAGAGATTCAAAGCAGAGTCAAGATTTTCATTTTCTCTTGTTCCAAAGAAAAGTAAATACTTAAACACACATTCCCATTTTAGGAATGAGCAGATGTAAATGGGAGGCATATTTCTCAGTCCATACTGTATAATGAATGAATTACAGGACAATCCTATGTATACAGGCGTCCCCCCACTTACACGGGGGTTACGTTCTGGGGTTACGCCCCACACACGTAAGTGAAATTGCGTAAAATGAGGAGCGCCCCACTTTATTAGGGAGGGCGTGTGGGGAGGAGAGAGAGAGAGAGACTAACCCCAGAATTTGCCCAGGGTTGCTGCCAAGCCTGTCTCAAGTCTGTCTGTGTGCCCGAGGGGAACCAGTGTGAACAGTACTGGCAGCTGGCCACAGAGAGCAAGGGCCAATAAGAGCACCCAGCAGAACTATCACAAGAATGGGGACGCGGACATGCAGCCGAGTGGCAGGGAGAAGGCATCTCCCAACCCCACGTCTATTGAAGGCTGCCTTCCCTTATTCAGTAGAAGCCCAGAGCGACTTCAGGGCAGAAGCCCCAAGCAAGGGAAGGTCTGTCTGTCTATTTATTTGTTTGTTTGTTTGTTTATTGGCTATCCACATAAACGTGGTCGTGCATTAATGGGATGCACGTAAGTGGTGGGGTTCCTGTACTTCTCAGAAACATCCCACAGATTGAGTGTGCATAGGATTATAGCCTTCAGCTCATAAAAACCAAATAAATTTATTTAGGTCTAGAAGGAAAAAAACATTTATTGGCACAAATCAAGATGTCACAGAGATGTGGCACTGTTCTGAGTTCTCCAGAATTCAAGATCATGGAACAGAATCCAGAAGCTGACCTCATGGTTACTACATCAGCCTTATTTTTTACTCTTTTGTTTTTCTTCACTCTTGTCACCTTGTGCAACATCTTGCTTGGTGAACAGTCCTGGATAACTCAAAAGCTTGCCACACTTCTGTGACATTTTGTTTGGTCCTGGTGAATGTTCTTCCTAATCGCGGGTTCAGGAGCCTTACCCAAAACACACCCATTACTGGAAACTCTGCTCATTTAATTAAATCGGCCCAGCTACTTACAGTTTTCTAAGTTGGTATGTCTTTATGATATATGTACTAATGTATATTCAATATATATCATGCAATGCACAAATGTGGAAGGACAGGGTAAAAATGTAAAATTACAAGATAGTCCATTTTGCCTAATGTAAATATTAATTTTGTTTTCAAAATTATAGAAATACGTACCTCTTTGGATAATCTTGTGAACACATCTCCTCCCCTGAGAAAATCCAATATTAAATATAGCTTCCCTTCAGTCTGAAAAGCTGATTTGAATAATCATAAGAATACTTCATCAAAATACTAAATTAATACCCACATGCTTATCTAGAACTCTAAATATTTTAATACTATTTACAAATTAAAAGTACTCAAGACTTTTTCTACAGCAAAGATCTAATTTTGTATCCAATTTTACAATTAAACCTTTAAAGAAAGCAGACAAAAGCCATGAAAGTTAAATTCATCACATGCTTGCATTCTTATTTGCATAAGTAGAAACCTCAATCTAAATTCAAGTGAACTTTATTGAGACAGGAAAGCAAACATGTAACAAATAGGCTTCATGAGGGAGTAGAATTAGCACTACAATTTGGTCGTGTTGAGGCAAAAATTCCATATTTAGCAATGTGGTCACAGGTTACCAAGATGTCATACATTATCAGTGGTGTGAAGGGTCCTTTTAAAAATAGCTTCTTATAAAACTACGGCTATTTCCAGATTGGCCAAGAACAATTTTAGGACAGACCAAATAGTGCATTGAAGAGCTCATTCAGTTCAGGGATTGATCATTGTTAGTTTCATGCATGTTCACTATCAGTTTATCATGCGTTCATTCATAATTAAGTTCTATTTTGCTTTCCCATCAGTCAGCAAATTTTCCCCAAAAATCTGTAAGAAAATACTTATTAGAATTTTCATTTAAATATGCATTTCAATGGACACAAAAATACTCACCATAGTGCAGTTTGACAATAAACGGATGATTTACTTCTACTAATATATCTCTCTCCATCTTTGTACGAACTCTATCTCGAACTGCAAACAAAAATGGCTGTTATCTATATTAAGCAAGCTACCTGAATTAAATCAGCCGCAGAAAACTTTATAAACAACCACAGTTTAGTTAAATGGCTATTTTGACTAAGAATTTGAGGGAAAATATATACAACAGGCAGAATTCACCAAGGAGTTTCTGTACACAAACCACTAATGTTTATTCTACAAAATGACGCTCCTTCACTGGAGAAGGTTGGATGGCCATCTGTCAGGGATTCTTTAACTGTGATTCCTGCATTTCAGAGAATTGGACTAGATAACCCTTGGGGTCCGTTCCAACTCTACAATTTATGATTGCACTGGGTCACCAACCAGATTCACACACATTGCAACAAAAAAGTCAAGAGAAATTCACTGCAGTAGTATGATTTACAGGTATAACACGATATATATGGAGAGGCCATATTTTAAAATCCATAAATCACTGCCATATCTGTTTAAACCTTTATTAAGACAAGCCCTAAAAATATGTCATTTAAAGCTAGGGAATAAAGACATGCTTTTGAAGAGAGTGTAGTCTTCAACCTTGTTTTCAGTGTTCAGGATAAATACTGGAACAAATGCCCCTCAACATGTGCAGAGTCCTTTTCACTTAACAGGGATATTCTGTCACTATATTTTACATCAAAATGAGCAACTGCCAGGCAGGATAAGCCCAGGCACTTTTTAGTCAGGAAATCAAGCATTGATTTAAGATGAAGGAAACAACTGGTTTAAAGAGAAGTCTGCCATCATTACGCCACACACTTTGAAATAATCAATAAGCAAAACCCATTGAACTATTTCAGATGTATGCCCTTGAGGACTGCAGCCAAACACTTCAGTCCTACAACATATTTACTTAGGATATAAGTACCTTCAATTGAACTTGTAATTAACTTTAGTATAGGAATGATTATTAAACTATAAAACAGGGCATGGTTATAGAAAAATGTATTCACCTGGCCCCTAAAGATAAGTAATTAAGGAGTCAGGAAAGCCTCCCTACAAAGAGCATTCCACAAATGGGAGCCACAGCAGAGAAGGCCCGTTCTCCTGTTGCCACCCTCTGGGCCTCTGGTGTAAGGGGCACATGAAGAAGGGGCTTTAGCCAATGTATTGTATTAATTTTTTTAAAAAATGCAAGCAAACCTTTTAAAGAAGCTTTCTTCAGAACTTTCATTGCATACAGCTGTCCAGCATCAGGACCAAAAATTTTCCTCACGAGGAAAACCTAACCAGAGAACAGAGATTAAATATTTTACAAATGCTTACGAATTATGCACAATGACTGCTTTTGAAAAGCTAATGTGAACTTGTAATCCTTTAGTGCAGATGTTTTCAAACTTTTTGGGTCCATGGCTCTCTTGTCAAACTACATTATTTCTGCAGCACCGCTGTGGGGCTCAAAAGCCCAGTTATGTCACCCCTTGCCTACAGAGCCAGCAGCCCCTCATCCCTCCATTGTGAAGGGTTCTCTCAGCCTCCTTCTCCTCTCCTTGGCAGTCCTCTGGGCAGCTACAGCTGCCCCCCCCCAGTCTCTGAGTTGCCCCCCTGCCCCAAAGTGAGGTGCCTCCTCACACTGCACCAGAGGGGCCTAGGAAGCACCCCCTGGCCAGCCCCAGAGGCACCATTCACCTGGAGAGCTTGTAGTCAGGACTGCTGCAACAAATAGCTGTGCAAGCCTTTGGGAGGCAGAGATGCAAGAGGGCATCAGAGGAGGGAGGGAAGGAAAGTGGGACAGAGGCCAGTGTTGCCCACGGCACCCCTGACCATCATTCAAGGCACCTCGGGGTGCCACAGCACATTGGTTGAAAACCACTGCGTTAGGGAAAGGTCTTGTTTCCCAAATCTATAAAGTACTAAACTGAAATGTTGCCACCTCTCACAATTATAAAGGCATGATATGAAAAAGATTTGGGTGATCCATTAGATTATACCTTATGGAACAGAATCCAGGAAAAGCCCCTTTTAAATCTGCTCCAGTAAGAACCAGAAAAATGCACTTAAAGGTATACACTAGTTGTATAATTTTATTATTGAGTAAAATGACTAAAAAAGCATTAGCTATGTATTGGAGAAATTGTAATGTCACACGGTCATTTATCCACCCGCGGTGGCAATACCCCAAAGTCTTTTTGTTTTGGAAAAAAGTAGGTCTTACCACAAAACAAGATACCCACTTTGATCCTAAAACAGCACTTCTATCATACTACTCACAAACTGATCAACAGCTTTCCCAGAAGGATCTTATTACTCACCTGATCAATGCAGCATGGCTTACAATTGCAAGGTATTAGAAGACTGTAAATGCAGACCTATTTTGAGACCTCACACCCCAGGGACTTAACATTAATGGACAAAGTGACAAACCATGTCTAAGAGAGTTGAATAGACAAGAAAACCACAGCTTTTCAATCAACCTGGCACAGTTTTATTACATATGCAACATTGATAGAACACGGTTATAGACCTCCTAGGACAAATGACAACTTGCGGAATGATACCTGTTTAAAAACTTAAATGTTATTACATATACATTTGGTGCTTCAGGAGGTGTTTAAGAAGTAAAAATGATAAAATATTTTTAGGGGAGTGATTACTGAAGTACGCACATGGTACATGCTCCAGTGTTGAAGTCAAAATACAAACTTGCTTTCAGGCAAGCAGTTAAGTCTGCAGATAAGGAGAATCCCAGGACCACCGAGTGGCCAATATGATAATATGTCAGATTAGAATAATCCTTCCCTTACCTAGCTGACCTGGTTTTTTCTAGTCCCAATTCTACAAACTGAATACTACAGAAATAAAAACTTAATACAGGTCACCCCAATTTATGCACGGGTTACATTCCAAGGCACCACGCATTTAAGTGAAACCGCACATATTTGAAGCAACATTGAAAATGCCTGAAAACTTTGTTTTGTCCCCACCCCATTCTGCCCATTTGTGACATTTTCAGGTCACTTCTGGATTCAGCACAATGCGCATGGGCACAATCGTGCACATACTGAACCGCACAAATGGGGGTGTTGCTTTTATATCCACAGCATGAACTAATTAAGAGGCTGTGTACTCATGTAAAATAGAGGCTAACTTGTACCTACTCTTCCATGTAATCTATAAATATTAAACACAAAGGTGAACTATTGTGTTTCTGGGGGAAGAGGAAGGGAACTGACAGAGAACCACATAAAAATACTTGCTTTGAAATATTACTTAGACTTTAAATTATTTGCAAACCTGTAAAATTTGCCAGTTTGACTTCTTTCCAGGTACTCTAGATATATGAAAGCTCCCACTCTTAATTCATTTACTCTGATACTGGTGCAGAGGCTAACTATGTCAAGTCACACCATGCTTAAAAAGGATTATGAACTACCCTTAGCCCCCTTCCCCCAACTTTACTTTCATTTTTATAACCTAGCCATGCTATAACATTATTTCAGTCCAAGTGTTTTAGCTGAAACTAGTTAGCAAACCAGCTTTCAATAATAGCTGTAAACTGTCATTTGGATCTAACAGCTGGTAACAAAACTGCTGATTCAGATGTAACACTTAACCATAGTTAACAATGAAACATAGCGGGAAGGAAAGTATAAAATAGCAGTGGATAACCTTTGACCCATAAGGCACTGATGAACTTCCAAGTCCCATCAGCCCTAGCAGGCATGGCCAATGACAAGGGATCATAGGAATTGTAGTTCAGCAAAATCTGCTGAGTCCCTATGCCTGATATAAAAGAAGATGATATAAGCGGGAAGGGAACACTCCTGATCTTCTAACCATTGATTGGTTAAGTTCTGCATTAGGCCAATTTTAAAATTGTTATAAAATGTTCACATCATATAAAAATATTTCCACACCACCCAATTTTGAATTTTCAGTGTAAAACTTATCTCTAAGTGAAACTGCTAATGAAAAATAAATATGCATTATTTAAGTTGTGTTGAATCTAGCAACTCATTCCACAAACACGCACATTTTAGTGTTTTAATAGTAGTGGAGATGAATACACATCCGTTTAAGGGTCACTTTCATAGCTTTCCAATTATTAGTTATATGCCACACATCTGACTGGGCTGGCCCAGCCACTCTGGACGTCTTCCAACAAATTATAAAACCACAGTAAACATCAATTGTGTTGGCTAATCGTTTACGCTCAGTAAATCAAATATGCCTTTTCCATCTTCCACCAAAAGCAATATGTACTGTTTCATCATAAAAATGACTAAAATACTTTCGAAAAGTAAAACGTCTTGTGAAAGCAGTGGAGAAGGTATTAGTGTATGTCCTTTGTAAATTTACTATAATAACTCTCCAACATAGATAGCTCACTATACAGTCATTAAATACAAATCAAGTATGTCTTTAGATGAATGAACAGGACTAGAAATCAAATATGACATGAAATTGCATTATTTAGAATAAACAGTTCTAGTTTTGTCTTACCTTTCCAAATGATCCTTGACCAAGGACTTTAAGTAATTCAAATTGTGCAGGATCTGCTTTTTCACATCCTTCTTTCACATGGTGAGTAATAGGTATCTCTTTCACAACTCCTTCATCCTATTCAAATAAAAATGAATAATAACGACCACTGAAATAATAATCTTTACTGCCCCCATCTGTCTACTTTACTGTTTGTGAAGGGGAAATTATTTATAATTTATTATTCATACAATCTACAGCTAGTGCTATAAAAATAAGCTGCTCTGCCCATAGATGTATAATCATAAACAATATAACACTACCACCTATCAGAAGCGCTACTACAAATTATCCAAAAAGTGAGGATGGGTGATGGGCTGGATGTTAGCCAACAAACTGAAGCTGAATCCTGGAAAGACAGGAGTGTTATATGTTCAAATTTCTGAAGTCGAGAAGGAGAGAAAACAGCCTGTTCTGGATGAGGTTGCACTCCCCTGGAAGGAGCATGTTCGTAGCCTAGGACTATTCCTAGATCCAGCTTTGTCACTTGAGGCCCTTGGTGGCTGGGTTTGCCTATTTTCAGCTACAACTGATTTGCCAGCTACAGCCTCTTTTGGACAGATATTATTTGGTCACTGTACTCCATGCTCTGGGAAATTCCAATGTGCTCTACATGAGGCTGCTGAAGTAAACTTCAACTAGTCCAAAATGCAGTGCCCAAATTATTGGCTGGGGTTGCTTTTAGAGCACATATGATCTATATAACCCCTTGTTTTAAAATAGCTGCCTGGGCCACCAGTTCATTACCAGGCTCAAGGTGCTCATTTTAGTATTTAAGCCAAAAAAACCATGGGCTCCAAATATCTGAAAGACCTCTTCCTTCCTTACAAACCCGCTTGGTTGTTAAGATCAGCAGAGGGGGGCCCCTTGGTAGTTACACTTCCTGCAAAAGTTTGGTTGCCAATGGCCTAGGAGAGGGCATTCATTCCCTGTGGCATCCACTTAGTGGTAGAATTCCCTCCCCATGGAGGTATGTCTGGCCTCTTCACTATACAACTGTTCAGGAATACTGATGACACACCTCTTTACCCTGGCCTTTGGCACCTGAGATTCATGTTTACAGAAACCCACCTATTCTGGTGAATGTAGAATGTTTTAATTGTTTTTAATTCCGAATTTCAAAGTGTTGTAACACACCCTGAGACCTGCTGGTGAAGAGCAGTGATAAATAATATTTAAATAATAATAATAATGGGAAGGACAATTCAGGCCTCTATGATCCTTTCATAGTAGACTGTTCCTTTTTCTATTGAAAAGCTCCTGTTCTTAGGGAACCACTGAGTGGGGAGGATACTGCAGGCAATAGTTACAACATTGTCCAAGTCCTCTCAGAGACATAGTCTCTAGCAGATCCTTATATTGGTTGTGAGGAAGCAACGAGATTATCAGACCTTGAGATTAATTCATTGTCTACAAACAGAAAATAAATGCTTAGGATATGAAGTATGTTGCTGTTTTATCAACATAAAATTACAAATCACTGTGCAAGGTAGTGTAAGTTTGGGACTATGGGTAAAATGTTTGACCAAGTGTTTACAGTTTAAGTAGGCTAAGTGGTTAGAAGTTAGGTGTGAAACGAGGTGAATAAAACAGAGATGACAGTCTCATAGTCATGGGGGAAGGAGAAGGCTAGGAATGCCTTTCACCACTTTCCTCTGGTTTGCCAACTACAGCTGTTCCTGGACAAGGATAGCTTAACCACTGTTGTCCACACATTGGCAACTTCAAGGCTAGATTACTTTAATAGGTTCTATATGGGGCTGCCCTTGGGTCTGATTCAGCAGCTCCAGCTGGTGCAGAATGCTAGTATTTAGTTATGGTTTATTTGGTCTGCCATCTTGATTCAACATGGCACTTGGTGTCTAAACATAGGAAGTCTGCCTCTTCCACCTTGGGAATCCTCATGCCAAGTTCAGTGAAAAATATTTTCAGAGGCATCCAAAACTGCATAGGTTACAACTGTCCTGCCAAATTTGGCAATGCTATCTTCAGAGCCATCCAAATTAGTACTGGTTGGAACTATTGGTTCAAATTTGGCAAAGTCATGGTAAACTGGGTAACAATATCTTCAGAGGCATACAAATGGATGCTTAATGCCAAATTGGGCAAAATCACACCAGTCATGTTTCTGTCCAGCATCTTGATTCAGAATGACAGCCAGAAGCTCCACGTTAACAAAAATTGCTGTCCCAACCTCAGGAACCTTCATGCCAAGTTTGAATCAGTGCAGTTTGTACCAGTCATGTGAAAAATCAGACAAAGTCATGCCCAAGTCACGTTTTGGACTATCATCCTAATTTGAAAGTGCATCCAGTGTTCCAAGGTTGATAAAAAAATAGCTGCTCCCACATCAGGAACAATTGTGCCAAGAATGAAATTGGTGCAGTTTGCACCCACTGCACTGAAAATCCAGTGAAGTTACACCAAAGTCATGTTTCAAGCTGCCATCTTGATTCAAAATGGCATCCAGTGTTCCAACATCAACAAAAACCACCACCCTCACCTCAGAAGCCTTCATGGTTTAGCAATAATAGCTCAAGAGGCATCTGCATGGAGAATAAACAAACCACTTTCCAAAATATATAGTAGATAATGAATATATACAATGTTCTCAGACATTTACTGCTTGAATTTCAAAAGATGGTATTAATCAACAAAGCAAGTTATTATCTCAATATGCATAAAACACCTTAGACACCTCAGTATCTGAATAACTGTTCCAGTTCCTCACAGTGATGAGAAATATAGAAAATTAAAGGCTTACATTTTCAAAACTGAATATTTAAGATGTGTAACAACAAATCTGCTTTGTTTTTAAAGAACTCAGTTTCTTCCAACAATGCACTGAAGATATAAACACCACTAAGAACTTCAAATGTATATAAATGCTGACATCAGAGCCTCCATCTTTCCCTCACATAAGATTAGAAGGCATCTAAGTACTGTCCTGACACATATTAAAAATTCATCCCTCCTTTTCTTAAGGAAAAAACAGTTAAAATGCTAGTATTCATGTTGCCTAGTGACAGAAAAAACAGAAGTCAAATCAATAAGCTCTAATAAAATCTTTAATAGCTGCTGATGCCACACACAAGACATTCAACAATGCTGTTTTCATATTTCAATAAACTGGAACATTTGCATGAAAAACCATTTTAGTCATTCATCTGTTTCTATTTTCTTCTTCCACCTTAAGTTACTATCCTATGACATCACAATTTGTTTCTGTGGAACTTGGCAACAGTCATTAAATAAGAATTCAACAGGAAAAAGCAATCATACAATTGTCCATGGAATAGTCTCCTGTAATATAAATCCGAGGTCCTGGCTGAGTAATTCTAGATCCCATGTGCTATTCAGTTATATTCATTAATTTGAAAAAACTACATTCAGTGTATCCTAAGAATTGAGTAGCAACCACGTAATGTAACAAAAGAAAAGAACTTGGTCACTCAACAGCTGTTCAGTGTGGGCAGCAGCAAAAGAAGCAGAGCCTAAGTATCAGGGAGAGAAACCAGGTTTTATCAACAGTATAGTGCTCTCAATCACTTTACTTTTGTTTCAGATTTAGCCTTCTGCACATTTTGTTCCTTGGACTACAGCTCTTTAAACCTCTGTTGTCTTCTACTTTCTTCCTGCTATTGTAGTCCTATCTTCATCTACCTACAAGTTTGATCTGCTAAAGCCAACTTCCTTTAGTTTCTCTACTCCAGTCCCTTAATTAAGATGTCACAATCCAGAACATCTGCAACATAAATGAAGGTCCAGGGGGGTGGTCCAGAACATTGCACCAATTCTGCTGCAGGTTGTCAAGCTGGTCCCACAGTACTATTACTTCCTCTTCTTCCCCCACCCTGACTTTAAAGCCAAAAAAATCAGATCACACAACCACCATCACAGCCAAAGTTGAGCAACCAAGCTATGAACAAGTCATCCATCCTTTTCAGGTCCTTATTTGAAGAACTTGCTCTGTCTGCCCTATGATCTATAAACACCAACCTCACTCACTGTTTCCTTGAATACTCATTGTTATGTAATTTAGAACTGCATGTGGTATTTTATTGTTTGTAAAATAAAGTATCAGGTATGAATATTATGGTGTGTGCGTGTTTTTAATGCAGATACTCTCCTTGCCTAAACTAAGACTTCTTCCGTTTTAAAATGAAGCACACTACTAATAAGCAGGAGTCCACAGCTTAATATAGGCGGCAACAATTTTGCACGGAGGTTCCATTCCTGGCCCCCACACGTATCAGCAGAACATGGATAAGCACCTCCTGCCCATATTCAGCCCTCATTTTGCCTTCTTCCAGGTCCAAAAGGACCTGTGCATTGGCAGTCGCGCATCAATTGGACACACCTAAAATGGTTGCTGCCTCTATCACACTGCTTCAGTAACAAAAGAAGCCACAACTAGCAGAAGCCACCTTCTAACTCACCTTTGGGTGAGACAATAGTTCCGTCAGATCTAGAGTCCACGATCCTAGGACTACTTGGCACCTGGCCGTGTCCTCCAATGCTCTTATTTTCCCACTTCTTTCCTGTTCATACAGCCTTTTATATTACCCAGGCTTTACATCAGCTCCTATACAGCCCGCTGCCAAGTCGACTCCACTTCCTTTAGTTACTCTATTCTTAACTCCAGTTCCTCTCCATCCCCAGCATAGAACTATTCCTCAATTCTAGACTTCTTCAGAGTTGCCTTTCACCTAAATTTAGCTATCTCTTTTGCACTTTGTAACAAAGCACTCTTGGCTGCAACAGCAAGCTGCTTATCAAAAAGCAGGACTGAATCAAAAATAACTCCCAGGTTCCAAAGCTGTTCCAGTGGGGAGATTACAGCCCGATAAATTATAGGAAGATCTATCATCACTTCTTACTTGTCTGAATTCAACTTCAATCTGTTACCCCTCTTCCACTTGACCATAGCTTCTGGACCCTGGATTTAGGACAAAGATAACAGCATTTGGAAACTTAGTAACTTAAATTTAGAGCTGGATGTCATCAGCATATTTGATTAAGACTGTTGTAAAACCACTAATGAAGAAACTCTCTTCAAACCTTGAAGATTTCAACCAATCATCAGCTGGTCAAAAATACCCACAAATCACCTTCTTAGGCAAGCTACTTGAGCAAGTGGATGAAACTGATTGTCTCTTTTCATTTCAGTCTAGTTCTAGGCTTGTTCTTGGCACAGAAACTGCCCTAGCCAACCTAATGGATAACATATGCCAGGATAAGGGGAGTGCTTCCAGAAGCAACAAAGTACTGACAGTTATTTATAAAGCACTTCACAACACTAGGCACCTACCCTGTTGGAATGATTCCAGAGATAGGGGAAGGCAGGCAAAGACCAGCTCCAGGTCTGGGCTGCTCTTATTTTAAGCTTGTGTGGCTTTTAATGTATTAATTACATTTTATTAATATTGAAAACTGGACTGGGGACATGTCTCAAATATTCTCTATCTCCAGTCAGACACAGAAATCTTTTTCTGCCTTTGTCCATGTTTCAATGCCTTCCAAACTAACAACTTCCCTTCCCTTCACAAAATATGCACTGTAAGGATTCTGTGTTGCCTCAGCAATCATAATGTTTGTAAATGATATTTCATGCTATCACATCATCTGAGCCAATCTGTGTATTGCCACCAAGTGCAAATAAGGTATACTGCCAGACATTAGAGGAATGGGGAATATGAAACATCCCCTACAACAGTCTTCCCTAACCTGGTCCCCTTCAGATGTTGCTGGGCTATAACTACCATCATCCCTGACCATTGAAAAAGCTAGCCAGGCTGATAGAAAGACACCAGGTTGAGGAATCCTGCTCTTAATGTATGCAATACTCAGAATCATGTGTGCCTAATATCCAAGATAGCACTCATTGCCTAATATCCAAGATAACACCCAGGCTATGCATTCCATAGATTGCTTATGTAGTCACTATATATAGCACTAATATATAAACCAAAGAAGAAGCCAACTAATAAAAAAGAATTAGACCCAATAGCACATCACTCAGATGCCAGTACTGATGTTAGAGACCTAGAAGTTTTGCTTACAGGTCAAGCATTAGAAAACAAAAAACAGTATTTAAAATAAAATACTTTCACTGGATCCCCTGAGAAAGAATTTGGAAATTATTTAAGGCATCAGAACTTTACTATATGATTATCAGTCAAATGAAAATCAGAGCAAAGTAACACCACACAGAAAGTCTAAGGAAATTAAATACAATCCAGAACACTGTCTGTATACCTTTACTGGACAGAATGCCTATAAAATTAACATATTTGCCTTAAACACACTTGAGTCTATTTCAGGCTGGCTGGTACTGCTCAAAAGTAATTTAAACATCAGAAAATGTTGTAGCATTCCAAAGTGGTGGTGATGATGATGATGGTGATTTATTTATTTATACCTCACCTTTTTCCCTGGTGGGACTCAAGGCAGCTTACAGATAACAGCAAACGCCACTAAAAACATAGTGTCTTATGATAAAACATTTTAAGAACTATTTTTTTCTTTCAACCAGGCTTGTAACTAGCACCATCTAAATTGCCTATGGCAAATAAGCATGGTTCCATTCAAAGTGATCAGGAAGAGCTTTGCATAACAGGCCCTCTCCATTTGTTAAGGCTATAAATGACTAACCAGCACATGTAAGCAGGCAGGCAAAAAATAGTTCTGTGAACTATTAAGTATTAAGCATTTATTTCCAAGACTGCTTTCAGTAACAATAAAAATAGATTCTAAAAATTATACTAATTTGTAGTTACTTCTTCCTTCTGAAACAAAATGTCATTCAGGCTGCCTGCTGCCAGTATACGGCTTTCCTCACCCAAACAAGCATCAGATATGTATCCAACACATATGGAACAAAAATTCATTAAAAATACTACTTGATTTGCATCAATACTGCAAATCTTGAAAGTCAAACTATTTCAAGCAAGGTTACACATCACCTATGTGCATCACCTATGTCATACACTCGGGCACATAGGAAAAAAATCCTGAACTTTTCTACTGAAGAAGCAGAGTAAATTTCTATTACTTCTCTTTTACCTCTCATTTTGTCCTCCAAGTTTTCTCCTAGTTTGGTTCCTAAATAAAGCATCCAAAAGAAAATACGAAACTCAAAATATTTTGATGGCAGTTCCCACCCTTAAGAACTTATGCATGAACTTACTTCATAGGAATATGGTTCTCCTTCCTCCATAGGTTCATCCACCACTCTAATGCCATTCAGCTGCAGAAATAAATGAAAAATGTGGTTAAACAGAAAACTTGAATAGAATTGCAGAATATATCCAATACAAGTGTACTGGTCATCACATACTCCCTAATTAAATATCTTATTTAATAACCTTTCCAGAACACTGATCAGAAGGGCAGAAATCTTAACTTCCCCCATTTCAATAATGTACAATTGCCTAACGCTCTTCTTAATAAATGCATGTTTTCTGCAGAGAAAAAGACATAAAGCTGAACGACCAGAAGTTTCAGATTATTTATACCTCTGGGTAGTATAAATAGATAATGTCAAATGGGTATTTTTAAAATTAAAACACCAATTAGTACGGATTCCTGTTCTGGAATTATAGCTGGAACCTGATTTGTTTTTTGTTTTGTTTTTCTTTTTAATCAATTACTTAAATTGCCTTGATTTAAAAGTCAAATCACCCAATTGACAGTTTTCAAATAGGTAAAGGTCATAAAAAGGGGAAATAACTGTCTGTCCATATGGCTTCTATGGTTCAAACTAGAAGAAGGAAATTTATTGAGAAGAATTAGAAAAATTCTTAAAAGTTCAACAGCTAAGGAAGAATATGGCTTTCAATGAGTAATCATGTATGCATGTTTTGTAACAGAATCGCCTGTTTGAAAGCAAGATAATTAGCAAGATGGCTCAGAGGGTCTGCCTCTACGAAGGAAACTGCCCTATACAGAGTTAGATCATTGGTTTATCTAGTTCAGTATTGTCCACACTGACTGGCAGAGGATTTCCAAAGCTTTTGATTGAGTTTCTCCCAGCCTCACCTGGAGACACAAGGAGCTGAACCAGGGATCTTCTGCACGCAAAGCAGATCTACAGCAGTTCTCTACTAAATCTAATTTTATTACAATTGCCTCCATTTAATAAGAGCCGTAACTGTGCTAAGTTACGAGTTGCTAAATTTGATTAAACAGTTGAATCATACAAACAAGGATATGCACTTGCTCCGACATGTAGAATAGTAATAATTAAAAACTGGAAAAACCTGCTAAAGACAATTATTCATTTTGCTATATTAATTACTAAACAAGTCAACCTCCTATGGTGTGCATACATATATATCATTACAACAAAACTACAAAATTTCCTGAGAAGTTCTTCCCCATTTTATCCTCATAACAACCCTGAGAGGCAGCATAGGATAACAGATAGCAATTTGCCTATGGGACTGAATGGCTATTTGAACTCTTTAGTCAAATGTTTTTCCAATGGAAAATTATAGAATTTAATACACTTACAAAAGAGAAGATATATATTACTTGGAAAATTATTTCCACTGCAAGAAAAAAGGGGAGACTCTTCTCATTCAGCCAATCTGGATTCAGTCCCAGCATCAGCAGTCAACACAGAGGGCACCTGCAGAAGCCCACTGCTGAGTCAGTCAGCTACTGCTCTCTGTGGAAGCTGTGGCCAGGCTGAATTCCCAGTTGAGCAGCAATAATACACAGACAATTTCCCACTACAAGGCATTCCTGGCGCCTGTGCTCAGACCATATCTGAAGCTCTGTGTGGCTTCCTGTACTAAGATAGTGAGTTTGAGTGTTGCTGGGAACAGGAGATTGCAATCTGTTGCACAAATCCTCGGCGGGATTTGTAAGGATCTTGCCTGCCTCCTTCTCAAAAAACGGTGTAAGTCTATTTAGACCCTAAGTTTACTTCATTGAATCCTTCTCACACTTTCAGTTTAGTAAAGTGTAGAATGTGTTATGCTATAGCAAAGATAACTTTCTTCAGTTCACACATTGAGCACTGTCTCCCAGGTAGCACTGTTAATCTTAGATCTAGTTTTAAAAGTGCCCAAAGGCAAACTTGGAAAATACATGGCCATGCCACACTTTCAATAAGGTAAAAGCAAATACAGGAATCATATAGACTTCCCAAAGTATACTGGTGAGTAAGAAGGGCACTTAGTTTCTCCTGCACCTGCAAAGTCTTCCTTGCAAATGCATTCCAGCATTAAAACAGAAAGACTGTGTTGAGAACCAAACGTTTTTCTTGTAACATCTAGTTGGCCCTAAACTTTGACTTCATTTAAAGAAGGGGAGAATACTTCAAACAGTGCTTTTGAGAAACACGTTAAGGCAACTCCTGCAGTCCCACTTCAGATGAAACAGGAGTACAGAGACTGCCTTAAAACACTTCTCAAAAGTGCAGTTTGTGCACTTCTCCGGCAAGACCATACATGGACAGCAGCACAGTTACCACTGCTGCTCAGCCAACTGCTGGAGAAGTGTAGGAACTGCTTCAAGCAGTGCTTTTGAAAAGCATTTTAATCCCCACCCTTCAGCAGATCAGAGTAAATCCTTCTGCCTTGCCCATGCAATCTTGTTCCCTGCTGGGAGCAGGGCATGCAGCCAAGGCAAAATTAAACCCTGACCTCCCACCCATCAGCTAACATCATCAGTCACATCAGTGGATGGGCATGGTTAAGGGAAATGGTCTTTCAGGTCAAGATTGGTTCACAGACCAGAGGTTTCAGGAGGTCTGCCCAGCAAGTGTGCTTTGTCTTGCCACCACCACCAACTGATCTGAATGGCTTCAAAAGCATCAGCAGTTAATTTCTACTGAAAGAAGTTAAATACATTCACTGCATTCTAATATCTGGATTTGGTTGCTCGAATATGACTTTTCAATCTCAAACAACTAACTTCATTATCAACACAGACATAACAAAGTTATCATGTAAACCAAGTCCACTATTTGATTATTATTTTCAACAAAAGCTTAATTTTCAAAACACCATTCAATCACCGCAAAGAACAAATTAAATGCTTGCTATCAGTAAAACAGCAAGTCTCAAAAGCCTCTTGTGTTTACGTTCACACATAAAGCAATTAAGCATTCACCTAAAATAAAATACCTTTCTGCAGATGCAGATCTACCCTGTAAGTAGTATCAGCTTATATTCTTACTAAATATGTTTAAAATAATCTATTTTATATACATTAAATTTCTTCTGGCACAACAAAAAATCATTTCTAGTTTTGAAACCCTAAATCCATTGATACATTAGTTCCCCAATGTATGCCTGCCTCCTTCTCAAAAAGACACATTTCCAGCAAACTGAAAAGTTAGGGCAATTGTTTTTCAATGCAGAGACAAACAAGGGGCTAGTGAAAACTAATACTAATATGGAAGAGATACTTCTGCAACATTAATTGAACATCCCCCCTCCCCATATGTGGGTCCATAAACTGAGTTTGAATTCTGGAAAGATGGAGGCATGGTGAGTGGCTTCTCGATCTGAGAAATAGTCAGTTGCCTGTACTGAATTGGTTCAACTCCCTCTGGTGGAGCAGGTGCAGTCTGGGGGTACTCCCTCACTTCTAGGCCTCTAAAATACATATCCTATACGGGGGGGACGGGGACGTACTATGAAACTAATGAAGCTTAAGCTTCAGGGCCCCTAATCTCAGAAGGGCCCCTGAAAAAACTTTACTCCACATTGTTTAAAAAAAATGACCCAATTTGTGCTGCACGACTCAAATTGATTATTTTTTTTAAAGTATATATTTCAACAATCTCAAGGTTTGAGAGTCAACAGCACAGATGTTTTGAAGGGGTTGTGATCCATCATAGAACAACCCCATTGAAGAAGATAATAGATTTTTAAAAGTTTAAGTGAGGTATGGAGAACCTTTGACCCTCCAGATGTTGCTGAACTACAACTCCCAACAGCCCCAGCAAGCCTGGTCAATGGACTAGGATGATGGGAGCTGTAGTTCAGCAACTAAGTTTTCCCACACCTGTTCTAGGTACACAATGTCAACAGGATGACCTATATCTATATGCCTGCTGACACTCTGTATACTTTCTTTTACAAATCCTGCACTGGACAGGATTGTGTTGTTGCTAAAACAAACTGGGAATCAATGGGGTAAGTAACAACAGGTAAGATTTAGACAAGACCCAAAACTCAGAACTACACTGCCTGAAAATAGGTATAACACATGGACTTCATTGTGAGCTTGAGTGTCACTATGGCTTCATCAAAGTTTTTTTTTCAAAAACTTGAGAAAACCTTTCTTCAAAAGCTTTAGAAAACTATGGTTGTTGCACTTTTTAATCTAGCTCCACAAAATTCCCACCACTCTAGAATTTTATTGGAAGGGGCAAAGCATAACCACCAAAAATTGTCCACCAATATTTTGGACCAGGGGAAGAAGAGAATAAGTAATGCAAGTATTATACCCCTTCCCTGGTTGGATCATTGAGGCTTTCAAAGGTGCATCCCCTGGCTTTAATTGACCAATACCTGGGATAGCACTGTGGCTCCCAGCCAGAGAGAATAAGTGAGGTAGTTTGCCTCTTGCTGCTTGTATAGGGGCAACTAATGCTTGCTCTAATATTCACCTATGATGCTGCAGCAACTTTTTCCCAATCTAGTCTAACTTTAGTCAAATTAATTTTTTCAGCATTTAATGAATTTAAAAGTTGGCAAATAGAAGAAGTGGCTGCCCTTTTCCCCCTTCTTCCTCTGGAACTTATTGTAAATATAAATGTCGTAATATTTTGGAAAACCATCTGTAAATAACAAATTACAAATCTAGTAAATAAGATATATAGAAGGCTGAATCGTGAAATGATAGGTTTCAAAGATCAAATACCACCTTTCAAATCCCTTTAAACACTATGCTTTTCAGTGGATTTATTTCACACATTCAGCTGCAAGTCCTCATCTTGAGCTATCAAGTAAATGTTCATGCGCATGTGAGACATCAGCCTATAACCATAATAGAAGTGTAAAAGATGCACAGTACCTTACCAGTGTCCTTACTGTCACTGTTTAAAAGCAGAAGATAAATAAATATGAAAAAAGATTTATTTCCCTTTAAAAATATTTCTTCATTTATCCAGAATTCTTTAATTCAGCCCTTATTTTTAATTCAGCCCTTAATTTCAAAAGAGGGCAAATGAACTCTAAAATTACAGCACCTAAGTAAATTTCCAAATATAGAGTTATTACTATTAGACATTTGACACCATTTGACACTACCTATGATTGTAAGAGATATAAATTCCCAAAAGTTCTCTTGCACACACAGAGTACTCTTTGGAAAGTACAACTTTGCCAGGGATGTTCACCATAACTGTGTTCTGTTTTGGTGAACTGTGAACCAAGATAAATGAGAACAGTTTCATAAAATTACCGTAATCTAAGCAAAGACCATTGTAAAAAGGCTACTAGAAGAATTTGTTTCTATCACATAATGAATATAGGGACAAAGTTGGTAATCCAAAGAAGCACTCTTCTTTCTCACCAATTCAACAATAAGAACACACACAAAAGAGGCATTGAGCTGGCAAAGCAACAGAAAATGCAAGGTTCAATTCATATTCATGACAATATTTGCTGTCTCCAAATCCAACAGCATTGTCCTAAGTAAACATCCTTTTTGTTATGGTTGAATAATTTCATTTCAGGCTACAATGTTAATCTGGCATTTGACTTCCTCATAAACTTCAAAGAGTGAAGAATGCATTTCCCACGTACAATTCTAATTTTTAGAAAGAATAAAATAAAAGAAACTGAAATTTTAAGTTTTGCCTTAATAATCTACTAAACCAAACTAAACCAAAAAGTGCTCCCTCTCTCTCATGCACACACACATCAATTTTACATTTTAAATGCATAATCCTGTCTAACCCCTCCCTACACACATACACCTCCAGAATATTACAGGAGGAGCAGTTCCTGTAACAGCACCCACATACCAAATGTGCAACTACTTGTAAAGCTCCATTAATTGTCCAACAGTGATGTCTGAGAATGGACACTGAAAATGTTGCATGTGTACCAAGTTTACAAATATACCATAACTATCTACAGTGATGCTACCTGCAAAACTCCATTACTTGTGTGATAACATCTGAGAATGGACACTGAAAACATTTCTGGTTGTTTTGATAGTATGCAGAACCTGTACGACAATAGCTAAAGATCCATAAGATTAATTTGATTTACATTTAAATCCTTGATTTTAAAGCAACTAACAATTTGTGGAATTTTGACAAGTATTTTTTAGTATTTAATCTAAAACTCCCAGACTTGTACATAGTAGTAGCCCCATACTCCTAGTACTTCACTGAAAAATGATCCATTATAAGCGATCTTCTAGCAGGTACCAGTTGGTACCTTTCAAATAGTAAACAGGGTAGTGAAGTTGGAGTGGGGGGGAACAGAAGGTACTGCGGAAACAGCACCTGTTTATGCATGAACATTCTACTAGATTTCTGGGTAGGGGAATACAGTGGTACCTTGGCTTACAAACTTGATCCATTCCGGAAGTCCGTTCTTAAACCGAAACCATTCTTAAACTAAGGCACACTTTCCCTAATGAGGCCTCCTGCTGCCTGTACCCTTCCACTGTTCGGATTCCGTTCTTAGCCCGAGGTAAAGTTCTCAAAATGGGACACTATTTCTGGTTTTGCGGAGTTTGTAAACTGAATCATTCTTAAATCGGACTGTTCTTAAACCGAGGTACCACTGTAAATTAAAACCATGGTTTTCCAAAGACAGATTTCACCAGTAAAACACAGTATTTAAGACATGCTTAGGATAGAGGCAAGCTTAACCTGCTTTTCCCACTGCAAAGTTTTGTCATCAGCTATACCCCCACTGTTTCAGCTTTCAGAGTAGATCATAGTGTACCAGAAAAAAATATGGGGGGGAGGGAGCAAGAGCTAGAAGGGCACAACACTTGCCCACAGAAGTTTCATGCTTTTGCTTCTAGGCGTTGTTGCCACTGCTTAGAAGCAGTGGGACTGGCAAACAGCCCTGCTTGGCAACTGGATCCTTTGCACCTTAGTGTAATGTGTAATTTGGCCCTACACCTGACAAAGTTCAGTGGAGTTTACTTCCACATATGCATAGGATTGCAGTGTTAGAAGACAGTAATGACTACCGGAGGTGTGACATGCATATTAGTTTTTTGTTCAAATAAGTAACTTAATGAGTTACTTTAGATGAAGAGGAGTTTGGATTTGATATCCCACTTCATCACTACCCTAAAAAGTCTCAAAGCGGCTAACAATCTTCTTTCCCTTCCACCCCCACAACAAACACTCTGCGAGGTGAGTGAGGCTGAGAGACTTCAGAGAAGTGTGACTAGCCCAACGTCACCCAGCAGCTGCATGTGGAGGAGCGGGGATGCAAACCCGGTTCACCAGATTACAAGTCTACTGCTCTTAACCACTACACCACACTGGCACCTAACAATATGCTACTTTGCACCCAGGTTCTTTAAAAGAAGGCTAAAGTTGTTGTTTTTAAACAAATGCTGCTATGTTGTATTTTAACAATTTTGAGTATAAACACCAATCTTGTTTTTATTTAGATACTCAAAATGAATTTTATTATAGTATTTTCCTAAATTACTAGGGCACATACAGCATGAGGGGAGTGGGTGGTGCTGTGATCTAATGCACTGAGCCTCTTGGGCTTGCTGATCAGAAGGTTGGTGGTTTGAATCCGCATGATGGGGTGATCTCCTGTTGCTTTGTCCTAGCTTCTGCTAAACTAGCAGTTCGAAAGCACAACCAGTGCAAGCAGATAAATAGGTATCGCTGAGGCTGGAAGATAAATGGTGTTTCCGCATGCTCTGGCACTCGTCATGGTGTCCTGTTGTGCGAGAAGCGGTTTAGTTATGCTGGCCACATGACTCGGAAAGCTGTCTGTGGACAAATGCCGGCTCCCTCGGCCTAAAAAGTGAGATGAGTGCCACAACCCCATAGTTGCCTTTGGCTGGACTTGACCATCCTGGGGTCCTTGATCTTTACCTTTTTTTTACAGACCATGATTAAGGATTCAATCACAAAAATATTTCAAAGTGTATACTGCTATAATAGAGAATTGCACAGTAATTCAGTGCTCAGGAACAGCACTATGGACACATAAACAGCGAAGGTATAAAACACTAAGGATACAATCCTGCACAGTCATGCTGCTTAAATCCCACTGATTTCAATCCTATGCACACTTACTCTAGAGTTCAGCCCCATAATCTGTATGACTTACTTCCATGTATAGAATCTGGTGTTATTTAAAACTTCCTACCTCACAGAGTAATAAACTTTCAATTTATAGTCTCATACATTTACAACATAAAAAAAATACCATCTTGAGCAATGAATGAGTTCTTCTAATAGAAGTAGACCAATAAAAACACTTGAAGAACAACCAGAGACTAGTCCGACCAGTTTTTGAAACAGTATTTAGATAAGAATGTTAATTAACATAGCATATAAATTTGCATTTAAGGCCTATTTTTTATTTATTAAATTTATATATTGCTCTGCATCCGATCTCAGGGCTGTTCACAAGATAAAAATACAGGATAAAAAAACAAAATAAATAGTTAAAACAAAAACAAAACAATAACCCCCCCAACAATACCCCCCCTTACAAACACATATATTCAACTCTCTTCTGTCAATCTCAGGAACATGGGATCTAGCACAAAGTTTCTATATTCAATGGTACTCTGTACTAGAATATTATTACTTGCACAATGTGAGTTTTTTTAACACACTATGCACTCAATTTCCAGCAATAGCTACATTAGGACTAAGGAGATTCCAAAAGTTGCTGTTTATTTTTTTACCATGAAACTGCCGAGTATCTTTTTTTTCAAAAAAGTGTTCCGACATTGTTGAAACTATCAATTTTAATGCATCTAGAATGTTTGTTTAATGACACTTCTGATGGTGCCTGGGACAAAGGGAAAAGTCAGTCAGACTGCTAAAATTAAGCCACTGAAAGCCAAACAAAAGCCATTCTGACAAAATCTGTTACAACTGGTGGAATGTAAAAGATCCTGACATCAAACGGTATTTGATAACATCCTGGCAGTGGTAGTATACGATATAGAAGTTGGGCATACCACTTTACAGAGAAGATTTTATTCATCTGAACAATACTTTGAAGGCTCTAACCTTGTACAGTGGTACCACGGGTTAAGAACTTAATTTGCTCTGGAGGTCCGTTCTTAACCTGAAACTGTTCTTAACCTGAAGCACTTTAGCTAATGGGGCCTCCCACTGCCACCGCACCGCAATTTCTGTTCTCATCCTGAAGCAAAGATCTTAACCCAAGGTACTATTTCTGGGTTAGCGGAGTCTGTAACCTGAAGCTTCTATAACCTGAAGCGTCTGTAACCCGAGGTACCACTGTACAAGCTGTTTTCCATAATAAATGAGCCCTTGAGAGAGTAAAAGGTTTGCCAGCTTCTCCTTGGCTTAGAAACAGTTACTACATAGGTTCTTAGATCCTCTAAGGACAAATAAGGCTCAAAGTGCAGGTGGTTTATAAGGATAAAGAAGAAGCTGAAAGATGGGACATTAAAGAGATGTTTAAGGACTGGGGGCTTGTTTTGAGTGAAGCTTGGGGTGGGGGGTCAAGACTATGGTTAAGAACACATGATGCAGCACCCTTGCTGAAGCTATGCAGGTCTAAGTCTAATGCACTGCCTCATTGCGAGGCCATCTGGGACCCCCAGAGCTCTATTAACACAGTAATAAATATAGTGAATTTTATTTGAGGTGCTTGAAAGTAGTAAAGCAAAATCAGCTAAGCCAAAAACAGCACGACATCTTCCAAAGCAGATGCATCCAGAAAGGGTCATTAGTAATTCCTTATTTTTATTGCTAAGTTTTGCAGAACATTCCTTATGTCTGTTCCCAATTTATGTAGTTGACAGATGTCACCACACCTCTTGTTTTTAAAATGGAATGTTAGCATCACTCCGGTAGGACTGATACAGGAAATATGGCAGGAATCTATAGGTCATTAGGGCTACTTAGAGGAGACACCTCAAGGGCAAAGAGCAGCAGGCTCTTTTGAGAAGTTCAAACAAAATTTGTGGAATGGAAAGGACAGTTTGGAGCCTTTCAGAATTAGGCTATTAGATGCAAACCATAGCAAGATATTTAAGCAACAAATTCGAAATAGTTCATCTTCTTAAGTCAATAAACACTGAAGCAAAGAGGAGTAACTCACTACTGCACCATGGTGCCAAATATGTTTTAATGCTGAAGTAAAAGAGGTAATTTTTGTGAGAGTAAAGTATTAGTTAAGTAAGAACGAACTCAAGAGTCATTCCCTTGTTGTGAAGGGGAGACAGCTAGCAGGGTAGAGGAAGGATGCATCAGACCTTGATGTCTGGGATTAACTACCAGGAGAACTAGGGTGAACAAAGTAGGAAGTGGTTGTTAATAAAAATAGATGGAGATGGATATAGAAGTGTAGAATGGAGGCATCTGGCAACTGTTTAGAACCGAGCATCTTTAGGACGCAGAGGTTAATTTGTCAAGGTAAGGATGAAAGACAAACAGATGTGGACAGGATCTGCCTTGGAGAGGAATCTATCTGGTAAAAGTACTTCAGTAAAAAAAAAGTGAAACCTGAGGCAGCAATAGGTAGATGGACAAGAAGAAAATGATAAGGCAATACTTTTTTGAAAACCAAGTGGTTGTAGAAAGGGGGGGGGACAGTTTTCAGAGACTTTTGGGTGTCACTGGATCCTGTGCAGTAAAAGAACAGAGACCTGGAATTCGGAGCTAGAGAAGATCGAAAAGCGAAACAAAAGGGAACAGCTTTCTGTTTCAGGATTCCCTTGTATTCCACTGCAAAAAGTGAGTTAGCTCTAAAATTCCCCTTCTCTGATAGGGCTGCTAAATCGACTTTTGAATAAGTCGAGGTTCTCAGTCCTCTCAGGGGGGCAAGGGCAATTAGCAAGGCCGGAGTTAGTGAAAGGGAAAGAGAAGGTACCAGCCAAGACGGCAGGAAAACGGGCGAGCGGAGGATGCGCGCAAAGAAGAGATAAGAGAATGACAGCGCAAGTTCAGCTATTGATGGATGGAGGAATCTATAGAGGATTGACAGGGAGGCATGATGGAGAGGGACAGGTCAGAATAACGAGGGTATTGAAAATAAATAAATAAGGAGGCGGCAGGTAAGCAAGCAAAAGGCAAGTTGAAGGACCAGGTGGAGTCAAGGAAGATGGGGGGGGGGTGGCATGAAAGATACCGTAGGGAACGCATGAAAACGGGGTGGGGGTGTCGAGTCGGTGTCACGAAACTCCTCTCACGACCCGGCCGCCCCCCGCCGGCCCCTAATCCCTCAGACCCCTCCGGAACCGGTTCCCGCATCCCGCATCCCTGCGGGGAGAGGAGGAGACGAAGCACCGAGGGATGCGAGAACAGCGGCAAGCCGGTACTTTCCCCTCCGCCTCCCTCACTGCCCACCACCGGCAGCGCCACGCACGCCCCCTCCTCTTAAGCCGGCGCTGCCTCTGCCTGCCGCCCGCCCGATCCCCCCTCAGAACCTTTTACCTCAAGTTCCCTCAGAAAACCCAGCCCGGGACTCCCTCACCTCTCCGCCTGGGCTGCTGCTGCTGCCGCTGCCGCCGCCGCCTCCTCCTCCTCCGCCGGAGATCTCCATGAGGCCGGCGGCGGCGGCGGCAGGAGGCGGGGGCGGAGGAGGGCAGGAGGAGGGCTCCGCTTCGGGCTCAGGCTGAGGCTCCTCCGCGCCCTCCGGCGGCGCGAAGGGCACCATGACTGTGTGGCGGCGGCGGCGGCGGCGGCTGTCGTCGTCGTCGTCCTGGTGGCGGCCGCTGCGCTCCTCCTCCACCTCCGCCTCCTCCGCCTCTCCTCCTCGTTCTCGCCCAAGCGGCGCCGCGGCGGGCAGGGACGGGGCAGCCGTTCATGCTCTTCCCCTCCCCTCGTGCTGAGGGGACGGGAAGGAGGAGGAGAGGGAGGGAGGGAGAAAGGAGGGAGCTTCGCCCTCCCTCGCTCGCTCGCTCGCCTTTCCCCTAGTCAGCCGAAGCCTTCAAGGCTGCTGCGGTTTCGCTCATCGCTCCCAGCCTTTCCATGCAGTGGCCCGCCGAGGAGGAGGAGGAGCTGCTGCTGCTACCCGGGCAGGCGGGGGCGGCTCCGTGTTACGCCGACCTCCCCTCCTCCTAACATGGCGGGAGGAGAAGGCCGTCGCTAAACCGGCGTCTCTGCTTTGGTGGGCTGTTGGGAGGAGTGATGTCAGGCCCGGGTAGAGGAGAATTCCCCCTGCGGGAGGGGGGAGTTGCGAGCATCACGCGTAGGGTGGTGGGAGGGGGTGAGAAGGTAGAGTTGGGGAGGGAGGGGGAGGTGTGGCGTCAGCGATTGCGTGGGCTCGGGGAAAGGTGACGTCGGTGGCGATGACGTCGGCACCCGCCGCTTTTCCACCGCCACCCATCTCGTCTTCCTCTCCCCCCCCCCCCCACCGCACCACCACCGAACTGTGCAACGCTGCTCGGATCAGAAGGGGAGGGAGATTTGGCTGTTTTAAATAATAAAGGCTATTTTATACTCGAGATGAGTTTTGGGTTGGGTGAAAGGGGTAGCGGGGGGGGGGCGACAGGCAAGCAGTGGAAGAACCTATTTCCTTTTTTAAAAAAATTAAATAAATAAATCCAGATGCTATTGAGACAGTCGTGCTGCTGTTGCAACTGAAGCACCCTGAAAGGCTGGTGCCGCACAGTTAGGGCTGCAGCTCCGAATGTTTGCTCCCCCCCCCCCCATGTTCTATTTAGTTATTTCGTGGAATTTGCATACCTCTTGACTAAGAAGAAGAAACCTCAAAGCGGTTTACAAAAAGAATAAAACAATAACATCAATAAAACAGCTGTGACATATTAAAAGAGTGATTAAAAAATAGCTATAAGCTAAGGACCAAGTTAAAACACACCAACATGCTACATATTTGGGCAGGCTTGCCTAAACAAGAATGTTGAGTTTTGTGTTGTTGTTTTTTTAAAAAGCAGGCTTCAAAAAGAGTACAGTGAAGGCACCTGTCTGACGTCAATAAACAGGCAGTTAAGTACTGCCACACTTAAGATGGATTTCTTACAAGTTCAGAATGGGTATTATGTGGCACCTGTAGCAGTGCCAGTTCCACAGATCAAAGCAGTCAGGTATATGGCATAAGGCAATCTCACACGTAAACTGCTCCCAAGTTGTTAAAGGTTTTATGTACTTGAACTTGGCCCAGTAGCAAGTCAACAACCAGTATAGGTCTCTGAGCACAGGCATTATATGCTGACAAGGTCTCACTCCTGCCAGAAATTGTGCCACAGCATTCTGGATTAAGTGCAAGGGAAGCCCCATATGGAGCACATTGTTGTAATCCAGTCTTGGATGTAAGCAGTGCATGAACTACTGTGGCCAAGCTTTCCCAGTCCAAGGTGCTTTTAGCCTCTGAGGCTGCCTTGGTCTCCAATGACAAAACTCAATCCCCCAGACTGTCAACCTGCTCCTTCAAGGGACGTGCAACCCTATCCAGAAAAGGCAATTGACCAATTTCTCAGACATGGGAACCACTCACCCGCAGTGCCTCTGTCTTGCCAGGATTCAAGTTCAGCTTGTTTTTCCTCATCCATCTCACCATTGTCTCCAAGCACTGGTCTAGGTATACTGCATGGCTTCTCCCTGTTCAGATGCTCACTATGCTCCAAAAAGTGGCCTAAATTATATTGAATGAATGCACTTACTAGAGAATGTGCTTACCAAGTCCCAATGAACACAGGAAGCAGATCCTGTAAAATTAAGTAGCAACAAGAGTCCTTGACGATTTTGTAGTCTTAAGACAACTACCTCTCTGAAATAAAAAGTGATGGGTGAAAATATATATGCAAACTGGGACCTTTCTTCCACACCAGGTTTCAAGGACCTGCTTCTAAGAATGTTCAGAGTGCCTTTCTCCAACACTAAGGCCTGTGTACTTTACTGCTGATTGCAAGGTGGGTAACCTGTAAGACACTGGGCTTAATGCCACATGAAAAGTTCAGTTTTTGCCACACCATATTATCCCTATCTCCATAAGCTCTTGAAGGGAAATGTGATGTATCACAAGCCAAATTTTGTATGCACTGGTTGAAGATATGCACTGGTTGGCTGAAAGTTGGCGGAATAATATTTATATAATACTTACCCCCAAATGCTCAAAGAGTGACACATGTATTCTGATAGTTATTGTTAGAACATCCCTGCAATGTGAGTTACTATTATTATCTTTGCCATATTGGGGGTGGGAAAGGTTTAATGACAGCAGGCATACAACTAACTCATTCTTCTTTCGTAAAGTAGATTCAAAGCTATTTAGAACTTAAAAGTTAAGAACCGGTACCTTGAATTGTGCCTGAAACTGAATAAGTGTACAATGTAATTCTTTATGAATTGATCTAGTAATATGCATCCTGCTATCCACACCAGGCAGAATTCAGCTTCACGAATTCTGAAGTTTCTAAGTCATCTTCAAGGGCAGCCCCACATATAATTTACCACAGCAGTACAACTGGAAGACTAACAGGGCTGGAAGACTCACCATAGCTAGGCTATCCCTAACCAGGAATGGCTACAACTGGGCAAATTAACCTAAGCTGGTAAAAGGGACTTAGTACCACTTGAGGTTTCATTAACAGAGCTGGATCAAGGAGTATTCCCAGACTGTGCACCTGCTCTTTCAGAGGGAGTGCCAAAACATTCAGAACAGGAAAAACAGCAAGCTCCCAGACCTGAGAACCACCTACCCACAGCACCATAATCTTGTCAGGATTCAGCATCAGTTTCTTGGCCCTTATCCAGCCCTTTACCTAATCCAGACAACAGTTCTGAAATCCTTTCAGATGTTTGTAGGCTGTCAACTTCCCACACACCTCTCCCTGGCATTTCCCCCTTTTCTTTTCTTCAGCCTTCCAACCTTTTGCCATCGTGTTCATCCTGCTCATCTCCACCTCTTGCTTATAATATACTTGCTTTTGGGTGAAAGGCAGTGGTTGCGGCAGAGCAACTGCAAATGTTCTTGGGCAGTACTAATTATCTGGGTTTAGCCCATGTTTTGGGACTGAACCAGCCTTGATCTCCCTGATAGATTTCCTTTATGAAAAGCAACCCTGTGTTACTCAATCTTTAAGTTGTGTTTGATACCATTAACCATTGTATCCTGGACCAGTTGTTCAGGATGGCTATCAGAATCACTGTATTACTTCAATTCCTGCCTGTGCTGCGGATTCCAAAGAGCATTGGCAGAATGCTCCTTCGTGGCTGTCATTGTGCTATGGGTTCTGCTGCGCACTATTTTGTCCCCAATGCTATTTAGCATCTAAATAATTGAGTCAGGAGCAGTCATTCAGAGTTTTGGAGCACAGTGTCATCACTACTCTGATGACACACAGCTCTATTTCTCCATAACATCTTAATCAGGACAGGCTGTGCAAGCCCTGGACCAATGCCTGAATGCAGTGAAGGACTGGACGAGAGCCAATAAACTAAAATGAGAATCATAGAATTGTGGAGTTCGAAGGGCCCACACGGATCATCTAGTCCAACCCTCTGCAATGCAGGAATCTTTTACTCAACATGGGGCTCAAACCTACGACCTTGAGATTAAGAGTCTCATGTTCTGCTGACTATGTTTTGCACCACATTGATAATTTATATGCAGGGGCTATTATAAATATTTTAAATAATTAATAAATAATTACTCAATGCCTACATCATTTCCCACGTTATTTGGCCTCTAGAGTATTGGTCCAACAAGTAGATTAGGACCCAGACATGGTCTGATTTATGGTGGGTCTCATCTGTTGTGCTAGATTTCTGTTGGGTTTTTTTTTAAAGACTAGTAGGAGGGAGAGTGCTCTTGTGCTTGAATCCTGCTTGTGGGTTTTCCACAGGCATCTGATCAGCCACAGTGAAAACAGATGGGCCATTGGCCTGATCCAGCAGGCCCTTCCTATGTTCTTGTCAACATTAAGATGAAATCTTTAAAAGGTTGGTGTTTACTACTCTGGATGCTTTATAATAAACCTTATAAAGCCTATTCTCAACCCTTTGTAATGACTCTTCCTGAGCTGAGATGCCCTGTAATCAAGGCCAAGTTTGCCTTTGGGTGTGTGAAAATGCAAGCAATGTAGAGAGGTGTATGTTTTCCAGAGATGTGCATTCTGCAGATTTTCACACTTCTGACTGTGCATTTCCTTTCTCTGAATATTGTGGTCTCTTGTTAGGCTTCCCACATTTGCATTTGTAGGTATCTGTAGATGTATGCAGCCAACCATGGCTTCACAGAGTAATATGATAAGGGCCCAAAGATGCAAATCCCCAGTTTTCAATTGAGGCATGCCTAAGCTTCAGCAAAAATTTTAGCACCATTCCTATGATTAATTCTCTCTCCCACCATTTCCTGTGGCATAGCAGAGGAAACAGTCACTGCAGCCACTTGTTTGGGCATCTGGCTTGGCTTCTTTGTAGGAGCTAAAAGGTGTAGGAGAAGCAATATTTATTCCTCCTGCCCATGCCATTTCCTTGAAACAATCTGTGCCCAGTGACCTTAAAAACTCATGCTTGGGTGACTAACTAGAAATACCTAATGCAAGGCAGGGGCTGTTCTGGGCAGATTTGCACAAATACTATGTTTGTACCACATTTGTGATGGTGCACACTACACAAACAGGGCTCCTCCAGTCCAGATGACCATTCATTCTGATTCGCTTACACAGTGATTAGACTATGTCCAGTCTTTATTGAGCATTCATTCTGATTTTGTAGGTGGTAGTTACAGGACAATGAATATTCATCCTAGTTTGCTTGCAGGTGTTTACACGTGTTCCCACTGATTATTTGTTTCCCCCACACTTTTCAGTATTTGCACATTATTTTCCTAATAGCAAAAGTCATTAAAAGTCATCATCTGAGGCCCTCCTTCATGTGCTTCCTCTGAGAGAGATCTAGAGGACGGCAATAAGAGAACGGGCCTTTTCTGCAGTGGCACCCTGTTTGTGGAATGCTCTCCCCAGGGAGGTTCACCTTTAGGCACCATGCAAAAACATTCCGCTCCTCCCAGGTCTTTGGCTAATTAAACAATCTATGACCTTTTACACTATGGGGGACGTTATTTTTGTTTGTTATTATGGTATGTATTTTGTGTGTTTTTTATAGTAACAAATCTTTGGATGAAAGGCAGCATAGAAATTTAATAAATAATAATAAGAATATTAAGAAATGGATTTGTTGCATTAGGAATGCAGAGCATTGAATCCAGTTTAATTGTACAAGCTTAAATTTCCAGTATGCACTTGAATCTAATAATAATAATGAGAGTCATATGTAAAACATTTATTTCTGCTCTCCACTGTTTCCCAGCTACAAACAGGGACACACTTCTGTGCTTTACCTAACACATAATATTTTCCCCTATCCCCCTTCAGCCCCATCAAGGCACTTTATTTTTAGGGCTACAGTGCTTAGTATATTACTGTAATTTGTTAGACTAAAAGCATCTTTCCTCAATTAATCAAGTAGAAATTGCCCTGATTCAGCGCGCGTGCATATGTGTCTGTGTTATGAAAACCTAATAAACTACCACAGAAATTCCAGAGGATTACCAACAATCCAGAATTAAATACATTATGAATCAAGGTTTTCAAATCACCACACACACACACACAAACACACACACACACACACACACACACACACACCCAGAGAGAGAGAGAGAGAGAGAGAGAGAGAGAGAGAGGGTTTTAGCCAACTAAATGTTACTCAGAGTAGATCCACTGAAATTAGTGGAACTAAATTACTCGTGTTCATTAATTTCAATGGGTAAATTCTGAGGAGGACTAACATTGGATATAAGCTAGCTAGCTAGGAAAACTGAAGATAATAAGCATCATTTTCTCTTTTGTCTTATATAGGAAGGAATGTGCCTTTTGAGATTATGCCTGCTATAACTCACACATGCATCATTTTAAAACAAAGAATGCATGTTTTTGGCATCATACATATATTTGTTTCCTTATGCGAGTTTAATTGACTACAGCTCATACAGTCAAATGATTAAATGTCTTTAATGTTCTCTACCTGTTGTATTTACAGTATATTTTGCTGCCATTGTGCTGTCCTTACCTGTGTACTCCACTTTCAGTGGAGAGGCATCACCAGCTTCTGGGGGATCTCATTCTACCTAGCTGCTGCCAGGAGGGTCACTGCTGCTGAGTTGGAAAGGGAACTGGAGGTGCAAATGAGTGCTGGAAGATAAAGCGGGGGGACACACAGATGATCCTGGGAGGTTTTCCAAGCACAAAAACAAGAAACTTAGTTGATTTCAACAAGAGAGGAGGGGTTTGAAGGTGAGTAGCTTTCCTTGGATTTTCAGTTGTGTGTGGTTTTTTGGAAGCCAATCAAAAGATGTTCTGTAAGACTCTCTCTCTCTCTCTCTCTCTCTCTCTATATATATATATATAATAGAAATAGGTGAAGGCAAGACATTTGCACATTCCAGAGGTCCAAGGTTTCTGAACAGCAGGTGTGGTGAGCCACTCCCTTGTTCATGACAATGAAGAGATTGTGGTGGGTAGTGTTCTCCCATTGGATTTTGTCCTCTGATGTCAAGTCTCTGCATAAATGCTATGCTTGTTTACAAGCAAAACAAAATGGAAACTGTATGAGCCAAGGTAGCAGGGCAATACCTGGCAACACCTGTTTACAGACAGACCTTAAAATTTCATGGAAATGTTGCCCTTTAAGATTGGCTCTTCCAACGCACATTTGAGAGTGTCTTGATAGTTTTGCTTTCATATGGCATCACTTGCAACTTTAGAGCATCACAGAAAAAGCTAGCAAGTGAAGAGAAAACAAGGCACTTGGGTCTGTCATTCCCCCCTCCCTATTTTTTTGTAACATTGGCAAGAATGATGGAACAATCTGGTCCACCACATGGTTCAGGAGAAGATTTTCTCTCTCTTGTTCAAAGGCAGTGTTCACATTTGTAAATCTGGGTACAAGCTCCAGGCTGTTGTAGTGTTGTTTATCTGAAAATGTTGGGAAGAACTACATGTTTTATTCAACTAACCATAATAATACACTGTAACACAGCTATGTGATTCTAAAAGAGAATTGCAGTTCATGGGTGCTGATATATCTGCCTTCATGTAGTCATATCACAAATGACAATATGAGTTGTTTTAGCAAAATATATATGGTGACTACTTCTGAAGTTTAGAAATTTGGACTGAATGTTGTTTGTTTGTTTTTAAAGGGAATTTGCAGCAGCATTTGGCAGATCGCAAGAAAACTCAACCTAGAACTCAAAACAATCATGGGTGTAGGTCATGGGACTTTGGGACACAAGTATCACAGGTGAAGATAACCAGCAAGCAAAGTAAACCATGAGCAGCAAGCCCAAAATAAACCTTGGTTTCTGCTCATTGTTTGGTGAGAAACAAACCATAAGCACTGGTTCAGATATAATGGTAAGCAAGCCTATGAGTTGCTTGTCCTACCTTTTTCTCCAAGGAGCTCAAGGGGGTATACATGGTTCTCCTTCTCCTCATTTAAGCTTCACAACAACCCTGTTAGGCTGAGAGGCAGTGACTGGCACAAGCTCAGCTTTATGGCTGAGTAGGGATTTTAACCCTGGTCTCCCAAGTCATAGTCTAGCATTCTAACCACTACACCACACTAGCTTTCACTGTGTCAGAATCTGGGGAGAAGCATAGGAGCCAGCATTGGCCCCCACAATAAAATATTTGAGGCTGGGCCCCCACACAGTTGATGGGCATTCCCATTCAAATGGTGTGTGTGCACTGTGCCATGTGATCAGTTATGCTGGGCGGGGCTTATCTGGGCCCCCACAATATTTTATTCAAGTTGGCACCCCTGGGAGGAAGTGAACCTGGCACTAGTCATAAGCAGCGCACACACCCCCCCCCCACTGCTCATTCTCTAAATATTTCCCAGCCTTATGTTACAGGGAAGACCTCAAAAGCAGTTAATCCTAAAGCAACAACATTTCCCCATATTTTCCATGATGAATTACTGTCCATTGGCGCATATATTGGTCTGTATTCAAGTAACTAATCTCTCTTGTGGCCAAACAAAGCACTTTCCCACTAATTTTTTCACCACTGTTAATTCATCTACAATCACATTAAAGGTTAAATTGTTGTCCATCTGGATGTTGTCCTTTATCAGACTCTCCTGCCTTGTCCTGCTGGCAAATTTTAATATGTCCAGATCATGGGTATCCTTAAATCTACTGGCAGTTCTGCAAAAGCTCCTTTCTTCCTCTCCTTCCCACTCTTGGCATAGATTGGAAGGAGCTAACTCCTTCCATCATACAAATTGCTAATCAAAGGTCTCCAGAGATATGATCAAGAGGGTCAATCCATTCAGACTGTCTGCCAGTAATTCCCTTTCCACCTCTTCCCGGCCCAACCCAGTCACAGAACAGCTGTGGTATGAAAAGAAATAAAAGCAAACAATGAAACATATCCTCGAAGTGTCCCTATTTTCCAGGGACAGTCCTGGATTTACAGAAGCCGTCTTGGTTTCTGATTTGATCCCGGAATGTCCTGCTTTTTTAAGGATGTCCCTATTTTCATTGGAGAAATGTTGGAGGCTATGGAGTCATGTGCCCCCCCCCCGAGCAAAGGAAATAAGTAACTATACAACCTTTAGAAGACATATGAAGACAGTCCTGTGAAGAGAAGATTTTAATGTTTAATGTTCTATTATGCTGTGGTTTAAACCACAGAGCCTAGGACTTGCCGATCAGGTCAGTGGTTTGAATCCCCACAACGGGGAGAGTTCCCATTGCTTGGTCCCTGCTCCTGCCAATCTAGCAGTTCAAAAGCACATCAAAGTGCAAGTAGATAAATAGGTACCGCTCCGGCGGGAAGGTAAACGGCGTTTCCATGCGCTGCTCTGGTTCACCAGAAGCGGCTTAGTCATGCTGGCCACATGACCCGGAAGCTGTACGCCGGCTCCCTCGGCCAATAAAGCGAGATGAGCGCCCCAACCCCAGAGTCAGTCACGACTGGACCTAATGGTCAGGGGTCCCTTGACCTTTTACTATATGTTTGAAGCTGCCCAGAGTGGCTGGGGCAATCCAGTCAGATGGGCTGGGTATATATAAATAAATAAGTATTATTCCATTAAGGAGTAGGACACCCCTATTTTCATTGGATAAATGTTGGAGGGTATGATGAAGCATCTACAAATAATATAGGGATCAGCCCCTACCTTAGATTTATTTATCCATTTAACAAAATTTATATACTGCTTGACTGCAACAAAACCACTAAGTGGTTTGGAGGATATATTGAAACTATAAATAAAAACAGTAAAATCAAGTAATTAAAAATATTTTAAAAATAATTAAAATCAGCAGTAAACTACAAAGGGAAGAGAAGTAGGATAGCGTATGGAAGGGACTTTGCTATGCAGTTATGCATCCTGGTTTTCCTTTGCTTGTTCCAAATCCGGGCTGTACGTAGACAGGGACTGGAGCGCATGAACAGCAGCCAATTTGCTTTGAGATGTGCCGTTTTTCGTTCCATTTTTAAATTATCCATTATGAGACAAGCCTTCAGTGCCATTTGCCCTCGCACTTGATGCTACATTATGAGGCGAAATAATTGTAAGTGCACTTTTGCTATATCACCTTCATTATAACAGCTAATCCATACTACTCCCCAGCTCAAATGTTATTGTTCTGTTAACTGGTTTCCTATCAGAGAAAGTGGAGAGAAAAATCATTTTAGAGAGACCACTCATTTTAGACTGATTGCCTTGTTTCTCAACAACCTTGGTTTATTAGCAGTGTGCTTGTTGAGTTTTAAATGAGAACCACTCTCTCTCAAAACAACATGGTAGAAAATGTTCTCTTTGCAATGTCATGATATTGCTATGAATTGTTAGATTTGTTACTGACTTTCTTTGTGTAACTTAACAATGAGTTCTGATTGCATGCTATTACTGGTGGTTGACAGGAGGGCATGGAAAGCTAAATGAGAGGAGATTGGGATGAGAAACAAAATTCAACAGTCCTTACTGATAATAGGCACCACAGAGTTAATAATTTGTCACTGCACTCTGCCTCTGGTGCCACTTTTAAGAGCAAGGGCCAACCTTAAGATTTTCTGAATAGACTGAGACCTAGAGAAGACAGGGTCCTAGTAGGAAGTGAAAAGATTAGGCAGCTGGCTAATTAGGGACCAGAGAGAAGATCAGCAGGGGAAAGCCATGCCATAGGTTGCTTTTTTATCTCTATGGGAATTAAACATTTAAATGAAGCTGTTGGGAGGGGTCATTAGAAGGTCTGGGGTAAGGTGCCATCATTATGCTGATGATACTCAGCTCTGCTCCTCCCCAACAACTAAATCAGAAGAGGCTGTGCAGTGCCTGGGCTGTCGCCGGGATGTAGTGTTGTGAATGAAGAAAAATAAACTGGAGGTAATGAAATGCACTCTACTGATGTTTCAAATAAATAAACAAGTGGGAGTAATGGAAAGGATCAACCAAAGAAAGAGGCGCACACACACGTGTGGGGGGGGGGACTCAGAAAGGTTAGAGACAAAGGGGTCTAAAAATGGGAAATTTGCAGTCAGGTGGCCCAATGTATAAATGAAAATTATTGGGGTGGGAATTGCTTTGAATTAGCTAGAAGAAGCTTTCATTGCAGGTGCCTAGAAAATATACAGGTTTTACAAAGCGTGGTCTCCTTCATGGAGAGCACGTGTTGCGGTGGGGGCCGACAGGACACTCCAAAGTTGTGGGGTGGGCTAATTGATCGTTGGCCACTGTTGTGATTGGGCTTTCCTTGGTGTTGGGATGAAGTTAATGTTGCCATTTGTTGATTGACAGCCAGAAATGCTAAAACTCCCTGCAGGAGGCATAGAGCTTCCTCATTTCGCCCCGTGCATCGGATTGCCCGTCCCCCCTCCCTATATTTAGGGTTGTTTGCTTTGACCTTGCTATGCCTGTCATGGGGTCGTCTGCTCTTGGGGCAGGGGCCTGGTAGGAATTTTATCCATCTGACTGATTGGCTGGGGACATTTGGTTTTTGCCTACTGCGTAGCAAATCGTCACAACTTGCAAGGCTGCGGTTAGGCATTGGTTTATGGTTTGGTTGGTTGAGGGGCATGGATTGGCTATGCCTGCCCCTCTAATGCTGCTGCTGCAAGGGATTCCGTTAAAGGAATACAGGGGCTAACTATTGCTTTTGTCTGAACCCTGTCAAGGGGCTAGGGCCATGCAACAGCCCCTGGTTGCATTTGGGGAGGGCTGAGGGCAGGTTCCCTACTCCGTCGCTACCCCCAAGTGTATTCCCCTTTTCTGCGGAATGTCAGTCTGTCCCCCACTGGGGGGCAGATAGTCGCAACCAATGCCTAAGCAACCACTCACATTTTTGTATTTTAATAAAGTTGTGGCCAAAAATTATGCCAAAAACCTTAAACAAAATTTCTGTGTGATGTGTGAGTTATTTGGGGTGGCCCTGGGGACCTCGACATGCAAGCTGCTGTTATGACATAAAGTTCCATACATCTGCATAATTTACCTAAATTGCTTTCTCTCTTTTTTCATAATGAAGGCTTTAATCACACTCCCTTGCCTTTAGATTCATCGATGGGTTATATCCTCATTGTTATTCTTTGGCCCACATTGCTTAACTGCATCAACTTTACTCTCAGTGATGTCACCCACTAATGGACATTTAATCTTTCCTTCACATTCCAGCTCCTAGTCTTGATTTACTGTCATAGTACCCAGTACCCAGAATTCTCATTAACGCTCCATTTCAGGAATGCATTCTTTTCCAAGAAAGCATTTAGGACACTTTTATGTCTGTGGTTATACATGATACGAAACGGAATGCATCTTAAAGATACATATAAGGCTAAATATGTTCATAAGAGTTTTCCTAGATCCTAGTCATCATTTAAAATTATTGCGAGAAAAATCTCAAGGTTCTCTTGCATACAAAACAGATTCTAATGAGAGAGAGATAACAGACATGTATTACATTGATTTTCTACCCTTCCTTCAAAGGGATTGGGGTTGCATCCATAGGGTCACACTGTTTGTCCCCATAATGACCCCCCTCAGGTAGAAACAACAAAGAGTAGCACCTTAAACACTAACACATTTATTGTGACAGAGGCTCCATGGGCTCAAGCTCGCTTCATCAGCTGAATGCAGTGAAATCTTAGTTAGCAGGTATATAAAGGTGAAAATAGTAAGGTGGGAGCTGAATGGCAATTACAGTGAGTTACTTACATGTATGTTAAATAGGCAAACATTTACTTTTTTACAGCAGCAGATTTGTGCATGGATTATAGTGACAAGAGATTCCAACTAAACATCTGACAGTAAGAGATGTTCAACTGTGGAACAGACTTCCACAAGAGGTGGTGGAGTGTATTTCCTTTGATGTTTTTAAGCAAAAGTTGGATGTCCATCTGTCATGGATCTTTTAATTGAGATTCCTGCATTTCAGGGAGTTGGGCTCGATGTCCCTTGGATTTCCTTCCAACTATACAGTTCTGTGATTCTACTCTGCATTGCTGAGATGGTTGTGTTACCACCTATAGTGCAGCTAGAAGCAAACAAAACCCAAAGAAGCAAAACAAAAAACAGCAGATACCCTGGCACTGGTAAGTTAATTAACACCTGTAGCGTGACCAAATAAATAAATAAATAAATCTGATGAGTCAATTTAATGCACAAGTGATGACATGGAACTTTTTAATGAACCTCTGAGGTATGTTAGGCACTAGGAAAAAGAAAGAGTTATTTATTTATTATACTCTACGTGTTGATTTTCATCAACAACAAGAAGTTCTTAAAGCAGTTTACATAGTACAAGTTGGTTTAGGAGAGGTTTCAAGAGGAGTGGGTTTTCACATGTGGATCTTCTCCTGCTGAAAAGACAACAGTCAGCACCAGTCTAGTATACAGTACTTGCAGAGAGCATTTCACATCAACGATGCCATCACTGAAAAGACATCTGCTACACCTCACAGGTTCTCAGTGAATATGACATGAAGATATATCAGAATGTATAGCACCTGTCTTTTATGTACAGTGGTGCCTTGCAAGACGAAATTAATTCGTTCCGCGAGTTTTGTCGTCTTGCGATTTTTTTCGTCTTGCGAAGCACGGTGTCGGGAAAGTTTTGGAAAAGCTTCAAAAATCACCAAAGTCTTTAAAAACCTCAAAAAAGGCTACCACACCGCGTTCTATGAGTTGCTCCTTGAAGTCAAGTCGTAACTGTATTAACGGTGTTAAGAAAAAGGAAACAAACTTGCATGACGTTTCCCATAGGGAAAATCATCTTGCGAAGCAGCTCAAAAAACGAAAAACCCTTTCGTCTAGCGAGTTGTTCATCTTGCGAGGCATTCGTCTTGCGGAGCACCACTGTAACACACACACAACCTGTAAAGGAAAGGACACCCCACACACTTTGGAAAAACTGACCCAGAAACAGAGATCATTGTATTTTAATATATCATTGTATTTTAATATTCTGCTGGAAGCTGCCCAGAGTCGCTGGGGAAACCCAGCCAGATGGGCGGGGTATAAATTATTATTATTATTATTATTATTATTATTATTATTAGTGTTGTCTTATATCGTCCTGATTCACACATTAAGCTGGATGAATAGCTCAGCTGGTAGAGCACGGGACACTTAATCTCAGTGATGTGGGTTCAAGTCCCACACTGGGCAAAAGATTCCTGCATTGCAGGGGGTTGGACTAGATTACTCTTGTGGTCCCTTCCAATTCTGCACTTCTATGATCAGCTATGTGTGTTCTATGATCCATGACCACTTTATACCAGGGGTCAGCAAACTTTTTCAGCAGGAGGCCGGTCCACTGTCCCTCAGACCTTGTGGGGAGCCAGACTATATTTTGGAAAAAAAATAAATGAACAAATTCCTATGCCCCACAAATAACCCAGAGATGCATTTTAAATAAAAGGACACATTCTACTCATGTAAAAACACACTGAATCCTGGACCGTCTGCTGGCTGGATTGAGAAGGCGACTGGGCCAGATCCAGCCCCCAGGCCTTAGTTTGCCTACCCATGCTTTATACTGTAAAAAAAACCTGGTTTAATGTGACTACTACATGCAGGCTGCTACGTGCTGCTGAAATCACATGTGCTTTGCTTCTCTGTTGCTGCTGCTACACTTCTAGGAAACAATCCACAATGTGCTTAGCATTATGTTTAAACCTGGACTCATGTTTTGTTTCTAAACAAACCAGGATCCTGCATTCATAAACAATGCAGGCCAGAACAAGGTTTATTTCCTGGCAGTGCAGGCTCAGGGCAGAAATGAAGCATCAGCATGATGTGTATTCACAATGAAATGAAAGCGCCACTGACCATTTGGTCCATCTAGCTCAGTATTGTCACAGACTAGCGGCAGCTCTTCTGGGTTTCAAGGCCAAGCTACATGAGACGATAAATGCCATATTTGCATCTAATGTTCAAGGTTTCTAAAGCAGAAATTGAATTAGCTGGAGGAATTGATAATCCACAGTATCACAGCAGGCATGGAGAAGGAATTTAATCCTTTCTTCCCCTACTGTGATCCTTAGGAAAATCCTCTGAATAACTTGAACTTGAGTTGGTTTGTTTCCTTCTCCCTCCCATCCTTTTCCCTTTTGTGTTCTGAGGGCAGTGACTGTAATTTGTAAGCCATTCTAGGATCATATTTTGGCTGAAGAGCAGTGTGTGTGTGTGTGTGTGTGTGTGTGTGTGTACAGTGGTACCTCGGGTTACATACGCTTCAGGTTACAGACACTTCAGGTTACAGACTCCGCTAACCCAGAAATAGCACCTTGGGTTAAGAACTTTGCTTCAGGATGAGAACAGAAATTGTGCTCCGGCAGCACGGTGGCAGCGGGAGGCCCCATTAGCTAAAGTGGTGCTTCAGATTAAGAACAGTTTCAGGTTAAGAACAGACCTCCGGAACGAATTAAGTTCTTAACCCGAGGTACTGCTGGATGCGAATGGGATCCATTCTGGAGCCCTGTTCGCATCCTGAAGCAAACGCAACCCGTGCCTGCGCTTCTTCACGTGCGCGGGTCACGATTCGCTGCTTCCACACATGCTCGTGATGTCATTTTGAGCGTCTGCACATGCGTGAGTGGCGAAACCTGGAAGTAACACGCTCCATTACTTCTGGGTCACCGTGAGCGCAACCCGAAAATATTCATTCCAAAGCATATTTAACCCGAGGTATGACTGTGTATGTGTATATATATATATATATATATATATATATATACACACACACACACACATATATATATATATATATATATATGCAAGCAAACAAACAAATGCAGGCTTGTGCATCAACAGGAAGGCAAGAGATTAACTACCGGCATCTACTACAGTGGAGGAAGTATCCCATGACAATTCCTGATTGGTGCAAAGTTGCAATGATCCTATAAGAATCTCTGCACTTCTTGTGGCCTTGAGATGTGCATGTGTTCATTATATGCCCAAACACACATCTCAACCTTTAAAAGAGATTGCATTCATCATGTGGTGCATAGTGCATGAATTTTGAAGCATGCTCTAACAAGTGAATGGGAAAGCAATGCCTGGAAAGTTCACTTTTAAAAAGAAACTACTTTAAGTTCATCCTGTCCAAAAAGGAATAAGTTCCAGATTGTCCTTTTGCAAAATGAACTAGTTCAGTTCTAGATAATCCAGATGAACTTTTTAGTTTAGTCTTGGCAAAAGAAATTCAGCATTCAGTATGTTGCACAAGCTGATATGTAGAAGTATAGGATCCAAAAGTAAATCAGGAGCCACACACAAGTAATAAAATGTCAGACAAAATGTCAACAGGCGAGGCTTTCCCCATAATATCATTTTCAAACTAAAAATGGTTTCTCCTGCTTAATATGTGCCAGATACAGTGGTACCTTGGGTTACAGACGCTTCAGGTTACAGACTCCGCTAATCCAGAAATAGCACCTCTGGTTAAGAACTTTGCTTCAGGATGAGAACAGAAATCGCAAGGCGGCGCGGTGGCAGCGGGAGGCCCCATTAGCTAAACTGGTACCACTGTACAAGGTTAGAGTCTTCAAAGTATTGTTCAGATGAATAAAATCTTCTCCCACTATACACAGATGTTAAAAGCACAAGGTACCATTTGCTGCTCCTGTTGAAAGAGAATGAATTTTTTCAGCAGGGAAGAGATAGGAAATGCCTCACATTCCTTTCTTCCTTCTGATTGCTCAGCGACAGTGATTACATGACTAAGTGATCTTAGGAACAGCACTGCCTCCATAGCTGCATAATAAGCCTTAGAGCTTTGCCTCCATGTTTTCATGAACATCCAGTTGACACAATTGTTTTTATTTATTTAATGAAAGCTAAGAGTCTGGGCCTCCTGCTGCATGATGCGTTTGTGAAGGGAATGAACATGAATACAAACTAGAAATTGTTAACAGTTTTACTGCAAAATGAATTTAATTAATCTTTAGTTCATCTGGCATTTATGAGAACTAGGACTCAGCTATACAGCTGCAAAGAAAACGTTTAAGTGTGGTTTAAGTGCAATATACAATATGCATTAGATGGCAATGGTGAGCCTTATGGAAAATTCAACATATTTTTTTAAAAGCATTTTCAGAACATATGTTTTTATATGTGTGTAGATTCCACTCTACTTTCAGGTGTAGTTCAGAATTTTTTTTACTCCAAGCACTGTGGGAAAGTAATGCAGATTTTTGTTATCACCGTGTGACTAAGACAAAAAGGGTGGTAGATACCAGCAAACTATTGTTCCTGAAATAGAAATCTTGCAATCAGAATCAAAAGAAAAGAAAAATCCAGTTTAACTAAAATCTTGATAGCAGATACTTCTTACTGCTATTCTTGCTGTAAAACAGGGGTGGAGAACCTGTTGTTGACAAATTCCAGTCAGGCAGAAGCATTTGAGAGGAAGTCAAGGTGCAGGGCCAGTGAGGGGTGTGATCTGGGGAGAATCCCAAGGCCTGAACAGAGAGTTCTGGAGGGCCTCATTACTGAAATTCTCAGTTCCTGCTGTAAAACATCAAGTTAACAAAGCATAGAAAAGATCCTGAATATTAGCAAGGATGACCAATGAACTTACCTTCAGGCCTGTTGTTTATCTAAGCTAGGGGTGAAGAACTTTTTTCATCGTGAGGGCTGCATCCCCTTCAGAGGTAGACAGGGCCAGAGGCAAAAGGCAGTGGAGCAATTAATGTAAATTTTACCTTTGTACAGTAGGCTTGTTTCTGCACACACTCACAGTCCCCTCTCCATCCTCCAGCCAGTCAAGCAAGTGGCGTATTAGAGTTCAAAAGCACGTTCCACCTGGCAAAAATACTCAAAGACAGTGCAAAGCAGTCTGGGTAAAGAGGGTGTGGCCAGGGAGAGGGTCTGACCTGGGAAGAGTCCCAAGGGCCAGACAGAGAGGCCTGGAGAGTCACATATGGTCCCACCCCTGACCCAAACTATGGCTTTCCAACTAGGGGGACCCTAGTGTTTCTAAGTGTCAAGATATGAAAATGGAGGACAAGCTTCCTGAAAATACAGTTTGCCTACTAAACTTTCCCTATAGTGTGTAGCCAAAGGAGGCTGCATTGGGTGTGTTCTAGACAAAGGTTCCATCCATTTGGAGGTGTGGATGAGGCCCAGCAGGCTTGGACAATGACCTGTGTAAAGAGTTCGCACACCCACACCCCCCAAATCTTCTGCAACACAGAAAGGTTCCCTGGCAATTGTTCAGAAACAGACAATGTAGAAAAGGTTTCCCAATGGCAGATAATAGAATCATAGCTTTGCAGAGTTGGAGGGGACTCCAAGGGTCATCTTGTTCAATTCCCTGAAATGCAGGAATCTCAACTAATGCATCATGTCCTAAACTAACCTGCAATCTTAATGAGAATATCAGAATCACCAGGATGCCTTGCCCTGTTAAGCACCTCACCTTGAGTATTAAGTATCATTCACTGCTGGAGATACAGTATCTCCTGGTATGTCCCGCAGAGGACCCTAAGGTCCATGAATAATAATAGCTTAAAGGTCCCGGGCTCTAAGGAATCCAGACTATCCTCCACCAGGGCCAGGGCTTTTTCAGTGTCGGCTACGACCTGGTGGAATGCTCTGCCCCATGAGACTAGGGCCCTGCAGGACTTGTTCTCCTTCTGCAGGGCCTGTAAGACAGAGCTATTCCGCCTGGTCTTCAATTTGAATTAGCCTGATCCTCTATTCCCTTTCCCCTTTCCTCATCTTTGAAGAAACCCTTTCTGGGACGCCACGTTTAAATTCTTATTCACACACCTCCTTGCTGGCTCTAGTAGGACCAACTTGGCCAGTTAGCCCTGGTAATCATTCAATGTCTACTGACTGGAGTTCCCTCCCCCCGAAAAATGACCCCTGAATTTTTGAATTTTATAGATATTGATGCTGCATTTTATGTTGTACTCTATGCTGTTTTATGCTATTTTTAAGTCGCATTTTAATCAGTGATTTATATTTGCTGTTAGCCGCCCTGAGCCTGGTTTTTAAACCAGGAAGGATGGGGTATAAATAAAATTTTATTATTATTATTATTATATTATATTGGACTATACAAGTCCCTGATACATATTTGTATGGCTGTTGTGATATGAACACTGCTCACTCCTAACCAGTGGTTGCCAGAACAAGCAACCGTTGTCAAGATAATACTTAAACTTTATCTGACTGACTTTTCTTTCTTTCTTTTTTTTTGCTTGCAAGATTTCTATTTCAAGAACAATAGCCTGGCAATTTCTATCAATCTTTGCATCTTAGTCATACCTTGATAACAAGCAAACCTCAGCTCCTTTCCATTCTTTTCTTCCTCTTCCTGAAAAGTGCTTTTAATATCAAAAATAACTAGATGCCATGAGAACAATCTTTTCAGGAAAAGATATGTATATGGTATTGAACATACTTTTCAAATATTGTTCTCAGCAAGGTTAGGGTGACATGTATGTTCTCACATTCACAGCAGTGCTTTGAGACTCTCTATTGCTGCGTATGTATAGCTTGCTTAAGGACCAAGTCCTTGAATGCAGCTATTTTAATACTGTTCCTAAGAGCCTTTAGTAAGAGTGTATGTAGAGTTCCAATCACAATTTGTTGAAAGGTGTGAGTTCACAGTTAGGGGTACTCATTATACATCTTTGTCACTTGGACTCAAAGGACTTCAATACCTAGGAGTGCCTTTTACCAATTTCAGCTATTCCTGGGCAACGATAATCTGACCACAGTGGTCCATGGATTCATAAAAGATTACTGCAATGTACCAAAAGGAAAGGGACACGGGTGGTGCTGTGGGTTAAACCACAGAGCCTAGGACTTGCCGATCAGAAGGTCGGCGGTTTGAATCCCCGTGACGGGGTGAGCTCCCGTTGCTTGGTCCTTGCTCCTGCCAACCTAGCAGTTCGAAAGCACGTCAAAGCACAAGTAGATAAATAGGTACCACTCCGGCGGGAAGGTTAACGGCGTTTCCATGCGCTGCTCTGGTTCACCAGAAGCAGCTTAGTCATGCTGGCCACATGACCCGGAAGCTGTACGCTGGCTCCCTCAGCCAATAAAGTGAGATGAGCGCCGCAACTCCAGAGTCGGCTACGACTGGACCTAATGGTCAGGGGTCCCTTTACCTTTACCTTTACCTTTACCTTTACCAAAAGGAAGAGAGGAAGCTGCCTTATACTGAGTCAAATCACTGGTCCATCTAGTGGTATTATCCACACTGACTGGCAGTGGTTCTCCAGAGTGGAATCTTTCCCCAGCTCTACCTGGAGATGCTAGCAGTTGATCCTGGGATGATTTCCATAAAAGGCAGGTGCTGTATCACTAAGCTACAACCCTTCCCTGGGCTGCCCTTGTGGATGATCCAGCAACTGCAGTTAGAACAAAATGCTGCTGCTGCAAGGTTGCTGTCCAAAGCAAACCATGGTCAGCACATGACATCTTCATTGAATCAGCTGCATTGGCTACCTATATGCTGCCAGGATAGGTTTACGGTATTGCTACTTGTTTACAAATCCCTAAGCAACTTGGGACCAGGCTTCTTGAGAAACTGCCTTTCTCCTTACACCCCTATCTATCCATTACATTCCATGGTAGAAGACCTCCTGTTACTATGGACAGCTCCTACTCTTTGCCTTGTGTCCACCTAAAGTTGGGCTTTCTGTGCGGTGGCCCCTTTAGTGTGGAATTCATAAACACTTAAGATAAGGCATGCTCCAAAATCTATTCTATGCTTAAAACATTTTTTTTTAACCCAAATA